GTAGAAGAAATCGAACGTAGTAAGCTTTTACAACACCCTAATAGAATTATTGAGGAAAAAAACCGAAAGAAATGGATGTAAATAGGGCCATTTCATCAGTAGTACTTATCGTCATTGGGAAATTTTTAAATTTTTAAATTAAATATGATGGTGATGATGATCAGTTAGTCAGTCAGTCAGTCAGTTACAACGCAGAACTTTGTATGCATGTACATCAGTGTTCAAGTTACCATATCACATTGGCAGAGAGAGATGTATATACTTGAGGAATCAGTTAAGAAGAGAGAAAAAACGGTCGTGAGGAATTCAGTAGATTAGGATTTGAGAGAAGCCAAAGAATGGATGCACCTGCACCATTGCAAACGGTTTTGAGCCATGTCATTCAAGGTCTCTAACCATCGGTTATTGTCATGAAGTGGATCCCAACCAGGTAGACTGTATCTACCAACATGGCTCAGTCCACCAATTTCATGGATTTATGCCCCGTTTTGGTTTGGCCGTTCCTAGCTTTCTTTCAACCTACTCCTACACTGCAAAACATAGCTCCTCGAGGCAGTCGGTGGTTGAGCATTGCTTACTTGATGGTCTCTAGCTAAAGTAGCTATATTTCAGAGACACCTATGATCGAAAACCAGTAACCTGAGTATGTCTGCTTTTTGAAATCTATGAATGGAAATTGAGTAACTAACATAAATATGTATTAATCAATTGTTTCGGTTTAACATCAGGGGAGATCATTTACTTTTTTCCAATCCCCGATATACTGATACCATGGAAATAAATAATTTTGATGGTTAGAAATAGGGTTAATTAAAATAATTTTATTATCACTAGTCATGTGAAGCAATAAGTAATGGTTTGAGTGGAAGCGAATTACTTACTTACTTACTTACTTACTTACTTACTTACTTACTTACTTACTTACTTACTTACTTACTTACTTACTTACTTACCTACTTACTTACTTATGCACTTACTTACCTACTTACTTACTTACTTACTTACTTACTTACTTACTTACTTACTTACTTACTTACTTACTTACTTACTTACTTACTTACTTACTTACTTACTTACTTACTTACGTACTTAATTACTTACTTACTTACATACTTACCTACTTACTGATCAGTATTGTTCAACCTACTCTCTGTTATGAAGTGACTTAGTTAAACATCACTGACCACACCACAAAATTGATGTCATTGATCAAAATGGTAGCATGAACTTAACTGTTAATTGTACAGAAAAAAAAATACCATTATTATTATTATTATTATCATGATTACAATGAATTAAATTAGTCTTACTTTTCTATTCACATCAATTATATTCCAAGCTAATTGAAAATTACGTATATCATTATAACTCATGATAGCATCTTCATCATTAGAATAAAATAATGAAAAATTCTCCATAATAATAGCTAGAGATTAAAAAAAAGAAAAGATTGAAAAATAAAAATGGAAGAGGGATTAATGTAATTTATTCTATTGTGAATGATGATACAGAGTGGCGAAAAAAATGTTCAAATTTTGAACTGTTTATATGAATTAGATGACATAATGTTGGAGAGGATTTCAGTTAGTTAATTTGATTGGGAGAAAATTTAGACGTTGCGCATTTCTCTGATAAAAGTGGAAATCATCAATCACTCATTGTTAGACCACCATTAGAAACCTGGAAGCACTGGACTGCCGTTTCGTCCTGGTATGGGACTCATCAGCAGTGCGCATCCACGACTCCTGCTCGAGGACCTTCGGTATTGTGCGCGAACGCCTAACCGTCGGACCATTGGGCCGGCATCCAACGGTGTTAATGTCTAACTCTGATTGATCTACGGATTTTGCGCGACCTCACCCATTTGTCTTTGGTAGTTAGTGCCTACATTCGACAGGGTTGAACTCCATTGGTCACGTCTTCTCAACTAGAACTCCGAGAATCGGTTAGAGTTACCAGGACGAAACGGCCGTCCAGTGCTTCCAGGTTTCTAATGGTGATCTAACAATGATTGATTGATGATTTCAAATATGTAAAAACACAAACCACCAAAACTCTGCCCCAAAAGTGGAAATCATTTATATTTGTGTAAATGTTATTCAATGTTTCATTGAAATCATGTTCGATCATAATTGAAAGCTTGCCAGCAATGGAGGTTGATTTCATCCTAGTATATGACTTCTCATCAGTGTGTATCCATGACTACTCAGACAGGAATCGAACTAAGTACCTCCAGTCTCTCTCCTATGAACGCTTAACCTTCTGACCACTGAATCGACCGTCAGTAGAGTTAATGTTTAACTTCACATAATCTACGACTCGTCACAACTTCATATGACTTAACAACTCTGTACTACGTCTACAATTAGGTAAATATTTTTATTACTATGTGTGTATATGTATACGTGTCAGTCAGAATGCTTAGGCTGTTCGAAAATTAAAACCCCCTTATGTGTACTGGAAAAATTTGTTATACCCTTGAATTTACCCTGGTAATCTTTGAGCGATTTTATGACCTAGGGTAATGTGACAATTTTCCTACAATTTCTTATTCTTTTCATATTACGTGAATTTATTTACACTTATCACCTCATGTCTATTTGAACTTTTATTTAGTTGACCTTTTATTCATCTTCATATAAAATGCCTTGACAAGTGTACATATGTGTGATCAGATTGTTCGAAATGTATGGCGCGCAAATACATCACCTATTTTCGGATTAATTACATCTTCTCACTGTTCTATCAAAATTTATAAAAGTGACTAATTGTTTTACAATATGAAAGGCAATTTGTCATTCAATATTAAATAGATATACGATTGAAATCAATTATTTCGATACAATTAACATTTATTTCTGCATAAATTTGTGAAAATCTGTTGTGACTAAGATATATTTTCAGTTAGAGTTATGGAAATTAGTGTTTTAACACATTTGAAATCATCGATCAATCATTGTTAGATCACCATTAGAAACCTTGAATAACCGAACGGCCGTTTCGTCCTAGTATGGGACTCATTAGGAGTGCGCATCCACGACTCCAGCACCTCGCAGGATTCGAACCCGGGACCTTCGGTAATGTGCGCGAACGCCTAACCATCGGACCAATGGACCGGCATCCAATGGCGGTAAGATATATGCCTCCTGTTCCATTCATAAATTTGTCATTCTGTAGAAATTTGGCTCTCAGTTTTTTGTTGTTGGAAATGGAGTAGGGAAAATCGATTTATATATTTCTAGTGTCCTACATTCTGTTCTGTTTCTCTATCTATTCATCTATAGATACATATTAAGTAAACATTGTTGACTTTAAACAGCAATTTGAATTAAACATCTCATTGTTCATCCGATTAACAATGATCAATGAATATCATTAACTTGATAATCATGACTTTATTCAATATTATGTATCTAGTATAATATGGAATTATCAGTAACCTTCATTGTCTTCTCAACCGATTACCAGCCGTCGACATGTCGTCTATTGTACCATTTCGTACCTTTTAAAGCGATGGCTTGTAAACATTTTATATACGTGCCTGAATAGATTATGCGATTAAAAGACGTAATAGACGCGTTAAAACACAGAAACAAAAGTAACTCGTTGGTATATTGTGATGTTTGCAAACAGGTAGCTTAGATATTCAAACAGGCTACCAGCGATAATCAGTCTGATCTTACTTTATCAACAAATAACACAATATTTTCAGGCACAGTTTTGGAGGTTTCTATTTTTACACATTTGAAATTATCAATCAATCATTGTTAGAGGTCGCTCAAAATCCCCCTAGATCAATCAAAGTTAGACATTAACACCGCTTGATACCGACCCAGTGGTCCGGTGTTTAGGTGTTCGCGCACAATACCGAAGGTCCTGGGTTCGAAATCTGCGAGGCGCAGGAGTGGTGGATACGCACTGCTGACAAGTTCCATACCAGGATGAAACGGCCGTCTTTGAGTGCTTCCAGGTTTCTAATGGTTGTCTAACAATGATTGATTGATGATTTCAAGTGGGTAAAAATAACACAATATTGATAGTTCATTCGAAAAACAAAAGAGTAAATCAATCAGTCCATCAATCCAATCAAAGTGTGTTGTGAACTTACCCACAAGTACATTTAACATCACATATGTAATAATGACATAGAATGAACAGAAATAAATTAATGAAGCACGAAAATTGCCACAATCTGTTTCCCAAAATGTAGCATGCATACGACAAAATGGTGGTTGTATCATACAATCATGCATAATTTTATTCCAATCTTCACCTGAAAAAAATAATAAAATTAACTCTTACTTCTATAATTTAAAATAAATTAATTCATAAATGTAATAAGATTATAAAACAAGGACGGAATTTTACATTGAACATGACAATTGAAATCATGAATCGATCAATGTTAGACTACCATTAGAAACTTGGAAGCAATGAAATACAGCCGTTTTGTCCTCGTATGGGACTTATGAGCAGTGAGTATCTACGACTCATGCTACTGTCATTAATGGAACCCAGCACCTCCGGTCGGGTATGCAAGTGCTTTATCTCTGTACTACTGAGCCGGTAAACAACGGTTTTAATGTATAACTCTGATCAATCTAAGGTTTCGCGCAACCTCACGCATTGTGTTCGTTAGTTACTGCCTACACCCAACAGGGTTGAACTCCACTGGTCCCCTCTTCTCACTAGAACTCCGAGAATTTCCTCACGAAACCAGTCAGTAGTGAGAACATTTTACGATTTTTTTTATTACAGAGTTATGGAGATTGTTGTTTGTTGTTGAAACTATGAATGTTGGTCTAACAATGATTAATTAATAAATAGCAATCTCCATAACTCTATAATGAAAAATAATTTGTCAGTCACTTTACTCATGAATGAAATTTAATTATATCTTTGAAGACTTATGTTTCGATCATTATTTTAGGATAGACCTTTTGTATTGAATTATGTGATAAAAAAGTGATTCACTACATTATTCATATTGAGCTGATCATTAAAATAAGCAACGTATTCATGGAATCGATCTTTGAATAGTGATGGAGAAACTTTCAATAAAAATGTACTATCATTTTACTGATTTGAAAATAAAAATCTTTACAAATACACCTCATATACATTGGAGTAGCTAATTGGATTCAATAGATCAGAGTGTTCTAACATGTTAGCGGGAGTATGCAGTGAAAATTATTAGTTACGAGTCTTAGTGTCGACATCGATGTTAGCATTCATGTACATTCAAATCAAGAGTACAAAAATGTTAAGAATGTGTGTCATGGGCCTCAAATCTAGGCAGAAAATATCTCGTAGTGTGTATGTACTAATATTCAGAGCCCACAGGGCTTGTCTAGGACTTTGGACAGTTTGATCTGCCCATTCACCTATAGTTATTATTCACTCATCTTTTGGCTTTGTCAATTATTCGCTTACAACTTTGGTTGTTTGGTTGTGGATACTTACTTCACTTATAACATTTGTAGCTTACTTTTGCCTAAATATAAATACTTAGTCATGCTTCATCATACTGAGTCGTTCTGCTTATCTTCTTCACTTCGCTTCGCTTTGCCTTTACGGTACATATTACCATGTCAGCCTGTGTCAACGATTGGATGAAATAAATTCATACGCTATTTATTACAGCCTTCACACCAACGGAGTTCGCCTAAGTATAATATACAGAAATTAAAAAGAAGATTTCATAGCATATTCGACGGTTATTCCGAATTGAAGTCAGCTAGCAGATCATTAAAGTGGTGAGCCCTACTTTGAATTCAACACAGACACTGAAAACTGTTCTAAGGACACTCTTTGTACTGTATAGATTAGGCTTGAATTGAATGTTTATTAATTCATTCACTCGTTACTGTTTGTCGATTAAAAATTTCTTCCTGCTGACTTCCGATTTCGTCTTGGTATGGGACTCATCAGCAGTGTGCATCCACAACTTCTACCGCTCTCAGGATTCGAACCCAGAGCATTCGGTCTTGCGCGCTGACGCCTAACCTCTGGACGAAACGGCTGTCTTTCAGTGCTCCTACCAGTTTTCTAATAGTGGTCTTACAATAATTGATTGGTAATTTCAATGAGTAACAAAACTCTGATATTCATAACACATTTAAAAAAAATGCCTAATCTTACCTGTGACAATTCTTGTCAACAAAGCAGTTGCACGAAATGTATTATGAAAATTTGCATGTCGACCAAGATTATCACCATATTTTACTGAACCAAATAATATTACACCAGCTAATGCATAGACCATCATTAATAAAAACATACTCATGATAATAAATAATGATTTATACATTGACATGACTACAGTTAACATTAACATTTTCAATGTTACCTGTGTAATTATAGAATGAGAAAAAAAAGGTTGAAAAAGTAGAATAATTATTATTAGTAGTATTGCGTAATTATTAATGAATGTTTTTACACGATCAAAACTTTTGTCCGAAACATTAAGCAGAGAACTATTATCATCGATAACAAAACATACAGTTTGAAACATGTGATGTGGATTGACGTGAAAATAGCATTTCAAAGGTTGTGCATGAGTTATCCTAACTGAATTTTTAAGTTGATTAAAAGTCGTGAGCAATGAAAAACCTCCACCACTACGTGCACAAAAAATAACATGCTGTAACCAAGAATCAACCCTGGTAATCAGTCAGTCAGTTGCAACGTAGAACTTCGCACGTAAGTACATCAGTTCATGTCGCCATACCACATCAGCACAGAGATATATTTGTCAATTCAAATCCAATAGTAGTAGAGGTTGTAAAGGTATTAGAAGTAATCGGAGAGGTTAGAATTAGAAGATATTATTCAAGAAGTATGATTCAGTGATAAAAGTTTAGAAAGTAAAAACTAGAGATGTTGAAGAATCCAGAAGATTAGGATTTGAGAGAACACAAAGAATAAATGCACTGGCGCCATTGCGAACGATTTTGAGCCATGTCATTCAAGGTCTCGAGCCATCGATTATTATCATCTCGCGGACCCCAACCAGGTAGTCGACAATTACCGACATGGCTCAGTCCACTCGTCAATGACTTCATGGATTTCTGCCATGTTTTGGTCTGGCCGCCCCTAGCCCGACCGTAGCTGCTACCTTGACGTGGTGGTCGGGCTTGCCTATCGTGATGACCCAACCGAGTTATACTGGCTGGAACATATGTTCCTGTAGGTTCTACCATGCCAGACAGGTCGATTGGAGAACGATGAGACTAAAAGCAGCTACCGAAGGTCTGAGGGCCAGGTTGTACTGCTGACTGCAGAGCGGTGTGACAGCAGTAAGGTGTTTCCCTCGGACAACCAACATCTGCAGCGATGCTGCCTTCTCACAAGGAAGGAAGGGTTAGAAAAGGTCGGCCCTAAAAATGTCACACCTCCCCTAACTCACGGATTTCCGTCTCCTTGGGTAAGGGTGCCCACTAAGGGCCTTTAAGAACGGAGCTAATACTCAAAAAACATTTGATAAAAAGGCCATGCGTGACTGGCCTCAAGCAGTTGTCCCTTGGGCTCTGCGGTCACGCACCAACACTAATCTATCTTCCTTTTCAGGTCCCTCAAGAAACAACCTTCCACGGTGTGGGCAGCCGGGAAGTGACAACCGCCCTCATACCCGTAACCCGTAACAGCCCTGGTAATATTAAATCTTAAATGATTGATTCATGATTTCAGGGTTGGTTATAAACACCAATTTCCATACTTCTATAATGAAAAATCATACATTGCGCCAATTAGTAACTGGCTTTGTGAGGAGATTCTCGAAGTTCTAGTGAGAAGTCGTGACTAGTGGAGTTCAACTCTGTCGAGTGTAGGGCGGTAACTACCGCGGACAAATGGGTAAGGTCTCTCTACATTGACATTAACACCGTTAGATGCCCGCCTAGTGGTCCAGTGGTAAATAACCAATCAAAAATAGATCTAGTGTTGTTTGTAAGTTAATTTACCATAAATATGAATACAATTACAGTGTTAGGCCGTCAGTTTTTAATTTCTGCGCCTACTGTATGGCTGCGAAACATGGCCAGTAGGAGTAGAAGATATTTGTAGGTAACTGGTTTTCTATCATAGGTGTCTCCAAAGCATTGCTCGTATATCGTGGGACACCGGAGTGAGCAACGCTGTTATTAGGAATCGGGTGCTAGGTAAGGGTGGCAGATCAGTAGATGAAGTATTGAAACTTCATCAGTTGAGGTGATTGGGACATGTGTTACGAATACCGAACCACCGACTCCTTCGTCGAGCTAAGTTTTGTGATGTAGCAATAGGTTGGAAGAAAGCTGGGGGCGGCCAGACCAAAACATGGCACAAATCCATGATGCCATTGACAAGTGAACTGAGCCATGTTCATAGGTGTCGACTACATGGTTGGGATCCTCGAGACGATACTAACCGATGGTTAGAGGTTTCGAATGACATCACTATGGGATTTTAAGTGACAATAGCGTCTCTGTGCTAATGTGATTTTAGCAACCTGAACTGATGTACATACGTACGAAGTTCTACATTGTTGTTGACTGACTGATTGACAGTGCACATTAACTTAACTCCTAATCTTTTTAAACAGCTATAAACTGAAAAGGGTTATTTAGTACACTTTAAAAATGGTTTATACAGTTATTTTGAAATAAATCTAATATATCAGTCTGAAAGAAATAAAAATATTACGCGTACAAAGTTGAAGAACAGATCAGAGAGATTGTTGTGGTGTTTCATTCTCTAAGCTGGATGTTGTTTCGGTTGAGGAGCTTTCATTGTTCTTCTGCTGAACAAACAAAACATCCAGCTCAGAGAACGAAACACCACCACAATCATTCATCTGAGCTACAAATTTTCTCCAACATCTCAAGATCAGAGGGAAAAAATTCCCCTTCATATTGTAACAATGCGTTTTAGGTATATTTCATATTAACAAGACAAGCTGATAGCTATGTGTAAAAACATGCTTACTAGATGTTTATGTTTTAAAGTTGATGATGTACTCATAAAAAAACTGACTCAATATTTTTTGATCACCAACAACAGTGTTTATGAGAACACAAAGAAAAAAATCAGAATTATTTCAAAAACGATATTCTGTGAAATGAAAAGACGAAGAACATACGCAACACATCATCTATCATTTTTTTACATTTTCTCCAGATGTGGTGCGCGCTACTTATAAGTAGTATATGACGTGAGTGTAAACGTAATGTCTGGCAGCAGAAAATGGGGGAAGATCAAGAGAAAGGAAGAGTGGGAACACAATGGAATTCGTGTATGAAACGCATGAATAAGTGTAATGTCAGACAATGGATTGATGATGGATTGAAGATTTGCAAATTAACGATTTACGATATGGTTTTCCTATTTTATTGAGTAACTCTGTAATTTTTGTTAAATACGATTCGGTTGCCCTCACCTGTGTTCTCCTTCACTACACAGAAACCTGGAAGCACTGGACGGCCTTTTGTGTCTTAGTATGAGACTCGTCAGCAGTGCGCATCCAGGAATCGCGCTATTCGCAGGATTCGCACCAAGGACCTTCAGTTTTACGCGCGAACGCTTAACTTCTGCACCATTGAGCCAACATCCTACATCAGAGATCGATTTTTTTACAATGTTCGTTAGTTATTGAAAATCTATTTTAAGTATCCTTTCTTTAAAATTAAACTAAATTTTCAAAATAAAATATATTGTTTTGATATATTTAGATAAACAATTTACATATAGAGTTAAAACACGCAAATGATATTTTTTTGAAAATAAATCAGTGTGAAAAAAAATATATATATATATATGCATATATACTACTGAAATTGTTGGCAATATGCATTTTACCCGCAAAAAAATTAAACTTACATGCCTTCCAGCAATTGTGAAAAATCGTAACATTAAAACAAACCAACCGAAATTATTACTGATCATATGTTTTTCCTTTATTTATATGATTTGTTAAAAGAAAAAATAAAAGAGTGCCTGTCAATAAATAGATAACACTGGAAGAAAATAAAGATGTCAATGAGAAACATTGTTTTTCTTAAAAATTAAAATTATAATTCACACTTACAATGCTACCCACACATATGATTATGTTTTTTGTGTGATAAATTTTTTATTTAAAGAGATTGAATTAACGAAAAGAAGAACATCATTTTGTTTTATTTAGTTAGCTCCTAATTAATTAAAGAGCTGTGAAAAGTCAAAACTAACTAGATGATGGTAGGTTAATTTAATGTTATATCTCTGTTAGCGTGATAAAGTTGTGGAGATTGTTGAGTTACTTTTTGAAATGATGAGTCGATCAATGCTAGACTACCATTATAAATTTGAAAACACTGAAGGACAACAGTTTCGTCTTGGTATGGGACTCATCAGCAGTGCGTATCCACGACTCTTATCATGCAAATTATCATGTACTCTCTAGCGACTAGCTCAATGAGTAAATTTCTTCAAGTTCTAGTGAGAAGCCGTGACTAGTGGCGTTCAACTCTATTCAGGTGTCCAGCAGTACTTACGGAAGAGAGTGGAAGAGGTTGTACGAAACCATGGATTGATAGAAGTTAGATGTAAAAACTGTTAAATACCGGCTTAGTGGTCAGGAGATTAGGGGTTTGCACTCCATAGTGAAGGTCCTGGGTTCGAGTCCTACTACTACTGGAAGTAAGTTCCTGCATTGGCATGAACACATATTCTTTAAGGAGAGAAAACGTTAGACTACTGAATTTTTAAATGTGGTGAACTGTACCTCTTTGACTCCGCTGTTCGTCATTAGGACTTGAAATCTAACTTGGATTTATGACAAGAATCAGCTTATTATTACTTTATAATAGTTACTTAATTAACTGAATGCTCATATAACTTGACTAGCGCTATTTAAGTCAGCTGTATCATGAATCTGACTTGTTAACAGTTTTCCAGAGTTTTTAAAAAGATTGACATATACTACTCTTTGTTGACAGTTATTGACTTTGCGCACTTGATATGCTCGTCAACTGATATGCTTGAATGCTATTACGATAGGCTATTCTAATCCAATCGTCCCAGGCCCTGCTAACTAGATCAAGAAGTCTTAATAAGACGTAGAGAATGTTTTCTACAAGCACCCAGAAAATGCGAGGTGTCTAAGTACACAAACCAAGTTTATTTATACAGTAATAGAAACGTCTTTAGGAGAGCCACAAAATAGCGTACCGATGAAAGTCAAGGATTTTCCGAGTGGAAAATGTAGGCTGGAGTTCAGGGATTTAAAGTCCTAACAAAACTGTAACCATCATATAAACTTTTATTTCAAAAACATTGTACTCTACTCAATACTTCCTGTCAAAAAGACTCATCCGGTGTCTGTTTACCATTTGAAATAACCATAAAATCCACCCATTTAATTTGAAAATTTGTGAAATCATAAATGAAAGAGGTTTAAAGATTATTTTTTTTACAAATCAAACTTACAGGAATCGGCCTCAATATAAAATGTAAAATAATCCATGTAACACCAAGTACTGCGACCAACATATCAAAACGATTACGTTTCGATTGCCAATAACCAGCAAATTTCAGTGCAATAATTTTCAGTAAACATTCAATACAAAAGAATAATGTGAATAGAATGCCTAGTGAGACTTGAATTTGATATCTTGGCTTAACCCAACTAGATCGTTCAATACCTAATTCATTAAACTAAGAAAATAGAAAATAGAAAAAATAGTAATTATAACAGTAATGATTAGGAAAACAATAAGATATATATATAGTGTAATGTTATTGCAGTCATGAATATTAGTCTACCACTAGTAACCTGGAAGCGTTGGATAGCCATTTCATACTAGTATGGGACTGATTAGCAGTGCACGTCCATGGCTGCTGCTACTCGCAGGATTCAAACCTAGGACATTCGGAGATTCTCACGAACCCATAATTTCTGAACCACTGGGCCAGCATCCACCGGTATTAATGTCAGTTTCTGTCCATTAGTGACTAGGATTTTGAGGAAATCCTCGGAGTTCCAGTGAGATAAGTAGAGCTCAATCCCATGGGGATTAGGCGGCAACTACCGAAGACAATGGGTGAGGTTACACAAAACCCTTGAATTCATCAGTGTTATACATTAACGCCGTTGGATGCCGGCACAGAGGTTCAGATGTTGGGCGTTCACGTGCCAGACGGAAAGACCTGGGTTCGAATCCTGCGGGTAGCGGGGCTCGCAGATGGGCACTGCTGAAGATTCCCATACCAAAATGAAACAGCTGTCCGATGCTTCCAGGTTTCTAATGGTGGTCTGACAGTGATTGTTTCATGAATCCAATAAGTAACAACAATCTCTATAACTCTTTTTTGATATACTGTATTCGACATGAAATACAACGTAATAATTAAAAAATGTTTGCTTCCCGTAGATTTACAATACAACTGGTAAAACTGCATTATACAGTACATTTATTGGATAGACTAAAATTCATATTTTGCAGTAGCTCCAAGTGGGATTCAAGGTATACATTTCCTGGTGTTAATTACGACTCAAATTATTGAAGAATAACTGTTCAGTGTTTTGTTTCATTCTCCATAAAGCTTCCAAAATACTTCATGATAATTTACGAAGTCTAAAACTCTTCGAAATGTTTTCATTCCAGTTAAGTAAAATAAAAGTATTTACATGTACAAATATCGGGTTTATTAACCAAACTAGGTTGATTGTTAAATGTTCTATGTTGGAGAGTTTTCCAGTGAAGTTTCGACTTGTGTTAAAAAAGTTTCAATCTACACAAAATGACCTTTTAATAATTTTTCAGAACTGAAAAATTTACAAATTAAATCAGCAATAACAGTCTATACTATTTTCAATGACCACCATATTCAGATTAAAAGGTGTTATAATAAATTCAGAGAGTTTTTACCAACTATAAAGAGTGGCGGCTAGTAGCGGAAACGTTTCACACATTATTATATCCGCTTGGCCGAAATGGGAAAAAAAAACCAACTATTGGTTCAACTTCGACTGTTAATCCAAAACAATCATATTTAGCTTTGTTCATTCTCTAGAAACACAATCTTTGCAAACAATTCACAAGCAATCATTGTTAGACCATCATTAGAAACATGGAAGTACGAAAGATGGCCCTTTCGTCCTGATATGGGACTCATCAGCACTGCTCTTCCACAATTCATGCTACTTGCAGGGTTCAAATCCAGGACTTTCGATCTTGCAGGTGAACGCCTAACCTCTTCACCACTGGGCCGGTGGCATCTAACGGTGTTAATGTCTAACTCTGATTAATCTAAGGATTTAGCGTAACTTCATCCACTGAAACTATCATTTCAAGGTAAAACTATGATCTCCCTCATACTCTAATGCAAAAAACACAATCAAATTTCAACTCTACTCCTTTTGGATAACAAATCACACATTTTTTGACAGACACCATTATATATTCGTACTATAAACACAGTGAGTGATATCTCATGCAGAATCATTCTAACCCTAAACATTCCAATGCTGTTGACAATAATCAAACCTATTTTTGACTTTAATTGAATGTAAATATTCTACTCGAGTTCTACTCGTTTTTTTTTACAGTGTTAAACTTAAGTTAATTTAATTGGATTATTACTTTGACATAGTGGATTATTACCATACTTAAATCACAGAATGTCAAAGCTTTACAATTATACATATATATTTATAAAGAAATATTGTTATTTTTAATTAAAATAACCGATTGGATGAAATGAATTTCAAGAAATTCTTTTTGATAAGAAAAAATAAATCAATTACAACCGAATTTAATGAAATCCTAAAAAACAAATAGAAAATTAATGAAATTTATGTGAAACTAATCAGAATAAGAGTTGACATTGGTTGTGAATAGAGGAAAATAATGTCAGTAATTATTGTTGTATAAAGTCTGAAAAGAAAATTGTTTGAATGAAGTGTTAATAACTTTTTCTATTTGCTTGTTCGAATAATTGAAAATCTGTCAGATTTGTGAGAAAAAAGGTAAAAAAACAAACACTTCTCTCAGTAATTGATCAATGGTCGGAATATTACAAAAATTGTAAAACTAACATTGTTAGTTACCGCTAGGATGGGGGAAGTTGTTTTTGCCAAAAATTTACACTATGGATTAAGTGTAGTTAGCTAAACACTGAGAATCACTCAGCAATGAGTTGTTTATTGCTAGGATAGAATTTGTCAGTAGTGTACATTAACGAACCAACCAGTAGTTGTGTGTAGGAACTTTAGACCTTCATAGTAAACACATAATATTTAGATTAATGAGTTGTAGTTGTTGTTGATGAAAACCAGCTTCAGTCAGTTTGTTGAGAATTCCATTGTTCACAGCTTTCTCAGTAGTATTCAGTAGTAGTTGTAGTAGCTGCTACCTTGACGTGGTGGTCGGGTTTGCCTGTCATGATTATCTAATGGAGCTATGCTGGCTGAGTCATATATTCGTTTTGGTTCCCACTATGCCATACAGGTCGACTGGAGAATGGTTAGACTGAAAGCAGTAAATTAGGGTTTGAGGGCGAAGTCTGTCTGACGACTTTAGAAAGTTCTGACAGCAGTTAAGTGTTTCCATTGGACAGACAGATTCTGCAGCGATGCTGCCTTCTCACGACAAAACGAAGCGGTTAGAAATGGTTAACCTTAAAAATTTCACATATCACCTAACTACTCTTATTTCCATCTCCGGTTGTAAGGCCTTATGAAGATTGAATCTGATATTTCGCAAAAATTCCATATAAAGGCCGTGCGTGACCGGTCTCAAACTTTCCTCCCTTGGGCGAAGTTAACGGGTGTAGACCATATTGCTGAGATCCGCGAGACGATTGTAATCAGTGGTTAGAAACTTTGAATGGCATGACTGAATATCGTTTTCATGTACATCCACTCTTTGTTTTCTCTCAAATTCTAATCTTTCTGAATTCCTCATAACATCTTTAATCGTCTTCAAACTAGTTTCACTGAGATCCCCAATCTTTCGGATTCTCGATAATACTTCTACTACCTGTACCACAATGGGATTTGAATTGGCAATTTGATTTCTGTGTGCTAATATAGTGTGGCACCTTGAGCTGATGTATGTACATACGTACGAAGTTCCAAGTTATAGCTGACTGACTGACTGACTGACTTCACCTCAATTCCAAATGTTTAGTCAGTTATACAACAGCTACTGATATAAATTATCTTAAAAAATCGATATTTTTTCTCTTTTGAAACAAAAAAAACATGACACACTCATACTTACTGGAAAGAATAACAGGAAACAATTCGCCACAACAAGAGTTGCAGAAGCACGTTTAAATAAAATATGCTGTGTAATATCATAGATGAAACAACGAAATTTTAAACTTTTCTTTTCTAAATTATTTGATTTTGGACTGACTATGTTCCGCGTCAGACCAGGTTCTTGATGAAGTTCTAAAAATCAAGTTTAAAGACAAAATGCAAATATTCTAAATATCTATCTTTATTATAAACTGATATGAATTAGCTCAAGGTATATGGAAAGCATAGAAACTTATTATTATGCTCTAGTTTTATACAAGCCATGAATAAATCAATAATTGTTAGATCATCACCGTTAGAAACCTGGGAGCACTGAAAGACGGCAGTTTCGTCCTGGTTTGGGACTCATCAGTGACAGTACGCTTTGTAGAGCAAAGATAACAAATTCCTTAATAACACTGGATGATGATAATGATGACATCATATGGTGAATTATGCAGAATGGAAAATTATGTTGCGACGGAAATGAACTCAATGATTGAATGTAACAGAGCTCATCAATAGATCTCAAGGCCTTAGATAATCATTTCTCATTGATTGTTCAGACATGGAGAGTGATTCATACTAATCATAGTCAATTCAATGAGATTCAACTTGTTAATTTCAGAATAATTGAACACTGAATAAATTGTTTATGATAATCGTTATGATGATTATTATTTCATGTCAGTCTTGCTATCAAAGAGAATAGATAAGTATTTTTGAATTAATACAAATTAATTTTCTGAGTCAGTATGCAATTCACTAATTTATTGACTATCCTGTTATAATCACATTGTTACTTCTATCGATATAAAGTGTTGCGAAAGGTTGCATAACACTGGATAGTAATAACTTAGAAAAGGATTTATTTATGCATGAAGTGAACGATCGACACACGGGAAGGATAATAGTTTGATCACTTAATAGTGACCAATGACATGTATGTCATGTATGTCTACTTGGTGTTGATTCAAACCGATCATTTGGATTACAATAAGGCCGCCAGTTTTTCCATTGACTTGCTATAATGTACACTGTGTTAAGATGTTTGGGTATGGTTGAAGGCAGTTGATAGTAGACGCTGGACCTATATTTCATGTCAGCCCACACTCCGGCAAGATTTACGTGTAATCTTGAGAGAACTGATACTCTCCGGAGGATTCAGTCCCGTTTCACTCTGTTTCACAGTTAGAGCTATGTAGAATAGAGATGCATCACTTTTGAATACTGAATAGAATTTGGACCAATTTATTTGCATATTCAAGTGGCCAGAGTAAAGAAAGTGGTTATATGAATGTTTTATTAAACACAGAGATGAAGTATTCCAATTAAGTCATTAACAATTTTTAAATTATACATGTGACAACCATAAGAGATTGAGTGCGTTTTGAGATGTAACTTTAAAACAAATTTAATTAGGTTTAATATCTGGTACCACCATATGTAGAAGTATACAGCTGCTTAGATTGACAGTTTGTTCTTTACTCTGTTATGAGGCATGATTATCGAACATGTTTTGACAGGCTCGCTCAGTAATGCATTCAATGTAATTAGCTCCAAGGTTATGTAAAAAATTTTCAAATGAAGATTTTAGTTATAGTATTGTATCATATAATTAGTTGTTGAAAACAGCAAAGTATTGAACTGTTGAGATCTGACTTTCGAGGAGGGACAGTTGTGTTCACTTCCTAGAATTTCTGTATATTATCGATGTTAGGGACGTTAGATCCCCAAAACTTGCTTGATAAATGCCTTATTTCGGATTTCACGTTTACCAGCATGGGCTGATCACTTAACCTTGAGATTACATTTCCCACCGGGAAAATCCATGGCTGTAATTGGCTGCTGTTTATTTTAGTGTGCTGTTTTTGCGACTGTCCCAAGGACGTTTCCATGATGTATAAATAAACGAGAATTGTGTGCTCGAATGCATTGTACTTGCTAGGTGTTTTTAGAATATACTTTCTACGCTATATCAAGACTTCTGTTTTGCCGTTTTCGTATCAAGGTAGCCTACCTGGACGCTGGTTCATTGTCTCGTTCACGTTTATCAACTAAGGTGAGCCCGTGATAGCTTCAAGCGTACTTAGTAACGAACCTAACAATCACGAGAAAGCCACCGAATTCACTTCGCATTCCAATTAATTCATCAGTCGATGTGAACATAACACCAGTTGAGTTTTATTTTGAAAAGTGGCAGTTTTGAGGCCTACTCAGAAAGTTGAAATGTTTGATTTTGAGCCACTAAAACATAAGTTGCAATCACTTCCTACCCGCTTTGGTTTAGGCAACCAGTTAGTTTCAGTAACCTTCAGATTGAAGTAATGACTTGAAGACAAGTAGTCAGATTTGTACCTCCTATCGGGTAACTGAAAAAAATCACATCGACTCACGTAGGAAGGTAGTTTCACTACCTCACATACAAAAATTCACAGTATTTCTTTTTGGTTGAACTGTTAAATTGTCTTAGAGTTAACAATTATTTTTTTTTACAAAAATTAACAATTCGACTATTTGCATTACGGGGTTGTGAAGATTGTTGAGGAGTCCCATACCAGAACGAAACGGCCGTGTTTCAGTGCTTCCAGGTTTCTAATGGTGGTCTAACATTGTTCATGGTTCATGGTTTCAAAAATGTGTAACTTAACAATCTTCACAACCCCGTAATGCAAATTATCTGTGCTCACTAGTGACTAGCTTCGTGAGGAATCTTCTCTGGGTTCTAGTGAGAAATCGTGACCAGTGAAATTCAACCTGTTCGGGTGTAGACAGTAACTACCGAAGACTGTGTATGAGGTTGCGCAACTCCGTGAATCGATCAAGTTAGACATTAACACCGTTAGATACCGGCTCGTTGGTTCGATGGTTAGGCGTTCGTGCACAATACCGAAGGCCCTGGGTTGGAATCCTGTGGGGTGCATGATTTGTGGATGCGCACTGCCGAATGGTCCCATACCAGGACGAAACGGCCGTCCAGTGCTCCCAGGTTTCTAATGGTGGTCTAACATTGATCGATTCATGGTTTCAAAAATGTGTAATTCGACTATTTTCACAAAAAATAATTTACAAATCGAAAATCACTTACTTGGACGTGGTGGTATTTGTAATGGTTGAGTAAGTCTTATACGTCCTTTCAAATCTAACCATCTACGTTGATCGACAGTAAGCAATGCTGTACCCTTGAAAGAAAATTTTGAAAATTCAATATAGAATAAATTAAATATCATGAAAATGTTAGTTGAAATGACATTTCAAAACCTAAGATATTCTGTTACTGCCTAAATGAGATGTCTTCCTACATAGAGAATATATAAGTATATATATCGATCTAATATTAATCAGGTTTCAAATAACTGATCTAAAATTAGCTGTATACAATTCAACTCAATGTGAATTTCGAAGATTAGATTCAGATGACCTCCACATAAATTCCAGTTCGCTTACATTTAATTTGGTTAAGCCCTTTCGATGAATAATTTATTTAACCAAGCCATTTGTATTGCAACAATTTATTTGTACCATTCGTTCTTATTCTTGTCTGGTTTGTATGAGCTCACATGATGTGTCCGACTTGTCATTTGACCTTGTCAATCATTCGTCGCTTCTGTTCATGTGTGTGCACGCCTATTTCGCTTGTCATATGTCTGCCTTATTTTTGTCTGACTATATATTCTTAGTCATGCTCTATTTCTTGGAATTGGCTCAACAGCATTCTCCAATTCATGTCGCTTCATTCGTTTTATTCACTGCTTCTGTGCTTCGCTTTGTGGTGTGTCCCAAATAAACGTATTCAACATACTACGAGTTCACCTTCTGATTTATAAACCATCAGACGCCATTTAGTAACGATTGTCTAGACGAGCTAATCACAAAGATTAAGAACACGCAGTAAATTTACACACTACACTATCAATTGCAAACTTCTCATTGATGATACAATTTGCCAACTGTCACAAACGGAATATTTGTGACCAACTGTGACCAACTTAGTGTTTTTTTCACACATAAGTTGATAGAACTGAAATTTTTATTGTATACAAAAATTCTATCATTTTGTGAAAACTATTCATAATTTTTCAAAAAAAATATCCTTTCAACACCCAGTCTACATATATATATATTTCATATCAATGACATTTCACAAGTACGCATAACTTATACGCAAGTACAACAAACACACTTTTACACAAACAATGTGTTTCGTTTAGTTTTGACAAGTGAAACACTATCATAACAAACTCAAAAATTAAAACAATTTCAAACAAACAATGTATTGTGGTAAAAAAAACCCAAATAGTTTGAAACTATTGACATGAAAACATAATTCACTGTCTATTCAATGTTATCCTAACACATATATATGGAACATTGTCAATTTGCCACATCAGTCGTCTCTCTATATCAATGGTGTATTTCATTTCTTGAGGGGGAACGAAAAACTATTTTTTGTTGGACAGATTTTGTTAATTTGATAAACTGATGAGAATCTTTGTAAAAACAAAAAATGATTTTTGTAAATAAACTTGACAATTATTATTATTGCAAACTAGAATTGTTGAACATAATTAATATATTTATATATTTATATTGATAATTGTAACTTTTGTTCAATAAACATTGAACAAGTATTGAAACAACTGTTTGTGATTTTTGTTTTTTTAAACCTAATAGAGTGAATAACTTAAAAAAATTGATTTTCACAGTGTTATAAAGAAACTTTATGACTGGTGCAGGTATTATCATGTCACTACTAGTGAAACCTATGGCATCGATGTATGTTTTTGACGTTGTTTAAAATCAAGAGTTTTTAAATTGATGAAGAGTATTCAACAACAAAAAAAATAGCACAGTTGTTTAATTTCATCCGTGGTTATTTAATAAGTGTTTGAATTTTAGTCAGTGTATGATAGAACCTAACAATGTTCATTAAATTTTTTAATCACTGAAATCATGAACCAATCATTGTTAAACTACCACTAGAAACCTGGAATCACTGAAAGACGGCCGTTTCTTCATGATATTCCCATAAAAAAATAACTAATCCATAATTGGTAGATATTTAGTAATTAACTCGATATTAATTAACATTTTAACACAGGTAACAGTATGTAACGTGTTTAAAAGCTTAACGTATTTTGTTACGTACTTAGTTACTTACACTTGGAGCATTGGCCACCGAGCAGCGAATTATTTTTCTGGTTGGCGTTTTTTCTTTTTAGCAAGTTGGATTTCTACGGGGTGGGTTCGCTAACCTCATGCCCGACCTCCCTTCTTTATCCAAATTTGCGATCGGCAGTAACCTCAGCGGGACTCCAGGTGAAGTCAAAGTATTTTGTTATTCATCACTTATTCCTACATCGTTGGTTAGGACCTGCGGCGTTGCGGACGAACACTCAATCTGTGGACCACTGAGCCATCATCCAGATACGTTAATGCCTAACTCTAATCAGTCTAAAGATTTTGGACAACCTCACCTCTTCTGCTTCAGTAGTTACTGCCTACACTCGATAGGGTTGAACTGCACAGGTCAGGTCTTTTCACTAGAACTCCGAGAATTTTCTCACGAAGCTAGTCACTAGTAAGCACATTTTACGATTTTTCATTATAAGGTTATAAAGATTGTTGTTTACTACTGAAATAATGAATCAGTCATTGTATATAAGATAAAAATTGAAACGAAGAGGTTACCGTTATAAGTCACTATAGAAATACTACTGAGAATGCTTATTGATGTAGTCACTATTTAGGCTGGTCTACCTATGTAGCAAAGACTTCTAAGATGACAAGGAATATAAACGCTTTCGCAAATTTTTAATAGAAGCTTATGTAATTAATTGAATCTTGGAATAACCATCACAATTTTACAACTGTTAGACAACAGTCATTTTCCAAACAAGCAAAATATGAAATTTCAATTATCTAGTTGCCAACATCATAGTTTGCGAACCAATGACAATCAAGTTGCAAGGAACTGTGGTCTCATCTTATTATGGGGCTCTTAAGTAATACACACTTACAGACACCTCATGGATTCAGGTCAGCGTCTTTAGATAAAAAGATTTTAATCGTAAAGTTCAACCATGTCAAGAATGAGATATATCATTTATAACAGTTAAGGTACCCTTAGTCATCTTACATATCAAATATAGCTCATGATATACGGATACTGTGATCGAACTAAAACAAGGCAATACTAAGACACCTGATAATTCTTCAACAGATTTCTAGTGGTTTCATGTATACATACCGTCGAGGAGTTTCGAACTAAGGCGAAACACATAGGTTATTTATGAATGCCATGTAATTGATAGACAACATGGATCTGATGACGATGTGAAGACAGGAAATACCAAAACATGAGTAACATTCCTACAATCGAACAATATCTCCAACTCAAAACCACTATCAACCAACACTCAAGTCACAATTTCCAATACAAATTTTAAAAACTGTTCTACTTTATGGAACGAAAATTTCGGGAACCATGAAAACTTGCATCCACGAAACGTAAGTGTTTACTAAGAGATGTCTACTCAAGATACCCCGAATCCATTGGTCAGACACTATCAGAAACAACTTCCTGTGGACAGAATAAACCAGATTGCAGCTTCGTTGGAAGTGTAAAGGACACATGAGACGGAAATCACTCAACTGCATCAAAAAACAAGCCTTGTTTCGAATCCTCAAGGCCAAAGGAGATGATGAGGAGGACCAAAGAAGATATTACTCCGAAAAATCAGGAGCTGACATGAAAAGAATGGAGCATTATTGAGTAGGACTAGACAAAAAGACCCAGTCCATAGTAAGTTGGCGGACGCTGGTCGGTGGTATATGTTCCAATAAAGGTAACAGGCTTAATGTTGGCGATGTTAAATCCCTAGAACTCGCTTGATGAATGTCTTATTTTGGATTCTACGTTTGCCAGCATGGGCTGATCAGTTGACCTTGGGATTTCATTCCCACCAGGAAAATCCTTGGCTGTGATTGGCTGCTGTGTATTTTAGTGTGCTATTTTGTTAACTGACCCAAGGATGTATAAATAAACGAGATTTATGTGCTTGAATGCATTGTGCTTGCTGGGATTTTGTAGAATATACTTTCTACGCTTGCCAAGACTTCTGTTTTACCGCTTGGGATTCAAGTTAGCCTACCTGGACGCCAACCGAAGGTCGTGTGTAGTGAGCAGTAGTTCGCTCCGTCTTACTTTATTGCTGTGAAACATGGTCAGTAAGAGTAGGAGATATTCTTAGGTTACTGGTTTTCGATCATAGGTATCTTCCAAGCATTGCTCGTATATCATGGGACAACCGAGTGAGCAACGCTGTTATTAGGAATCGGGTGCTAGGTAAGAATAGCAGGTCAATAGATGAAGCATTGAAACTTCATCAGTTGAGGTGGTTGAGACATGTGCTGCATATGCCTAACCACCGACTGCCTCGACGAGCTTTATTTTGCGATGTAGGATTAGGTTGGAAGAAAGTTAGGGGCGGCCAAACCAAAACATGGCACAAATTCATGAAGTCATTGACGAGAGGACTTAGTCATGTCGGTAGTTGTCTACTACCTGGTTGGGGTCCGCGAGATGATGACAATCGATGGTTAGAGACTTTGAATGACATGGCGCCGGTGCATTTATTATTTGTGTTCTCTCAAATCCTAATCTTCTGGATTCTTCAACACCCCTAGTTTTGACTTTCTAAACTTTTCTCACTGAATCATACTTCTTGAATAGTATCTTCCAACCCTAACCTCTCCGATTACTTCTAATACCCTTACTACCTCTTCTACTATTGGATTTGAATTGACAATTACATCTCTGTGCTGATGTGGTCTGGCAACATGAACTGATGTACTTACGTACGAAGTTCTACGTTGCATCTGACTGACTGACTGACCTGGACGCTGGTAATTGTCTCGTTCCCGTTTATCGACTAAGGTGAACTCGTAATACCTTCAAGCGTACCAAGTGACTAACATAACACATAAGTAATTAAATGATATAATTGAAAGTTTTTTAAAAAAAATAAGTTATCAATAACACAATGAAACCATAACTAAATTCATCAAGTCTATCGAGCCCCCCAGGTGAATAGATTAAAATCAACCAATAATGCTTAAACTAATCACAATCTCTGAAATTGAATGACATACGTTCAAAATTAGTTTATGTAATAATTGTGCATACATTGAATATGTAATATGAAGTTAGCGCGATAAGATTAAAAAAACTACATGGTGTTTCCTTATCGCCATTATGTCATCCATCTAACAATAGTAACTATGCTTTTAAATAAAGTCTACGTTTTTCTATTATCTGATGCTTTCTTTAGCTTTCAACATGTTGTTTATATATATATATATATATATATATATATATATATATATATATATATATATATATATTTTTTGAAATATATTGTCAGTTGGTTAAAACAATTAGTCTATACTGTAGACGACGTAAGCTTTTGCTTTTTTCTTTCTTCTTCAAAAATTGACAATTGAATGCCGAACATTCTATGCAAGTTAGGTTAAAAAATGAACAAAATCTTTTGGGTTTTTGTTTTTTTTTCTGTTGTCTAGTTTCAATTTTTTGAATTTGAATAGTGTGAAAAGAATTATACACAATGAAAATGATTTATTTCTTTAAAAACATGAAATAATATACCAAACCGAAAATACAATATGGCGGAAATGCATTAGTTACCTTATTTTCACTGTAATTTGCTATGACCACTCCGACAAATAATGTTAAACCAATTAAACATCCAATAAATACAAATAAATGTATGTATATCACATGTCGCTATTAATGAAAACGAGAAGAAAATAATGCCATAAATAACACAATTGAATTTGATGTTTATTTAAAAAAATATTGTAGAGAATGTTGAAAAAGTACCTAGGCTCTTCATCAATATAACAACAGGTGTCAATTATTGACTTACGGCGTTGAAATCATGAATCGATCAATGTTAGAGCACCATTAGAAACTTGGAAGCACTGGATGGGTAAGGTGTAGGAGTTGTGAATGTGCAATGCCGATGAGTCCTATATCGGGACGAAATGACCGTCTTTCAGTGCTTCCAGGTTTATAATGGTGGTTTAAAGTTGATCGATTGATGACTTCAAATTATTGTCTTGTGATCATTCACAGGATGTTTTTATTCTTCATGATTTAAACATTATCAGTGAATATATGTAATTCAGAGTGAAATGATTGATAAGAAGAAATTCTCTACATCGGAATAATATATTGATCAACAATTAAACTGTTCCTTTATTCAATTTTCAAACAATTAGTCGTTTTTATAAATGTGATTAATTTGTGCAATATACTTCGAACACTCTGGTCACACACATGTACATGTATTAATAAAAGGTCAATTAAATAAAAGTTCAAACAGACATAAGGTGATAAGTTTAAATAAAGGAGGGAGAACAATAAGATTAAGAAAGGGTAGGAAATTGTCCCATGACCCTACGCCACAAAATCGCTTAAAGACTACCAGGGTAGATTCAAGGTTATAACAAATTGTTTCTGTACACATAATTTACAAATAGCCAAGGCTTCCATAAAACTCTGGCAATCGATGAACATGGTTTTCTATTTCCCACGTTTATCGGCTCACCTGACGTTATTGATTTTGAAGCCACTTAGGTACATGTTCCATAACTCTTGATTCCAAAGTTCGATTACTCCTTCTTATGTATGTGTGTCAACACGAAAATGCAAGTTGATAAACGCATTAGGATGTGATGTAATCGTAGTTCGACCAATGTCTAGGCCTATGTGGAATCATCGGCTTAGTCCTTTCAATTATAAACAGTTTTGCAGCATAGTGTTGGGGATGTTAGATCCCCAAAATTCGCTTGATAATGCCGTATTTCGGTTTTCACGTTCGCCAGCAGGGGCTGATCAAATGACCTTGAGATTTCAATTCCCACCAGGAAAATCGATGGCTGTGATTGGCTACAGTGTATTTTAGTATGCTATTTTCTTAACTGTCTCAAGGACGTTGTTATGTTGTATAAATAAACGAGAGTTGTATGCTTGATTGTACTGTGATTGCTGGGTGTTTGTAGAATATACTTTCTACGCTTACCAAGACTTCTGTTTTACCGTTGGAGTCAAGGTAGCCTTCCTGGAAGCTGGTAAAAGTATCGTTCGCGTTTATCGACTAAGGTAAACTCGTAATAGCATCAAGCATCCTAAGTGACGAACATATCAGTGGCGACGGTGCTTTTGGAAATATGGATCCTGCCAAACTTGAATTACTACTTGAGCAGCAGCTGAAACTGATGCAGATGTTGACAGACATGAAGATTTCCCCTTCCACACAGCCCAGCTCATCTAATGCAACCACAGCTCCATCGGTCGACGGCATCGCAAATAGCATATCTGAATTTCATTATGATCCTGATGCAAATGTCACTTTTGACATGTGGTTCCGGCGTTATGAAGATTTATTTAAATTTGATTTCGCCAACCAAGATGATGCTTGGAAGGTTCGGCTGCTACTTCGAAAGTTGGGCGCAAGTGAGCTGGATAAGTACTGTAATTTGATCCTGCCTTTGAACCCACGAGATTGTTCGTTTTCTGAGACTGTTCAGACTTTAAGCCAACACTTTGGAGACAACTCGTCACTATTTAATACTCGTTATCGATGTTTGAAGCTTATTATGAACGAAGATGATGATTTTCTTACGCACGTGGGCATCGTCAACCGTGAATGCGAACGCTTTCGGTTGAAGTCTTTGTCGGAAGACCAGTTCAAAGCCCTTATACTCATCTGCAGCCTCCAGTCGAGCAAGTTCAGTGACATTAGAACAAGGCTACTAAGTCGGTTGGAGCAAGATCCAAAGCTTACGCTTAATGATATGGCTCATGAGTACCAACGTCTCACTAACCTACAACGAGACTCGACTATAGTTCAGAGTGGTAGTTCAAGCCGATCTGAAATTCATTTGGTACAGCAGCCACCTTATCATAACAAGTCTGCCCATGCTACACCCAGTTCACCCCGCTCCAATTCGGCCCAAAAACCCAAAATGAATCCACCTTCTGCTTGCTGGCACTGCGGTTCATGGCACTATGTACGGAACTGCCCATTTAGGCAGCATAGATGCAGGAAGTGTAAAGTCATCGGTCATAAAGATGGCTTTTGCCTACAGAAGAAGCCAAAGCGATCCAGAAGTGCTAAGAAGCCTCTTCCTAGATCCAGTACCAATGCATTGAGCCTAATATCTTCCTGCCAAAGCTCATCACCAGGTGAGAGGAAATTTATTACTCTTAATATTAACGGTTATTTGTGTAGAATGCAAATAGATACTGCATCTGATGTCACTATCCTCTCACGTAAAAATTGGACCAAATTGGGCAGCCCAAGCCTGCAGCACACAACACAAAAGCCTCGTACAGCATGTGGTAATTATCTTCGTCTGTTAGGACAATTGGAATGTAAAGTTGCTTTCCGAGATTCGTCGTTTACTGGGGTATGCTATATAACGCCAGCTGATCTAAATTTACTTGGTTTAGATTGGTTCGACCAGCTAAAATTGGCTGATGTCCCACTAAATACCATATGCAGCCTGGTATCACAACGACATGACCCAGAAGCGTATACGAAGAAGCTGATGACAGAGTTTTCAACCATTTTTGAACCTGGATTAGGTCGGTGCACTGCTATGAAAGCAACACTTCGGTTGAAACATGGGGCTAAGCCTGCTTTTCGTCCAAAGAGACCTGTACCGTATGCTACATTAGCAACAGTAGATGAAGAGCTGGATCGCCTTCAACGACAAGGAGTTATTACTCCCGTTTCTTACTCCAGTTGGGCAGCACCTATAGTCGTTATCAAGAAGGCCAACGGCACGATACGTATATGCGCTGACTTCTCTACAGGTCTCAACGCAGCTCTAGAACAGCATCATTATCCTCTGCCAGTCCCAGCAGATCTGTTCACTATGCTGAATGGGGGAAAGTTCTTCGCAAAGCTTGACCTAGCTGATGCTTATTTTCAAGTGGAAGTCGATGAAGCATCTAAAGAGCTGCTTACTATCAACACTCATCGTGGTTTGTTCCAGTATAACCGTCTACCTTTTGGAGTTAAGACTGCCCCATCTATCTTCCAACAACTAATGGATACTATCCTGTCAGATATCGCAGGGGTTGCAGCTTATCTCGATGATATCTTGATTGTTGCGAAGACGTTAGAACAGCTACGGGAACGCACGACATTGGTACTACAACGCATCAGTGACAATGGTTTCCGGTTACGCCCAGAAAAATGCCAGTTTCTACTGCAGTCGGTAAAGTATTTGGGATTCATCTTTGATGCCGACGGTCGCAGACCGGATCCTGAAAACATCCGAGCTATCAAACTGATGCCCACTCCCACTAATGTTTCCGAATTACGATCTTTTCTCGGTTTGATCAGTTATTATTCAGCTTTTGTTCCCTCGATGCATGATATTCGCGCTCCATTGAATTGTCTACTGCAGAAGCATAGCACATGGAACTGGACTAAAGAGTGTGACGCGGCTTTTGGTAAACTCAAGTCTATAATTAGCTCGGAATTGTTATTAACACACTACGATCCATCCATGCCGATCATCGTAGCAGCAGACGCTTCAGCATATGGCCTAGGTGCTGTTATTTCACATCAATTTCCAGACGCGTCGGAAAAAGCCGTTATGCATGCATCCCGTACACTGACCCCAGCAGAAAAGAAGTATAGCCAGATAGAGAAAGAAGCTCTTGCCCTTGTGTTTGCTGTTCGCCGTTTCCATAAGTTTCTGTACGGTCGGAGATTCACGCTCCTCACAGATCACAAGCCTCTGTTAGCAATATTTGGTTCAAAGTCTGGCATTCCAGCCCATTCTGCAAATCGTCTTCAGCGATGGGCCTTGGTACTTTTGGGGTATGATTTCGAAATCCAATATCGACGTACTCTACAATTCGGTCAAGCAGACGCTTTGTCACGACTCATTAATGATCAAGTGGCGGCTGAGGAAAACATGGTGATCGCATCTCTATCAGTAGAAGACCACGCAGAATGTTATCTGACAACCGCAGTTCGTGCATTACCGGTGTCTGCAACAGACATACAAAATGCTTCTAGAAACGACCCCATCATCAAGATGACGATGAAATATGTCACTAAAGGTTGGCCGTCGAAAAAGTTTGAAGGTGACATGAAGCAACTGTATCAGCGGCGGGAGTCACTATGCATCGTCAACGATTGTCTGATGTTTGGTGAAAGAGTAGTGGTGCCAGCATCCCTTCGTGCAAAAGTGCTGAGACAGTTCCATCTTGGTCATCCTGGGATTAAACGAATGAAGTCCATAGCCAGGAGTTATGCATACTGGCCTCACATGGATCAACATGTCACAGCGTTGGTTGAAAAATGCATCCGGTGTCAGCAGGCGGCAAAGATGAATGCCAAAATTCCGCCGGTTTCATGGCCCAAACCTGAGCATCCTTGGTCCAGGATACATGTCGACTTCGCGGGCCCAATAAATGGAACTATGTATTTAATTGTCGTCGACGCCTTTTCTAAATGGCCGGAAATCAGCCCCGTTACGCCGCCCACTACAACTAAGACTATACAGCTCCTAACTGAAATTTTCTCACGGAATGGCATACCAGATGTGATCGTATCCGACAATGGCTCTCAATTCACCTCTTCCCAATTCCAGAATTTCTGTCAACGGCTAGCTATTAAACACTTACGCTCGCCACCATACCACCCGCAATCGAATGGGCAGGCGGAAAGGTTTGTGGATACGTTTAAAAGAGCACTGCTCAAGTCAAAAGGGGAGGGGACGCCAGCCGAAACGTTACAAAATTTCTTGTACGTCTATCGGACAACACCAAATGAATTGTTACCGGAGCAAAAGTCCCCAGCTGAAATCCTGATGGGAAGAAGATTGAAAACGATTCACAGCCTGATGCATCCGACCAATGCACCCTCATCAGTAGAGACAAAGCAGCAAAGACAATCCGCTTACGAAGTAGGATGCCCTGTGTTTGCCCGCGACTACAGAACGAACCATTGTCCTTGGGTAGAAGCGAGAGTGGTCAGAAGGGTTGGTCGAGTTATGTACGAAGTAGAGGTAGGAGGTGATAAATGGTCACGTCATCGCAATCAGATACGCAGACGGCTAGCCCCAGATCGCCCATCAAGAGCAGAAAGCCTTCCCCTTGACATCTTGCTTGATACCTTCAACCTACCGAGAGCCCCGCCACGAGAAGAAACTCAGCAGCAAGCTGTTCTTCGTTCCCGAAGGTATCCCCTCAGACAGCGGCGAACAATAGTCAAGATGCAAGTCAACCACAGGAGAACACGCTATTAAAAAGGGGAGGAGTGTTGGGGATGTTAGATCCCCAAAATTCGCTTGATAATGCCGTATTTCGGTTTTCACGTTCGCCAGCAGGGGCTGATCAAATGACCTTGAGATTTCAATTCCCACCAGGAAAATCGATGGCTGTGATTGGCTACAGTGTATTTTAGTATGCTATTTTCTTAACTGTCTCAAGGACGTTGTTATGTTGTATAAATAAACGAGAGTTGTATGCTTGATTGTACTGGATTGCTGGGTGTTTGTAGAATATACTTTCTACGCTTACCAAGACTTCTGTTTTACCGTTGGAGTCAAGGTAGCCTTCCTGGAAGCTGGTAAAAGTATCGTTCGCGTTTATCGACTAAGGTAAACTCGTAATAGCATCAAGCATCCTAAGTGACGAACATATCACATAGTATATTCTCTCTATGGATACTTTTATTCTCTGTCTTATGATTAAACCATTGAATTCATCTCTCAATGGTAAAGAGATATATACACTTTACTTTCCAACATAATAAAAGACAAGCGTTTAAATTAACTGATTTCTACAACCACTGATAAACATATTTATTTATGTGGTCATTTAACTCCACCTGGAGCCCTTCTGACCTTACTGCCCGGTCCCAAGCGCGGATAAAGAAGGAGAGTTGGGCATGCGGTTAGCGACTCTATCCCGTAGAAATCTAACTCAACAGAAAAAAGCGCTAACACGAAAAACAGTTCGCTGGTCGGTGGTCTATGCTCCATTTGAGGTAACGGACGTAAGTAAGTAAGTAAGTAAGTAAGTAAGTAAGTAAGTAAGTAAGTAAGTAAGTAAGTAAGTAAGTAAGTAAGTAAGTAAGTAAGTAAGTAAGTAAGTAAGTAAGTAAGTAAGTAAGTAAGTAAGTAAGTAAGTAAGTAAGTAAGTAAGTAAGTAAGTAAGTAAGTAAGTAAGTAATTAAGTAGGTGCATAAGTAAGTAAGTAAGTAAAGAAGTAAGTAAGTAAGTAAAAGTTAGGGTAACGGGTATAAGTAGGCATGCAATCATGATTTGCATGTTCTTTATTGTCTGATTATCTTCTCCAATGTTTTTGTCTAACCTTCTAAATAATTCAAGTTAGAAAAATGTATCATATCAACGCGTTCCACTTATGCTTGATAAAATTTCGAAAGTCGTCTATTTTGATTGGTTGAATGTGTTGGATATCATTATTTATAAAGTTTCAAATAAAGAACCGATTCATTTTGATTACTTATCTATCTATCTATCTATCTATCTATCTATCTATCTATCTATCTATCTATCTATCTATCTATCTATCTATCTATCTGATCACTGTTCATTGAAATGAATTCATTTGTAATCTATTCATATGTACATAAATACATACATGTCTATCACTTAATTAAACCGGTGACAATTAGAGAACAAAAGCGAATAAAAGTAAGAGACAATAAAAAAGTTAAATTAACTTGAACAAAAAGTCAAGTATATCTACTTCTTTCTATTGTGTGATTGACTTTATTCATGTACAACAGAAGAAGAATAAATAATAGATATTGCAACTGGGACAAACAAAAACAAATCAGAATGTAAGAAAAAAAATAAAAGGAGAAGACAAGTGAGAGACAAACTAACAAACAAACACAATCAACATTGAATACATACAGTGAAAAAAAACAATATTAATTTTTTGAATTAGACTGAAATTCTCTATGTATAAAAAGAATTCATTAAATTGAGGATTACATGAATAGTTAGTTAGTTAGTTAGTTAGTGAGAATGATTGCAAAGTACAAATTATGCAACAAAAGTAGACTTTTTAATTAAACTAAAGAATTCCACTTTTTTTTCATATTGTTAGTGAAAATTGAATGGATGATTTGAATTAACTCACTTGTACAACATTGAACTCATTAGTTAAGTGAATAACGCGACAATTTATTCAAGAAACGGCACTGAGTTCAAGACAAACAGAGGTCACTTAGAAAAAGTCTTAATTTTTGGATTTTTGTCATGTTTTCGCGCATAAGTTGCTTAGCTGACCTTGAGATTACATTTCCCACTCGGATTATTTTAATACGCTATTTTTGTGGCTCTCCCAAGGATGTTTCTATCAATGTATAAATAAACTCGATTTGTGTGCTTATCGACCTCGTATTTTCTGTGTGCTTGTAAAAATACATTTCTCTATGTCTTAGCAAGACTTCTTGACATAGTTAACCGGGCCAGGGGACAAACGGATTAGAATAGCCTATCGTGTCACTGGATTATTTGTCTGCGCTCCGTTTATTGAGTAAGGTGAACTCGTAATAGCATTCAAGCATATCAGTTGACAAGCGTATCAAATTAAGTGAATAACGCGACAGCATATGAAGAAAACGGCACTGAGTTCAAGTTACAAAGTGAATATCAATTCTGAGATGCAGCTAATCCTAAAAAAGGACAGAACGAGCGTGCTGCATTCCACCACTATTAGCTAAATTCTGTATGTCCTATATTCAAGTGATTATTTATTTAAATGAGAACAGATGAAATAAAATGTGATTATGAGCTTCGATGGGGTTTTGTAAATAAATTTCTTTTTCTGTTCAAATGACAATATGTCAACAGGCTATTTTTGTTGGCAACCATCACTTAATCATTCCAACAAGTGCATGCGCACTGGTTCAAATGCCCTCACAATATTCTATCATCTATGATGCTTGAAGAATTTGTTAGGTCTAGGTAACTAAATGTTTTATAAATAAACCCTCACACGGCAATGTGTATTTGGCCACATCTGATACAGTTCTGCTCACTGCGTTCTCAAGCCGGAGTGTTGTTTATTGAATTGAGAGGAAAGAAAGCAAATGTCTGGTCTGTTGGAGCTTAAACAACGTAGGTTTGTACAGAAGTTGCAAAACCCTGGTTCCAAACCAATGATACACATAGGCTCCAGTATCCTGGTGTAGTGAATGGCGTATGAACCTGTTGTTGTTGGTCACCGGCTACAAAGAAACTGAATCTCCTTACATTGTGCTCCACTGCCTAGTGGACTTGACTTTTGGGTCAAGTGTTTATAAATTCATTTGCTTTCCATGGGTAATGCAAGTTTTAGTTTAAAAATGAATATGACACTATTTACTAAGATGTGACTGGTAAAAACAATGATAAATTTTTCAAATCTATAATGTATTTCAACGAGTTATTTTGGCGGATGATTTTGAAATATAATTTTAACTCAAATAATAATTTCATTAATTCACTTACTGGACCAATACGTTCTTTAATTACATCACGTATTTCAACCCAACCTTCAAGTGATAAAACTTCAAACAATGCCAGGATTGCATTGCCGATATTATCAAAATTGAAATTTCTTGGATTAGCCCAAACTCTTGGTACAAGTATTTTAATCGATTCACCTTTAACACTTTTCAATTTAGTCGATGCTAATTCACGCATAAAACGTCCAACACATTTTTCCTTAAAGTATGAATAATACAAATCATAAACATGACATAATTAATGCAGTATATAAAGAGCAATAAAAGAGTAAATATTGATAAACAGAGATAGGAATTGTTTAGTAGGTAGAATACACGACTTACGTCTCATCCTATTTGACAGCCGGGTAGTACCTACACATACATTTGAATTTGTTCATGCATAATTTGGTTAAGTCCTTTGGATTAACTTACTTAATAGACTGAGTCATTTGTATATTGCTGTAACCTACCGGTACCAGTGTATTTTTATTATAGTCGGGTTTGTATGAACAGGTATTAATGAATATTTCTTACTGCCTACGTACATATTCATCTTACTCGCTTTAATGTCAGCCTCTTTAATAATTCAATGTTCCACTCATTTTCCCTAATATATATATGTAAATTCATTCGCTAAGTTGCTCATTCGTTTGCTTGCCCGTTAGCATTCGCACTTTAATTCTGCTTCTTGTGTCTGTGGTTTGGAGGCTGATTTGTGGTGCGCCATATAAACATATTCAGCACTTTGTATTCCTATTTTGATTTATAAAAACGTGAGAAGTTATTTGGTAAAAGTTGTCTGGACAGCAGTATACGAAATCTATATCGAATACCGGCCACCACGAAACTAGTGAGGCACTGGCCACTACACTGGTCGTAGGACGAAACACATATTCTGAATTCCACTGTTAACCAACTACTCATACCTGCTTATAATGCTTGCTATATTGAGGCAATACATATAGGGTGCTTACATACATCAAACAAGACTGATAACTTTCAGTGGTAATTATCAATTAAAATGGCTGAAAATAAATGTTTATCTTTTTCTGTTGTCAGACAAGTCTTATACAATTCTAAATATTATTATGTAAAATCATAGATTAAAACTCTAAAACAATGTATCTTTTAAAGTTATTTTTTTCTGGCTAGTGCTTTTTTGACGAGTTGATTTTCTATGGAATTAACTCGTTAATTCCATGCCTAACCCTCCTCGGTTATCCAGTCTTGGGACTAGCAAAAACCTCAAAAGGTATCCAGGCGGACAAACAACTAATTCAGAATTTTCAATGCAAATGTCAGAACAGTTCTGTTGTACGGGGTCGTTACTTGGAGAAACATGAAAGCCATCATCCACATCATGCAGGTATTTATTAAGAGATATGGAGAATCTTTTGGTCAGACACCATCAACAAAAACCTGCTATGGGCGAATACAAATCAGATCCCAGCAGAAGAAATTAGAAAAAACCTCTGTAGGTGAATAGGATACACATTAAAAAAAGCGCCTGGTTGCATCACAAGACAACCTCTAACTTCAAATCGTCAAGGTGAAAGGAGAAGAGGAACGCAAAGGTACACAGTACGTTGAGAAATGGCGACAAGTATGAGAAGAATGAACAACAGTTAGATAGAACTCCAGAAGAAGACCTAGGACAGAGTACGTTGGACAAAACTGGTCAGTGGCATATGTTCCATGAGGAGTAACCGGCGAAAGTAGGTAAGTAATGTATCTCTTGCATTATAATTCCTCGAGATTGGGAACATCACTACCAGAGATATTTTACTGAGTACGCCCAGATTTATTGTAGTTACTTTATCAATCTTATAACTTAACTGACATAGATATTTAAAAATAACCTCAAATAAGCGTATCTTCGGCTGTTTCATTTACACGAAAATTTAGCGCTTATTTTGAAAATGATTCTTTCTAACTGACTATTGAAGACCATAAAGTCCCATAAATATTAGATAGTCACAATTGCATTCATACAATTCAAGCAAATATACAAAGCCGATAAATGTTTGTTAAATTATTTCTTCTGTAATATGAAATATAGACGTGATTGGTATTTTCTATTTTTTGATTTCAGTCTCACTAGTACGTCGTCAAAAATCCCAAAGAAATTATTTTATAAATCTTATTCATTTGTTCAATTCTTATCCGTCAATATTGAAGGTCGTCCTGAACTATCAAGTTCACAAAATTTTCAATGTTATTTCCGACTGGTTAGTATACATGGTCGACTTGACTGTATAAATATGCATTATATGTAAACTTTTACGCTCGTCTTCTTCTTCTGTACAAAACCGCATATTTTCTGGGTGCTTGTAGAATACACTTCCTACGCCATATCAAGACTTTTTGATAAAGTTAACAGAGTTTTTTTTTGGGGGGGGGGGGCACGGATTAGAGAAGTCTATCGTTTCAATAGATCACTTATCTTCGCTCTCGTTTACCGACTAAGGTGAACTCGTAATAGTTTCATGCGTATCAGCTGATGAGCATACATCATTACGACAATAAGTCATAAATACTACACTACTTTACTGATCTACTAAATGCTCATAGTTCTGTGGAATTGTAGTGCCTCCACATATATTCCTGTTCGCTTATATTTAATTTAGTTAAGCCCTTTCAATTAATTTATTTAATCAAGCCAATTTGTGTTGCAACAATTTATATGCACCATTCGTTCTTATTATTGTCTGGTTTGTATGAGCTCACATGACTTGTCCCACTTGTCATTTGATCTTGTCATTCATTCGTCGCTTTTATTAATGTGCGTACATGCCTATCTCGTTGATCTCATGTCTGTCTTATATTTGTCTGACTATATATTCTTAGTCATGCTCTATCTCTTGGAGTTGGCTCAACAGCCTTCTCCAATTCACGTCACTTCATTCGTTTTATTCACTGCTTCTCCGCTTCGCTTTGTAGTGTGTCACAAATAAACGTATTCATCACTACGAGTTCTGATTTATAGACCGTCAGACGCTATTTGGTAACGACTGTCTGAACGAGCTAATTACCAAACTTTAGAACACACAGTAAATCGACATACAACAGAATCAACAAAACAAGTCTTTGCAATTTACTGGAGGATATTTAATTTTATCGATCGTTTAAACATGGGAATCATAAAATTTCATGTTCATTACACAGTGAAATGCTAAGGATGTGGTCAACCGAATCATCTATAGTAGTGCAGAGATTTTATGGGCATGATTTAATTGTTACGTATTACATTATGGAATGATTTTAGTTGTAAAGTCATTTGGAAATCGTGATACACTAGACAACTATGTGCGCAATCATGAATAAAGCGGGAAACGTTGAGTTATCTCTGTGTAAACTAAAGGTTCAGGGGTCAATTTACGACAGAGTTATGAGTGCACATAGATAACGAAACAACTATCCAAATCTTTCTGTTTTTTTTCTAATAATTGCCTACTTAAAACCAGCAATCATTGTTATGAGAAAAAATTTTCGAAAAACAATTGTTTTAATTTAATTTCAATACAATATAGCTTATAGGCATTTAATTTTTTTTACTAGTTAATTAAAAATAATTATAGATATTGTTTAGTAAATAAAATAAAAAAGATGAATATTCACATTATGTACTTATGACTCATTTAGATAGACAACAGTGTTAATTACAGTGAATAAGTGGGAAAAATAATCTTGACTGATTGGATGAATTCAAAACTTAAAATCATCAATCAATCATTGTTAGATCACCATTAGAAACCTGGAAGCACTGCAAGACGGCCGTTTCCTCCTGGTATGGGACTCATCAGCAGTGAGTAAATTCTTGGAGTTCTAGTTGAGAAGACGTGACCAGTGGTGTTCATCCCTGTCGGGTGTAGGCAGTAACCACCAAAGACAAATGGGTGAGGTCGCAAAAAATCCATAGATCAATCAGAGTTAGACATTAACACTGTTGAATGCCGGCCCAGTGGTCCGATGGTTGGGCATTCGCGTCCCGAGTTCGAATCCTGCGAGGTGCGGGAGTTTTGGATGCGCACTGCTGAGGAATCCCATACCAGGACGAAACGGCCGTCCAGTGTTTCCAGGTTTCTAATGGTGGTCTAACAATGATTGATTGATGATTTCAAATGTGTAAAAACACAAACCGCCCAAACTCTGCCTGAGTATTCAAAACTGTCGGTGAGCAGTATCTGCTGACATATAGAGGTTCTTTTCAATGATAAATTTTATGTAGGTGAAAACCACTGCCTAAATTTCCTTTACAATACTCAGACCATAATATAAGTAGGTAAAATTACCTATAGCCATCATAATTAATTTTATTGATTATACTATACTACTTATGTTCATAAAAAGTAACTCATGATGTATTCAAAAAACAAACTCTATATTTTTTTACCGATTTGAGAATAGGCGGAATGGATTAAGTATGTGCCATACAGTTGTAGGCATTTTGATTGAGTAATATTTAGAGTCTATTCATTTACATGAACTGAGTATAGTCGATCAAAACATTCTAGAATCGGTACAAAAAACATTAAAAGCTCTGAAAAAAAAGATTTTCAATTGATTATAACTGACTTCAGTTTTAGACGGACAAACAAAAGACCCAAATTAACGCACTGGCTAAATACATGTGAAGAGAACAAATTCACTGTTAGGAAACTTGAACGATTTGTGTTCTGCTATGATGACATTCTTAAGTTGACATTGTGTTAAAATTAATCTTTTCGATAGTGTGATGGTACCAAGCTAATTAAAATGTTGTTTTTACACTGTACATTTTGAATAGTCTGGTCACATTTAAAAAATTATCAAGGTGTTTGTTTGTCAAGACCAATAACAGTCAGTTAAATAAAAGTTCACGAGGTATAAAGACAATAAATTATCTCACTAACTCAAGTTTTTATATATATCAAGAATTATCATGACCCATTCAAAGTTAGGAAAATTTTTTCTGCCGTTAAAAAGGATTCGAGTTTTCAAATGATCATAGATTATACGAAGTTGTGAATATGTCATTGGTATTTCTTTAAAGCACTTTGAAAGTTGCTTTAATGTTGATCCTATAACTTTTTCCAGTTACGTTTTGTTATCATTCATGGTTTTACTCATGGGTCCCGTGTGCTCAGACTGTAATGACAGTAAATCTGTTGCATAATCTCTCCATTTCTCTAGTAGGATTATCGATTCGTTCAACTACATTACCAGTAGGACAAATAGACTTCTAAGTATCGATTCATGTATGAAATAGTGAATATCAACCAGGATATTGACGCTTATCGATCCTTCAGCTTCTTCTTCCCCAGTGAATGATCAGAAGATTCAGTTAACAAGTGGATATCTTGTGTACTCAGTTCACCTACGGTTCTAGCTTATTACATGAATATGCTTGTAATGTCTGAGCGTATGGCAACACGACGGGAGTTTAAAATTTGTGTATAACGTTGTTGCAAGTGATATATAACCAGAGTAAAAAAGAATAATATGACAATATGACAACTATTTCTAGGTTAAATGAAAGCGACGAAACTCAACAAGATTCAAGAGTCTAACAACCATACAACTGAAAAATACCAACAATGATGCATCATTTTCATAATTTCAAAAGTTACACTTCAACAAATCATCAATCAATCATTGTTAGACTACCATTAGAAACCTGGATGCATTGTAAGACAACTGTTTCGTCCTGGTATAAGACTCATCAGTGGCAGTGCGCAACTACGACTTCCACGACTCACAGGATTCGAACCCAGGAGCTTTGGTCTTCCGCGTGAACGCCTAATCCTTGGACTATGTGTCTGGCATCCAACAGTGTTATCGTCGAATTCTGATCAATTTAAGGCTATCGCGTGACCTAACCCATTGTCTTCTGCAGTTACTATCTCAGATCCGACAGGGTTGAACTTTAATGGTCACAGTCTTTGATGGTCACTGCTGATAAGTCCAATATCAGGAGGAAACGGCCGTCTACTACTTCCAGGTTTCTAAAAGTAGTGTGCGAAAACAACAATCTCCATAATGCTATAATGGAAAATATAAAATAATCACGAAATATTATTATTATTATAACTTATATTAAGCTAATGAATTTCTAACTTACTTTAGTTGTAATATTTCTATCATTACATATAGCTAAACGTCCACCGAATAAATGTACACCATAGACAGCAAATATAAACATGAATACAACTAGCAGAACAGAAACCTACAAGAAAAGAAACAATTTTACTCATGAATTATCAAACAATCGGTGTTAAGATTTTGTTATTATTAGAGAAATTATTTCAAATGAATAATATCTCTTCAATGTTTCGGAATGATAACAATGAGTGTGATACGTGTGTTTGAATCATTCGCAGAAAATCAATCACTTCTAGTATGTATATACTTATGTGATGAGTTGCAAATCAGTATGCAGTGCATGTCATAGCTTCTTGTGGATTGTTTACAACTAGTTAACATCAAACAATGTTACACATTTGAAATTATGAATTGATCAATTTTAGACTACCATTAGAAACCTGAAAGCACTGGACGGCCGTTTCGCCTTGGTATGAGACTCATTAGTAGCAGTGCGCATTCACGACTCCTGCACCTCTCAGGGTTCGAACCCAGGACCTTCGGTCTTACTTATTCAACGTTTTGAGCTTCAAGCTCCTATATCAAGGTGGAACGGCCGTCCAGTGCTTCCAGGTTTCTAGCTTTGATCGGTTCATGTGCAACCTGACAATCTTTACAACTCCGTAATCAGATAATGTGCAAACTTTCATCCGATTCGTATACATCTCGTTTATCATGAATGCATAGATTTTTAGTAAGAGTTATACTTGCTAAATACAGAATAATTGCTGAAAGCTACAAGTTCAGTAAATGATGTTTTGAGCTTGTTGATATTGCTCATTAACGTTCAGGACCATCTTGTATGCTCATTCTACGATTTCTAATAACTTTTGTAATTTTACTATGGCCTCATTTAAGACTGTTGCTAGATCCCTCCTACCAACTCACTACCCGAAATCCCCAAACGACAACAACTGAATATGTTATAAAATAAATCTTTCATTCACTTTCCGTATATCATTCTTAGGCGAACCCCGTTTGTACAACGGTGGTAATAAGAAACCAAATACGGATTCCGTTGAATGAGTTTATTTCATGCAATCGTTCGTACAGACAAATATGAGGATACGAAGAGTGAAAGCAAAACAGACCGAATTTGAAAAGGCAAATGAGTCAATTCAATGAGATGAGACATGACTAGGTATCTGTCTATCCAAAAGCCATATTACTAGCACACACACTGCAGAACACATACAATCTTGATTTTAATGTCACTGTAATCATTAGTGATAACAGAAACTTTCAAACCATTTTCATTAGTTATTTTACAATTGAACTTACTGATATAATTTCAATAATCTGATATAACAATGAACAGGATAATTATTAGAAGGAATTTTATTACTATTTATGTATCTGGAATCACCAATCGATGGACGACCGTTTCATCCTAGAAAGGAACTAACTCATCAGCAGTGCACACCCACGATCCATACTGGCGAGAACCAAACTCAAGACCTGCGGTCCTGCGCACGAACAATTAACCACTAGACCACTGAGTCGGCATCCAACAGATGTCTTGAGCAACCTCATCCACTGACTTTAGCAGGGACTACTTCACACCCTAACATTCATCATTTCGACGAATAAGCAATCTCCGCAAACAGTGAATGAAAATTTATGCATTACAGTAAACAACCTGACTACCAACTAGTGTGTCACTTCACATTTGTAGTTATATTGATTTTTTTAAATTGAACAATTTTGATAATTTTCTTTCTTATATAATCAGATATAATTTTATTGTGGGGCACAGTTTTGTAGGTTTGCGTTTTTACACATTTGAAATCATCAGCCAATCATTGTTAGACCACCATTAGAAACCTGGAAGCACTGGACGGCCGATTCGTCCTCGTATAGAACTCATCAGCAGTGCGCATCCAAGACTCCTGCTCCTCACAGGATTCGAACCCGGGACATTTGGCATTGTAGGCGATTAGCTTCGTGAGAAAATTCTCGGAGTTCTAGTTAAGAAGACGTGACCAATGGAGTTCAGCCTTGTCAGGTGTAGGCAGTAACTACCAAAGACAAATGGGTGAAGTCGCGCAAAATCCCTAGATCAATCAGAGGATGCCGGCCCAGTGGTCCGATGTTAAGGCGTTCGCCTACAATGCCAAAGGTCTCGGTTTCGAATCCTGTGAGGAGCAGGAGTCGTGGACGCTCACTGCTGATGAGTCCCACATCAGGAAGAAACGGCCGTCCAGTGCTTCCAGGTTTCTAATGGTGGTGGTGATTTCAAATGTGTTTAATTTTATTGAACTAAAAGTGTACAATCAGTAATTTTCATCAAAAAAGAGAGTACTAATACGCATTAATTTGGATTTGACTTGAAAATTTAAACTGATCATTTACCATTAAAATTTCACGAAATCCCCGTACAAGTTCATAAACAACTCGACGCATTTGTGGTACCAAACAAAATATTCTCAATGGTCTTAGACAACGTAATACCATAAGTAAATGACCAGCCGAACCTGGACCAATCACATCAACATTGATCATATAACTGACAAAAATTAAACTAATCTATTTGTTTGTTTTAAAATTGAAATAAAAAATAAAAAATAAAATAAAATTATTTTTAATTAAGTAAATTAATTAATTACAATTAGAACAGTAAACAACTACTTGAGATTGATTGTTTGTATAGGACACTCGTGTACACACACATACACACACAAAATAAACACTTCATTAAACTAAACTAATTGTAAGTGAGTTGTACTCGTATCTATTTAGGTTAATTTATAATTTACAGTTATTTATTGGGTAAACTTTGATGAAAACATCTACAAGTACCTCCTACATAGAAGACATGTACACCAACAAACACACACACACAAACGCACACACACGGACACAGCTTCGTAGGTAACTTCATACACTTATGTATATATGTACAACTGTACTTATCAAATCAAATAATTAGGTCATAATATAATGATTATTATTATTATTATTATCACTATTATTATTATTCTTGTTCTCTGTACACTCTCTTTTGTCATTAAGATAATTGTTGATTTCTTATATAGATAAACTTCCACCTAATTTATTAATAACACTGGCCAATTGATTACAGCGCAAAGTTGACACATCAATAAACCATAAACAGAAGTGAGAACAAAGAATAAATAAACAAGACAATTGTGTGAATAAATAAATACACATAAATCAAATTGTAAACACAAAAAATAATGAATTGAATTGTTGAAGATGAAAAATAAAAAAGAGGAAAACATAGAACTTTAAGTAATTTAATTAGAGAGAGAGAAAAAAAGTTGTTAATGATTGAATTTTGGGTAAACAAAATTGTTATTCTCAATTTTTTTTTCGGACTATATACACTTCTAGATAGATTAAAGTGATTTTGGGGATGTTAGACCCCCAAAACTCGTTTGTTAAATGCCTTATTTTGAGTTTTCACGTTTGCCAGCATGGGCTGATCAGGGCTGACCTTGAGATTTCATTTACCACCAGGAAAATCAATCCATGGCTATTATTGGCTGCTGTGTATTTTAGTGTGCTATTTTCGTAACTGTCCCAAGAATGTTTCTATGATGTATAAATAAACGAGAGTTGTATGCTTGATTGTATTGTGTGATTGCTGGGTGTTTGTAGAATATACTTTCTACGCTTACCAAGAGTTCTTACTTTACTTTGGGATTCAAGGTAGCCTTTATGGACGCTGGTAATTGTCTCGTTCGCATTTATCGACTAAGGTAAACTCGTAATAGCCTCAAGCATACTTAGTGACGAACCCAATACATAGTTTCAAGAATCATTGATAATTATTGGACATTGTACGTGTGACGCATGCACGTAAATAGGTCATTTGATATGCTTGAACTATTACGAGTTCACCTTAGTCGATAAATGAGAACGAGACAATGAACCAGTGACACGATAGGCTACTCTTATCGGTTGCCCTAAAGGAACTGACGAAAAAGTCTTGATAGAGCGTAGAAAGTGTATTCTACAAACACCTAGCAAACACAATGATCTCAAGGAAACAAATCAAGTTTATTTATACATGATAGAAACGTCTTTAGGCGAGTCACAAAAATAGCGTATTAAAATAGAACATCAACCAATCACAGCCAGGGATTTTCTTGGAGGGAAATGTAATCTCAAGGTCAACTGATCAGCCCATGAATAAAATCCAAAATTAGGACCTTTATCAAGTGAGTTCTGGGGATCTAACGTAGGATGGTGGGTTTCTGGATTTTCAACGTACCTTCATAGAATATCACACTTTACATTATGAAATTATCTTAGTTAGCCAATTATGAAACACTACAATTTACAGGCAAAGTGTTTGATACCATTATGGAAATTCTTAGTAGTGTACAACTATGACTTTAAAAGAGATAGAATACAGGACCTTCAAATCACGTGGTGAATGATTGTGATTTAGAAACCAACAGTCAATTTGAACTATTTGTTGCATATTTACAAATATTTATCGCTTGAATGTCAGTCCAACTAATAATACTGGAATTGAACGAACATTTGTTGATAGTATTGTAATGATTTCACTTTTGCGAAGAAAACATGACTAGTTAAATAGAAACATTCATGATTATAACCAATTGTACCAGTAAATGTTTTAACTAACATTTTGTTTATTCGGCTCTATACCTTCCGCCTACTTCTCTCCGGCACGATTTTGGTATTCTTTCGATACCATGAATTCGTCAGTAAGTATACTAAATTCATCTGGACAATCCTTAGTTTATTTTCAATATCACAAGACCCTAGATAGCGCTTGAGATACAAATGTAATTGGTCAATACACGTGTTCGCAGTCATCCTCGACTCGAATATCTACAGTATACATCAGGATTCAGTTTCATTTGGTATGCCAATGAAAACCAGAGAATGTTGGACAATTTTTTTTGCCCTAGTATGAGATTTCAGAACAATGTTCAAATAAATCACAACCAAGGTTAGAATCTCCATGTTTCTAATACTTCCTACTCATTAATATGATTATAAAACCTATCCAACAGAATAAATATTTTCTACAGACTACTTCTACCTTGATATATTTAATGTAACAGGAGTTAACCCAACATACAACTCCAAATTGAGAAAAATCCATTGGCCTTGAAAATAGTGAAAATTAGACTAGCGTGATCTTTTGTCCCCTCAATACTTAAGAAAAATGGATAGGTTAAACTGATTGGTAAATCTACAACATCTATGAATGTATGAAGGCTAGTCAAATAACCATTTCTTTTTGTACACAATAAAAGTACTACTTAATTTTAGCAAGTAGTCTAAATAGAATTAACACATTTTACTGCATTATTGCTTTATCTGTGGATTCATATTTGCATTTGAAAATTTTAGCTCATAAACTTATCATTATACTTGATAACGTTGTGATTTTTTCAATCTTGTTATGAACTTTACTTATTAAAATTTTTTTTCATGTCAAAATAGTTTATCCTTTATTTCCGATCAGATTCTTATTTTCTGATTGTTTTTTTGACAACGATATTATCACTTGATATCCTACTGGTTAACGTTTTTGAATTTTACCTTATAGTACCATAGTTTTAGTAACGTGCCAGTCATACCCTTAATACAGAATAATTCGAAATTTCTAAAGGGATGTTAAAGTGTTTGAGATCGCTAGCGTAGCTGCATATATTGGTGCTTTCCAGTTACGACTATCATGATGTGGCTTGACAAATTCGTAAATTAAAATTATTTCGTTTGAAACCCAGTTGCATAACATTCAGCAATAAATCCTAGGAGTAATCATTTAATATGGATTGGTTCCCTGTAGTCTAGTGAAGTTACATACTGTCGAGGGCTAAATGTAGGGAAAATATGTCTTACTTCTTAAAATTGTTAAGATAATTTTTAATCGAATACTGGACACATTTATTATGCTTTTTAAGTTATAAAGTAAAGTAGAATCATAGCACAGAGTATCAAACCAACCGTCTCTTGAAGTTTGATTCACATTTTAAGGTATCTGAATCACTTAAAAATCCAGTAACCCTTTGAATTTTTAATAACCTACGTAGAAATATTTAATAATTAAATGTTTAACTACTAAAATTTACTTAGTAGTATAATAATATATCTGAATATATATGTAATAATAAACACTTACTATGTATATAAATAAATCTAAGAATCCACCGAAATCTTTTAAAAGTGCATTAGGCGTAAATACCAGTCCATTAGCAAAAATTTTTAAAGTCATTTCTAAAGTCATGACAACGAAGAAAATATATTCACATATCTGTGAAAAAAAATAAATAAATTTTATCTTAAGTGATGAGTTTATTCAAGTTAGATATGATTTCATCAATTAGAGAAAAAGTGTGAGATATTTGAAAGCAAGAGAGAACCAGTCATAAACAGAATCTTGTTAACAACTCATATGAAGTCGATCTGTTCCACCAAGTATTGACAGATTCTTTTTGTGACCATCTACCCGCCTGAACCCACGACCAGGTAGTCTATACTCAGTGACATGGCTCAGTGCACTTGTCAATGACTTCATGTTTTGGTTTGGCCACCCCTTTCTTTCGTTCAGCCTACCTCTACACAAGGCATCATCGCTCGATGAAGCAGGCAGTCATTGGTTGAGCATTTGTAATACATGTCGCAACAATTTCAACTGATGAAAGTTTCAATACTTCATCCTTACCTAATACCCTTTTCCTAATAACAGCACCGCTTACCCAGTGGTCACAGGATATGCGGGTAATGCTTCGAAGACACCTATAATTGAATATGAATAGCTTACGACTACCCTCTACTCTTACTGGCTGTGTTTTTCAACCATAGAGTTAGACAGAGCGAACTGTTGCACAGTAGACTCGTCCTTTGGTTATTATAAGGATATCTTGCCGATGTCACAAGTGACTGAAGTTGGTAAAAGCCATTCGAGCCTTCCGTATCTGTGCTGAGATTTCGTCACAACAACACAAAGTAATTCATAGGATCAATCGATTGGCTAACAAATGCAGCAATGAAAAAGTAAGTGGAAATTTTGGCAACTATCTGTTTAGGTTTCGTGGAGATTGTTGGATCATTAACTGATATAAGTTAAATAACTATAGTTAATCTATGAGTAAAAGATGACCATTACGTTCTAATACAACCATGTTTCCGTAACTTCACTACAGGAAATAAAACTTGGGACCTGTGTCTAAACAATTAAGCCAGGACCCAATGGTATTCTAGATTAGCTTCAATCAATCTATAATACCGTGTGACCATCCTTGCTTGTCTTTAAGTGAATATCTTTTACAAAACCGGATACAAATAAACTGGAGAAGTTGATACTAGAACGAACCAGCTGTTCAGTGCTTTTAAGTTTTCACGGTCTCAGTACTGTTTACTGTGCAAGTGTAAATACAACGATATCCGTGATAATAATAATAATAATAATCTAAATGACATTACAACTAGCTTACTTGAACTTCAGGTGTATTCATTAATCGAAAATGTGGTGTTTCCAGAGACATTGATGCACATGATAACGTTGTAACAAATATAGCTATCCAATCTAAATAAGTGACTAAGCCAAGAAATTTACTAAAAAGAAATTATAGCGAAAAAAATATGAAAGTTTGAAGATATTAGAGTTAAGTTTAAGTTACATTATTTATAAACATTGGTCACTTGATTCGTTCCCGGGGTGAAAAAATCAACTCTGAAATGCAGGTGTACCAGGCGGAAAACGTGTCCGAAATACACCGAAACGTACGTCCTAGATCCCAATACTAGCCATTACGCTCCTCCGCTAATATTATAAATTATCAGCTTGAAATTTTTGATAAAAGTAATATAGATATAAGTCTTTGTTTCGGTGACTGATTGCCTGCAACTATACAATATTAGCAATGGTGCATGGTGGTTAGTAATAGAATTCAAGATGTATGTTTCGTTCTATTTGGATTAGGGTCTTTGGTCGGATGTACTCCAGAACTGATTCCATTGCTAAACACTGACAACCTCTGCTAATAATGCTTGTAACCCGTGGACAATATCGAGGCAATCCACACAGGATGCACGTATTCCAAACAGACTGATCGATTCCAGTTGTAAACATCAATGAGAGAATTCAAACAAGCAATACAATTGAATTATAAAATATTAGTCACATTACATTATCATGAATGCTCATTCTACTTACTCTATGAGTTGTGTTTATCCACGAGGATGTACAGATTAGACCTTAGAACATTGAGTCACAGTATCAGTAAGGAGGATTAAACAGTTTAATTTTACTCGAGTGGTCCTCAGTTTTTACTTTAAAAAACTACATAATCTTTAGTAGGGATTGGTAGAAGATAGTGGTCAACCTAGGCTTTGTTCTAGTTATCGTATAACAGCAATAGATCTTCATTATCTTGAGGTTAATAATGTCTCTTTTGAGATTTACAACTACTTACAACTACTATGTCAAGCAAATATCTTATGTTGCGGGTTCTTTACCAAGATATAAATGACTTCTATAATCAAACGGTCGAAATAGGATCTATTTATGATACTTAAACGATCGAGCTTGTCACATTTGTCATATCTGAACATAGTTTACATAACGCATTGACATTTTTTAGATTACTGTTTTGGATCTGAAAGCATTCAATGGCTGCTTCATTCTAGAATGATACTTTTCGACTGTGTGTAACAAATGATCCCATCACAATTCAAACACAAGCCCATCAAGTTACATAACTACTGAATTACGATTTATCTGTTAGTACATTTAGAACCAATTATCTATTCGCAAAAACCATCGGAAGGAAATGTTTCGAATTAATATCAGTCAATTAAGTCATTTCATTTACACTTTGAAATCAGTCATTGTTAGACCACCATTAGATGTCAGCCCAGTGGTCCAGAGGTTAGGCTTTCGCATACAAGACCAAACGTCCTTGGTTTGCATCCTTCAAGATGCAACAGTCATGGATGCGCACTGCTGATGAGTCCCATACCAGGACGAAACGGCTGCTTCCATGTACTTCCATGTTTCTAATGGTGATCTAACAATGACTGATCAATGATTTCATCATGTAACAACACTGTTCTTTATAACTCATTTCATTTAAAACTCAAAAAACTTACTGAATAAAATTTCCATTATCTGTTGAATCCATTGTAGCCGGTGTTTTATGTCGTGCTTCCACAAGAATTAAACAAAATCGTCGAAAACGATTCTCACGTCCAAGTACAAATAAAGGTCGATCAAAAAATGGATGATTTTCTCTTAATTCAACTTCTTGTTGTGTTCTACATTGGAAATAATTAGGGTTCATCAGGGGAGGGGCAAAAAAAAATTCTCGTGTTGTTGAATAAGAAGAATTTTATGAAACATAATCATCATAGTTTATTGTTTAAATAATATTTCAATATTCAATTTTTTCCTTGCATTCGTATAATTTTATTTATCATTTATTAAGTTATGTATTTTAAACAAAATCTAGTTTCATCTGCGTCAATGATGAATAATCAAATTGAACACTGATCACCGTTTCTCATGTGTCACATGCTGAATGACAGTTCTTAAACTACTGAAGTCATTGATTAATATATTGATACTTGTGGTCACTATTTAGTAACGGTACTGCACTGGCTAATGTATTTAGGAGAATTAAAGTAGCTGACTGTAACTGTGAGGTTACTTGTAAGAACTCCAAATGTCCCGGTACAGTAGAAACTGGGGAGATTTTTTGCTCAGTCTCTTTTGAAATACTTTCACACTGCCAGTGAGGTTCTACTCACTGTCTTCTCTGAAGCCGGGCTGTTACTCACAGAATTGAGAGGATGAAAAGCGAATGTCTTGTTGGGACTTAAAGGGGATTAGGTGAGTACGGATGATTTACCTGAGGGAGTTGTAAGAACTTCATTCCAAACAAATCATACACATGGGCTCCTGGATCGTAAGTGAACAAACAGTATATGAATCGACTGGTTGTCACTGGCTACCATATTAACTCAACTCCTTACGCTGATCCAGTCAAACGCTCGGGGATTGGCTGCGTCAGAAAACGACCTTCTTTTGTTTGTGCATCCAAGTGATATCCTAGCCCAAACATGAACTCAATGATTTATTTATCGAATAAATATTTAGATGTCTTTTTCTACCGATAATTATATGCACGCTTTAAAGAATTTGAAATTAAAATCGGTAACGGCTCTAAACAGTATGAGATTTGATTTCGACCAATTTGGTCTCGTGTACTGTTATAGGTATGAGTGCGGTTGTCACTTCCCGGATGCGTTTCTTGAGGGACCTGAAAAGGAAGATAGATTAGTGTTGGTCTTAGAGACCTGGGAGCGTGACTGCAGAATCCAAGGGACAACTGCTTGAGGCCGGTCACGCACGGTCTTTTTATGAGATGTTTTTTGAGTGTTATCTCCACTCTTGAAAGCCCTTAGTGGGCACCCCTACCCAAGGAGACGGGATTCCGTGAGGTAGGGTGAGGCGTGACATTTTTAGGGTCGAACTTTTCTAACCCTTACTTCCTTGTGAGAAGGTATAATCGCTGCAGATGCTGGTTGTCCGAGGGAAACACCTTACTGATGTCACACTCCTCTGTAGTCAGCAGCAAGACATCGCCCTCAGACCTTGGGTAGCTGCTTTGAGTCTCATCGTTCTCCAATCGATCTGCCTGGCATGGAAAAACCTTCAGGAACATATGTTCCAGCCAATATAGCTAGGTTGGATCATCACGATAGGCAAGCCCGACCACCACGTCAAGGTAGCAGCTGCGGTCGGGCAAACAGTATGAGAACCAACAACTTAACTGATAACGGACATACAATTGACATTTTCCACCAATGCAAAGTTACCAGTAAACAAAGTAACACAACTGCTATTCAATTTGTCAAAAAAGTAGCAGAGGTAGGGACAGTAATAAATTTACATTGATAATTTCACACCGTATGATTCAGTTTGTAGTGGTGTTTAGTTCTCTGAGCTGGGTGTTTTGGTTGTGGAGCTTTCATTGTTCTTCTGAACAACACCATCAGCACAAACTTCAGATAGAAGTGAAACATTCGAATTTCTCCACGTTTGACCTGTAGCTTGTTCTGCTAACCTCGATCTTGATTGGTTGCTGTTGACCCTAAACCTGTCGTTGTTTGTTTGCACCATTGTTTTGATTGTATCCCCCTTTTTGATCTGTTTCTTGATCCTATGTCACCTATGATTTTTCTAATTGGTTGATAAATTGGGTCAATGTCAGTGTGTTAATTGATTGCTGATTGACCTGAATACCAAGCTTCTCTAGTGTTCTTTGTCCTCCCCCTACCCAGTATTTCCACATTGCTTCAATCGAATATGTGTCCAAAATTGTCGGTGTGTATTGATCTAAGCGTAGAGTTGTCGTGGCGTTTGACTGCTAATTGGTGTTCACGTAAACAAACCTGAAGAGGCAGTCCACTTTGTCCTATGTAGTGTTTTTCACAGTTTGAGCAATTTATTTTGGTTGTTAGTCCTTTGGTCTACATAGGATTGATTGAAGTGATTCTGTTGGTTTGTGTGCCACACCTATTACAAATAGTTTCAGGAGTCGTGCTGTTGTATGCTCCGATATATCTTTTATGTATGGTAGGATGATTCTTTTATTGGTTCCTGTACTTGATTTCGCTTCTGTTGATGATTTCAGTTGACGTTTTTTTGATGAAGTTGTGTGGATAGCCGTTCTTTTGGAAGATAGTCACAAGGTTTTATTCCTCGTTTTTTTATTGCTGCATATGTGCTGCAGGGTAACAGGCTTAAAAAAGCAAGCAAATAAGTAAGTCATGCCAGTAAACATTGATTAAAAGTGACTTTAACTAATAACTAATTCAATTAGACAGATAATTTCACACAAATATCATGTAGTTTACCTTTTCAATTCTGCAAGTTGAGCTTTTTGTTGTAATAATTTTATATCATCATGACTTGTTCTATTCCCAGTGGTTGTGGTTTGTGATTCTGCATTATGATCATCTGGTCGTATGGAACGATTACCACCACCTTGTACTATTACTCCATTAGCACGAAATGATTTTTGTGTGCTGATTGGATTGCCAACTCTATTTCTTGTACTTCTATAATTCATTTTACAAAAAAAAATAAAAATTAACTAAATATGAATTTGAAATCAGAAATGAGTTTAAATCAAAAGGTTTAGTTTTTTTTATATGGAGCGGAAACTTGGAAAATTACAAAGGCCATCATCCCAGAAGGTACAAGTATTTATTAACAGTTGTCTAGGCAAAATACTTCGGATTCGTTGGTCAGACATGATCAGCAACAACCTACTGTGGGAGAGAACAAATCAGATTCCAGCGGAGGAGGAAATCAGGAAGAAGCGATGGAAGTGGATAGGACACACATTATGAAAAGCACCTCAGGGCAAAAGGAAGAGAGGAAGGCCAAGGAACACATTACGCAGAGAAATGTAGAAAGATATGAGAAGAATGAACAAAAATTGGACAGAATTGGAAAGGGAAGCCCAGGACAGAGTTGGCTGGAGAAAACTGGTGGGCGGTCTATGCTCCATTAAGGGTAACAGGTGAAAGTAAGTAAAATAAGTTTATTTTTTTATGATATTTTTTGAAATAAGAGGAACTTTAAAAACATATTTTGCGGTATGTCTGAAATGATAAAATACATTTACAGAAACTTGATGTTTAATTTTAATATTTACTACATCAACTTAAAGCAGTCAAAATTCCATGTCTTTTTTGGAACAACGAAGAGTTGAACAAGTGTATATTGTCGTATTTCAAAATTATGAAATATACATTTCCGTCATAAACAGACAGACTGGTTCGAAGTAAAGACCGGTTTCAGGCAAGGTTGTTAACTCTCATTCTTTCGCTTTATCCCGTTGACCGACTGGATTAGGGAGACTTTAACATCTAAAGGGAAACACGGGACAGAGTGGACAGCCAGGATACAACTGGACGATCTGAACTGCGCAGATGATCTGGCTCTTCTGTCGCACAGGCAACAACATATACAAGAGAAGTCGTCTAGTGTAGCAGCAGCAGGTCTCAACATACACAAACGAAAAAGCAAGATTCTCCGATACAACACAAAATACACAAATTAAATCACAATGGACATTGAAGTTTTGGAAGATCTAAAATCATTTATATAATCTGGGCAGCATCATTGACGAGCAAGGTGAACCTGATGCAGAAGAGAAGACATAGATTTTCAAAGCAGGGGCAGCTTTTCTAGAATTGGAGAACATCTGGAACTCCAGAAAAATATCAACCAACACAAAAATCAGGATTTTCAATACAAATATCAAGACATTTCTATTGTATGCGGCGAAAACTTGGAAAACTACCAAAGCCATCATTTAGAAGATACAAGTTTTCATTAACAGTTGTCTACGCAAAGTGCTCCAGATCCATGGACTAAACACTTTCTGTGGGAGTGAACAAAACTGATACATTCAGAGGAAGAGATCAGGAAGAGGCAAAGGAGGTGTATAGGACACAGATTTAGGAAAGCATCCAACTACGTCACAAAACTAGCCCTCATTTGTTATCCTCAGTGACAAAGGAAAAGAGAAAGACTAAGAAACACATTACGTCGAGTATTGGAAGCAGATATCGAAAGAATGAACTGCAATTGAACAGAACTAGAAAGGAAGGCTAAGAACAGAGTAGGTTGGCGAATGGTGGTAGTCGGCCTATACTCCATTTGGAGGTAACACATGTAAATAAGTAAGTAACCATAAACAGGGTTTTTTTTCAGTTTCTTATCAAAAAAAATTCATATCTAGTATATTTTTCATCAAACGAAAAGAAATTGAGTTTTATTGACTGAATCCAATAATTAAGAGGTTTGTAACTTTGAACAGAATTAAGAGGTCCACTAAAAATGACCATAATATCGATTTAACATTTCCGAGGCTAATCATTATCCACTGGTTTCAAATCGATTCGGGAAAGAAACTCTGAAAGATTTTAACACACTGACCATATAGGATGAGAACACAGCTTTAACAGAAAATAACAGAAAATTTAAAATCTAGACATTCACAAAATTCAGTTTCATAATCCAAACACTTGAAGATCTTGAGATATAAAAGAATTTATTATTTGAAGTTTCTCGACTATGCGATGTTATAAAATTATTTATTTAAAGGTATTTCGTATTATTATTTAAAATGTAGCGGAAAATTCATGAAATATCTATCAGTAAAAAAATAATTTTTATTAACTATGTCAAGAATAGATTGATAGACTTGTTGTGAAATGATTTTTTTCATTGATAACTAATAGAAATCATGTTAGACCACCATAAGAAACGTGGAAATACTGGACGGCCTGGGTGGGATCCTTGAGTAGTGCACACCCTCGACGTCCTCAGCCGGGAATCGAACCCAGAAGCTTCTGTCTCGCTCTTCAAAGCCTAACCCTAGGTGTTAATGTTTAATTTTGATCAGTCGAAAGCATTATGTGACCTCACTTATTGTCTTTGGTAGGTAAATGCATACACTCAACAGAGTTGAACTGCATTAGCCACGTCTTTTTCCTAGAATTCCGAGGATTTACTCATGAAGCTAGTCACTAGGGAGAAAATTTTACGATTTTTCATTATAGAATTATGAAAATTCGTGTTTATAATCGTTCCTGCGAGCGGGGGTAAAGAATGTTTACCGCTTTAGAGTCGCATACTAAGAGGAAACGGCTGTCCAGTGCTTCCAGATTCCTAATGGTGGTCTGGTTTAACGATCTTAATAAGAAATTATCGTTCGTAAGTTAAAAGGTTTTATAAAAAGGCATCTTCATATCAATGGGTTTTCTGTTTCATTCATAAACATATTTGAATATTTATGAGAGAATTTAAATAAATTTAAAAAGTCGATATTATTCAATTTACCTTCTATCTAATCGAATTTGATGTTGTGTTGACAGCAATGATCTATTTCCAATGTTTGAAGTTTTTTCCATTGTCAATAAACGTGTTTTATTCGATTCACTTTAGAAATGAGATAAAAAATTAACGAATTAACAAATTGATTTAGTTATTATTTAAAATGACAATATTATTCATGGTTAAATAATGAATACATGCAAAAATAACAAATCACGGGTTGAGTATTAGTGCACGAGACCGAAGGTCCTGAGTTCGGCTCCCGCATATTACAGGAGTCGTGGATGTGCATCGATGATAAGTCCCATACCAAGACGAAACGATTGTTCAACGCTTCCAGGTTTTTTAATAGTGGTTTGATTAGGATTCATTCATGATTTCAAGGTATTACTACTGCGCTTATATCATCATAAGTTGAGCGTTCGTGCACGAGACCGAAGGTCCTGGGTTCGAATCCTGTGAGCTGCAAGAGTCGTAGATGCACACTGCCCACGAGTCGCGTATCAGGATGAAACAGCCGCCCAGTGCTTCTTGGTTTATAGTGGTAGCCTAACAATGATTCATTGATGATTTCATGGTAGTTTTATTGTGCTGATAAGGCCGAATGATAAAACTTATAACTCCAATGAATTTAATGGAACGCCGAAAAACGACCATCCAGTGCTTCTGAACTTTCAATCTTCTTAATCCTAAGCAGAAATAAATATATGCACATACTACTAAGGATTGGTTGATAATATCCAATTATGTTGAGTGTTTTTAAAAAGTCTTCATTAATTGAATTTCATGTTTTTAATATATAAACTATTTTAAAAGTTTTCCCATGTAATCGATAAACATGGATCGTAAGTATACAGAAACCTAGAAGTAGTACTCAAATTCCCATTCATAAACTATGGTTCTTAATAATAAACCGCCTGTTCAATTTTAGGGTTAATAAAGCAGCATTCTTGCTGTTGATATCTAATCAGCAGTAAAAATAATCAATAAATTTGTTGTAAACAAAATTCGAATGTTTGTTCCTTCCTTAACAGACTTTCTAAATTGGTGTGTGCTTTGAGCTGTGTAGTCATATGCAAATTATGGTTTACAGATGGTTGTAATGTTTCATATATAGTTGATATAATGACTTTTTCTTCGAGAAATAAGTTATGTCTAGACTGAACAAACATGATTGATTGGTAATTATTCTGCATTCACCAAATATCCAATATTCATAAATTTTGATTATGAGAAGTACAGGTGAAAATTACCTAAAGATAAGGTTTGAGATTGTAATATTATATGCCGTTTATTGGGATCTTATAGATAAGATCTATCACCTCAAGTGGGCAAATATGTTTTGCTGACGAAATGTTTGTGTAGACCAACCTACCGATCGACAATGACGGGCCAACATCATCATGTTGTTTAACTCTAAGGTGGCGCTTGAAGATAGTCAACAGGAAACGCTGGACCTCACTCTTGCACTGCTTGGTATTTATTAGCTAGGCATACCTGTAATCGTAAGGGGACTGATGCTTCACAGGTCAATCTAATTACCATATCACACAGCTTAGCAGTCAAAGACGTCACCGTGGAACTGGTCAGACATCAACTGATCTCGCATGTAAGATCTCGTGTATTTACATTTGATCGATTACTGAGTAGTGCTCAATGTCATTGTTAAGATATTCATCCAATATCCTAAGAGAATTATTTGTCAATTCCTATTGGTTAATTCCTACTGGTCAATTTTATAGTCGTCCTAGATATTAATGTCACGTGCTCCAATGTTGTTCCTTATTGATTGTCCTAACTATCAATGTCACTCCAAATGTTACTTCCTATTGGTCGTCTTAACTGTCAATGTTACAGAATTCGATGCTGTTTACTTATTCGACCAAAATGTGTAAATACACATTATATGTAACGTTTTATGACCACGACCAGGGCTCGGTCCTGGATCCCCAATCCAGGATCCTGATTCTCTTCTGGACTAGGAACTCGTACTTTCTGGATGCTTGTAGAATACAGATTCTATGGTGCGAGCTACTTATAAGTAGTATATGACATGAGTGTCAACGTAATGTCTGGCAGCAGAAGATGTGGGGGAAGATCAAGAAAGGAAGAGTTACAACACAATGGAATTTGTATGAAACGCATGAATAGTGACAATGGATTGATGTTTTGCAACAGGAACAGTCCAGTTCGATATGATGAACTGATATTTTGCAAATTAACAATTTACGATATGGTTTTCCAATTTTACTGAGTAACTCTGTAATTTTCGTTAAATACAATCCGGTTTCCCCGCCTGTGTTCTCCTTCACTACAGTTCTACTCCATATCACGTCTTAATCCCGCAATAATTCGTTCAAGTATATCAAGTTGACATGTTTACGTGCAGGGGCATGTAACAGTCATCCATGTTAATCCCATCTTAATTTTGATCAAATTTCAATGTTCAAGAAAATGAGTCAAAAACAAAACAATGCATACATACTTTAAAAGATAAATAATTGCACGAAATTTCTCTTCACCATGTAATCCATGAATTTTACGTTTAATTGCTTTCAATGTTTCAACATCTGTATGACTACTGTGCACGGGTTTATTTGATGATGACAACATAGAAGTAGGATGAGCATGTGAAGGAGGCAATTTCAATTGATCTTGCTCAGTTTTCAATTGTTGTAATTTCATCATAGTTGTTAACATTTCATCGATTGTTTCATCTTCCACTTCTTCCAAAGCTGAAATAGCAGCAAATTGACGCATAAAACTATCACGTATTTTTGGCAATAAAAAATCCGATACAAGACGTGTAAGTTGTAACATTTGTGGACGATTTCTGTATTAGTTGGTTAGAGAAAAAAAAGAACATGAAAAAAAAATTGTACAATCAGTTAAATGTAATCAATATGGTGTGTAGTATAAATATGTATTAACTGGAATAACTGTGTAACGATGTAGTAAAACGTCAAGACCAAATGAACTGATAGTATATTTAGAGGATACAGAGTTGACTAAACAAAATATGTATACCTAATATTCAGAATTCAGAATTTTTAATAAAAATGTCAAGAGAGTTTTACTGTATGGGATAAAAACTTGGAGAACTACGAAAGACATCATTTAGAAGATACAGGTGTTCATTAACAGTAGTCTAAGCAAAATACTATGGATCTATTGATCAGACACTATCAGCAATAACCTACAGTAGGAGAGAACAAACCAGATTCCAGCGAAGGAAGAAATCAGGAAGAAGCACTGGGAGTGAATAGGAAACACATTGAGGAAGGCATCCAACGGAATCACAAGATAAGTCCTCACTTGGGATTCTGAAGACCAACAGAAATGAGGCAGACCAAGGAATACATTACACCCAGAATCAGAAGCAAACATGAAAAGAATGAACGGCAATTGAGTAGAACTGGAAAATAAGATCTAGGCCATATTAGGTTAGAGTATGCTGGTCAACAGCCTATGCTTCATTATGGGTAACAGGCATAAGTAAGTAAGTAATGTACTTTGTGTGATATTCTTCGAATGAAATGACTGTATTTTTGGTTATCCATTACGTTTCTAAAGACAAAAATTATTTTTCTTCACAAGATAACAATATAACTAGAATTTTTACAAATTTTCATGTATAATTAAGTCTCTAAATTAAATTTGACCTTTTTTTCTAATTGATAATGACATATTTTATGTTTAAGGTATAATTATTGTGAAATTTATTGATTTTTTCCAATTTTCTTCTACTAATTAATTTATTCATAACATTAATTTCACTGTTACCGATTGTCCGTTTGTGTTTAGAATGCTTGTGACATATTGGTTATGTTACGCTCATCACTTGGTACGCTTGAAGCTATTACGAGTTCACCTTAGTCGATAAACGTGAACGAGACAATGAACCAGCGTCCAGATAGGCTACCTTGAATCCCAAACTGTAAAACAGAAGACTTGATAAGCGCAGAAAGTATATTCTACAAACACCCAGCAATCACACAATACAATCAAACACACAACTCTCGTTTATTTATATATCATGCAAACGTTCTTTGGACAGTTACGAAAATAGCACACTAAAATACACAGCAGCCAATCACAGACATGGATTTTTCTGGTGGGAAACTCGATCTCAAGGTCAAATGATCAGCTCATGCTAGCAAACGTCAAACTCAAAATAAAGACATTTATCAAGCGAGTTTTTGGGGATTTACCATCCCCAACAGGTTGGTAATATCGGCACAATTTGCACAGAATTCCAGAAAGGACAACAACAAAAAAGATTAATCAGGTGGTAATAAGAATCTAAATATGGTTTTGCCGATGAGTTGATTTATTTCATCCAAACGTTCACGCAGACAGACAGAAAAGCGAAGTGAAGTGCGGAAGGCAAGTGAGCCGACTCACTGCAATGAGGCAAGACTAAAATAAACAATACCATTAATAAGTGAAGTATACATGTACCGTATATTCAAAATAAAAAGAACCAAGGGGTATGAGTGCATAATAGATAAGATTGAAAGACAATCGAACAATGAAAGTTAGGATACATCATGTAGGCTCAACAGTTTACTGGATACACACTAGAAACTTACGGGAATTTTTCAAAAACTCGAAGACGCATTGGTAATTTCTGTTGTGTTTCAGCACTGATTTCTCTAAGCTTAAGCTTAAAATGAAAAAAAAATGAAATTGTTATGAAGAAAAATTGTTCGTATTATTATTGATAAAAAGTGTAAATCTATATTATTTGTATTTTGTGAAAAATTATTCCATTGGAGGCAAAACAGATCGAATTGGTTAATCTTCATGGATAAAATAAGTAAGTGATCAGATTTTAGAATTTACCATTATAAAAATTTAATGTTTAGGAATCTGAATTATTCTGTTAACATTTCAACCTACCAGTAATGTAATAAACAGAATACATTAACTGATGATAAACTATTTATATTTCGAAGGAAACTTATTAACAATGGTTATCCACTTAGATTCGTCAATAGGATCTAAACACTAAGACTACACTCTGAAAAAAATATCGATAGTTCAAAGGGGATACGGTTGTCGAAATCCTGAATAAAAGGGATTTCCAAATCTTTAATGAGACCTTCTATTCAACCAAACTTGGAATTGTCTTTTCAAGCCGACCCACCGTTCGATGACTCAGCCATTTTCTTGTGTATTTTTACGCAAATTTTAATCTTATTCATTCATTCGCCAATTCGCTCACTCGCTAGCTTGCTTGCCCTTAGCTCCGTGTGCCTGCAGTTTACTAGTCTGATTGTGGTGTGTCAAAAATAAGCGTATTCAACACTTCGTATTCACCTTATGATTTATGAACCGTGAGGCGCTACTTAGTAACGGTTATCTCGATGAGTAAATTACGAAGTCTAAGAATACGTTGGATCCCGACCATTATGAAACTAGTGATACACTAGCCACCACAGTCTCATAGGTCATTCACAAACTAATAACTCACTATCATGGTTGATTAATAACATTTTAAAATTTACGAATTCATGCATAAGCAATTAAATGATTAGAGCAGTTCGTCTTGAACAAAAGTTTGTTAAGTTAACTGATACATGAAAAATTCGCTAGAAAACATTGGGTTTTTTTCCAGACAGTAAGACAAAAATGTCTTCTTTTGATAAACTTACTTGTTTCAATTTTTTAATATCTTCATCCAATTCTAAATTATCCAAAATGACAGCAACAAACAAACTAAGCACAATCTATTGAAACAGAAGTAAAAACGATGCGATGAACAATAATATTTGATATGTAAAAGGAAAGAAGATTAATCATTTCATTGAAATAAGAGAGAACATTGGCAGTTGCTGCTAAAAATTGCGACTACCTGATTAGTTTACCTCTATATAAACTCTGGAAATTTCTTACAAAGGCTAATCACTTATGAGCATAGGATAACTGTAAATACAGAATTGTACAGATTACTGAATTTTATTAAAATCCTGAACCGACTCAACTGTCTACAGGTTATGCATTTACATGTGAGATCTAAGGTCTTCGATTCGTGAATGTGCAATACTTAAGAGTCTCACTCTTGGGACAAAGTGGCTGTCCATTCCTTCTAGGATTTCAATGTTGGTTTAACTAAGATCAACTGACAATTTCAATGTGTTTTAATACTAACTGATCACATTTTGAAAGATGAATCATGTTAACTGAACTTCAAAACTGGTTGCTTTTATGAAAGTCACATTATATGTCAGGTTTTTGAATAGTAGGTAGGTTTTAAATTTAACCGGTAGTATAGTTTTGGCATACACTTAACAAATTAAAAATTGTCGTTAATTAGAAAAAATTTCCACGCAGATGATTTTATTACCGACATTCTAATGTCATCCGTTACAGTATGATTATATCAACAGTGAAACATGTTTTTTTATCTAAAGAATAGCACACCAATGTAGTGTCTGAACGTAAACTGATGTGAACATTTCATTATTTGAAATGTTATATGTCGAAAAACATTTCTATATTAAAATTTCCAGGCTGATCGGTGCCCACATGACTGTCATGATTATCGATTAGTGATACAGCCGGAAATCAACTACGATGATTATGATGTAACAACGTTTATTGTTCAAGTTCACATTTTTTCTGGAATTATATTCTTTATCTCAAATGTTTTTCAGTTAACATTAATAATACCACTCTCGCTACTGTTTATAGTTTCATCTTACTGTTTTGATGTGGCTTGACCGCATGAATTAGTGTCTATATCTACTAATGATTGACCAATTTACTGCTAGAATTGATCATATTTTAAGTAAGTTCAGATGACTATTAACTTTAACTAATATCAACCATTCTCTACATTAAACATGTAAAACACTGAATGCTGTATTAGTAGTCTATAGATTGTGTGATCATAATTTATACCCATTGAATGTATGTTTGAATACTGCTGTAGAGTTCACAGTTAGGATGAAACAACCATTCAGTTATCGATGATTTTCATCGAATTTCTAATCACTATATAAACTATTAAAATGCAATTTCATTTAACAATAATATACATATCAAGGAGGTTGATACATTGAGGCATGAAATATGAAAAAAATTCTATATCATGTTAAATGTTCAAAAGTATGTTGACGAAAACCTTATTCATATAGCAGTTGAAAATCTTCATGTTATACGCTTCGAGTATCGCTTTCTAGATTCTTTGAATGTGACGTTCGCTTAATCACTGATTCATGGTTTCAAAAAAAGTGTAACTTAACAATCTTCACAACAACCCCGTAATGCAAATTACCTGTGCTCACTAGTGACTAACTTCGTGAGGGATCTTCTCCGAGTTCTAGTTGGAAGACGTGACCAGTGAAGTTCAACCTGTTCGGCTTGTAGACAGTAACTACCGAAGACTATGTATGAGGTTGCGCAACTCCGTGAATCGATCAAGTAAGACATTAACAGTGTTAGATACCGGCTCAGTGGTCTGATGGTTAGGCGTTCGCGCATAATACCGAAGGTCCTGGATTCAAATACTGCGGGGTGAGGGAGTCGTGGATGCGCACTGCTGAGGAGTCCCATACCTAGACGAAACGGCCATCTTTTAGGGCTTCTTCCAGGTTTCTAATTGCGGTCCAACAGTGATCGATTTACGGGTTCGAAAAATGTGTAACTTAACAATCTTCACAACCCCTTAATGCTATTAAATGTAAGCACAATTTGTGCCTTCGCTAGGTCGGCGACTTGTCTCTTCTTTTGTTCGCTCTTTCAGCCTCCCACTCTTTCAGTGCACAAGTAACTTTCTACACATTAAAATCATCAACAAATCATTGTTAAACCACTATCAGAAATCTAGAAGCATTAAAAAACGGCCATTTCGTTCTGGTATGAGACTCAACAGCAGTGGGCATCCACTACTCCTGCTACTTTCAGTATTTGAACCCAGAATCTTCAGTCTAATGCGCAAACGCTTAGTCTCTAGACCACTGAGCCGGTATCCAACAGTGTTAATATCTAACTCTGATCAATCATGGGATTTTGCGCAACCGCAGTCATTTCACTTTAATAGTTACTACCTACACTGATCACGTCTTCACACTAGAACTCTGAGAATTTCTTCATGAAACTAGTCACTAGTGAGCACATTGCACGAAATTTTAGTTAGAGTTATAAAGATCAGTGTTGTTTTACACATTTTGTGTTTACTGAATTGCTTGTTTACAATATACTTCGCCAATGAAATGTACCAATAGTTTACCAATTATAAATGATAAATTCATTAACAAATCAATAAATAAATAGATAATTTTATTTACCAGCGTTACAACTAAATGATAAAATACAAAATAAATCGCGACTCCAGTTGTTACAGCTTCATTCTCGACAACATCCATTGTATCATGCATTACAGCAACCCAACCTTTTTGTGTAAGTATTTGAAACATTGACATAAATGCCTAAAATGATGTAATATATATATATATATAAAAAAGGAGAAAGATTTGTATTAATTTTATGTTTATGTGATATATATATATATATATATATGATGAGTTAAAAATATGTTTAGCGGCCCGAAAGCTTAACTCTAATATAGATGAATGAGCAATTATGTCATCTGAGTCAGTCACTCAGCTACAACGTAGAACTTCGTAGGTATGTACGTAGATCAGTTTGAGTTGCCATTCCCCATAAGCACTGAGGTATGGGATTGTCAATGCAAATTACATAGTATTATAGATTGTAACAGTATTAGTGGTAATGTAAAAGATTAAGGATCGATAATGTGACTCAAGACGTACAATCCAGGGAAATAAATTTAGAAAGGAGAGAAAACGTCATGACGAATTCAGAAGATTAGTATTTGAGAGAATACAAAGAACGCATGCATCTGCGCCATTGCAAACGATTTTGAGCCACTTGATTCAAAGTATCTAACCATCGGTTACTATTTTCTCGTGGACCCTAATCAGATAGTCGACATTTACCAAAATGACTCAATTCATTTGTCAATGACTTCATGGATTTGTGCCATGTTTTGGTTTGGCTGCCCCTAGCTTTCTTTCAAACTATTCATACACTACAAAACATCGTACGAATAGGCAGTCGGCGGTTGGGCATTCGTAACACGTCCCAACCACCTCAAATGATGATGTTTCACTAATTCATCAATGGATCTGCCATCTTTACTTAGTACCCGTTTCCTAACAACTACACTGGCTACTACATTACTTACAGTTTGATTACATAATTTATTCTGTCTGTCGAAAATTCCATGTTAAAATGCACTTATTCATAAGTCAATCAGCAAATAATAATTTTATTCAAACAAGAAACATTCCTTTAGACAATCTTGAATTCATCCTGGTAATCTTTAAGCTATTTTATGGCCTTAGCGTAGTATGACACTGTGAACTATGATTATTTCATATCAAAATGCCTTGACAAGTGTATGCATATGTGTGTGACCAGAGTGTTCGAAAAGCGTAGCGCGAATACATCACAACATTATTCAGATTAATTACGTTTTCTCATTGTTCTGTAAGTATTTATCAAGCGGGCTTCATTGTTGTCAAATAAACATCAAAACTTTATTTTTCAGAAGTTTGTATTTTCTTATGATTGATATAAAATACTACAATTAATCTATGGTTATTGGTATTTGTACGTTCTAATAGGATCTACTTCAATATGACCAGTTAAACATAAGATTTTTATGAAAATCAAATAAGTAATAAGTAATAAGATCTAGGTAGTATGTTCTATCCAGTAGAACTTTTGACGTTCACTGCTAAAATGAAGGTGGACATATTTGGCTTCAAGTCAATTCTGTTATCTATCATACTAAGTTTTGGTCGCTTAATTTACATTACATCTTCTTAGCAATGTTTATCACATACCAGTGTATCTCAACGTCAAGAAAATTAATTAATCTGAAGGGAGGTACGGTATACTATGGAAAAATAGGATGTAGTTGAACGATCTGAACATCGCATATGGTCTAGCTCTTCTATCCCACATGTAATAAATATGTAGATGACGAGCTGTGTAGCAGCAGCCTAAACAACAGTAGGTCTCAACATACATAAAGGAAAAAGTAAGATTCTCCGATACAACACTACATGCACCAATAAAATCATACTTGATGGAGATGCTTTGGAAGACGTAAAGACCTTAACATAACTGGGTAGCATCATTAACCGGCAAGGTGGATCTGCATCACATGGAAATGCGCAGACAGGCAGAACAAGAACATCGTTTCTTCAGTTGGAGAACGTCTGGAACTCAAAACAGTTATCAACCAACACAAAAGTCAGAATCTTAAATACAAATGTCAGGGCAGCTCTATTGTATGGGGCGGAAACTTGGAAAATCGTGAAAGTCATCATCCAGAAGACACAAGTATTTATTAACGATTGTCTACGCAAGAAAATGCACATCCATTGGTCAACAACGACGTACTGTGGGAGAGAAGAAACAAGTAGGGGAAGAAATCACGAGAAGCGCTGGAAGTGGATAGGATACACAATGAGGAAAGCACATAATAGAGTCACAAGATAAGCCCGTACAAGGAATCCACAAGGCTAAAGGAAAAAGGGAAGAGGAAGGACAAATTACGCCGAGAAATGGAGACAGACATGAGAAGAATGAAGAACAGTTGGACAAAACTGGAAAGAAAAGTCTAGGACAGAGTACGTCGGAGAATACTGGTGGGTAACAGACGTATGTAAGTTAGTAAAAATGTGTTACAATGACATTTGAAAATCTATTTGTGTAAAATAAAACCCCTAAAAAGCATATTATATATATATACATTACAATATAAACATAGAAAAATTCTGTGTTTACTTTTGGAAATGTCGAGAATCTATCAAATGTTGGTTCGAATACTTGAAAACAACAAAATAATTGTAAACTAAATGTTGATGTAATAATTAAAAAACATGTAGTGAATAAAATTAAACTGCCCAATTTTTTAGCTGGTCCAAATATCTAAAAATGGAAGTAAAAAAATGAAAAAAGTATAAATGATCAAGTAAGTTGTGAGTGTACAAAGTTGCATGTGCTAGTTAAATCACTAGATAACCTGAGATATTTTTCATTTTCAGGCAGAGCTTTGGAGGTTTGTGTTTTTACACATTTTAAATCACCAATCAATCGTTGTTAGACCACCATTGATGATTTAAAATGTGTAAAAACGCAAACCTCCAAAACTCTGCCACAAAATATCGTAACAATTCTCACTAGTGACTAGCTTTGTGATGGAATTCTCGGAGTTCTAGTTGAGAAGAAGTGACCAATGGAGTTCAACCCTGTCGGGTGTAGGCAGTAACCACCAAAGACAAATGGGTGAGGTCGCGTAAAATGCCTAGATCAATCAGAGTTAGACATTAACACCTGCCGGCTTAGTGGTCTGACGGTTATGCGTCCGCGCACAGTACCGAAGGTCTCGTGTTCGAATCCTGCGAGGTCCGGGAATTGTGGGTGCGCGCTGCTGATGGGTCCCTTATCAGGACGAGATGGCCGTCCAGTGCTTCCAGGTTTCTGATGGTTGTCTAACAGTGATTGCTTAATGACTTCAACTACTATTCATTATTGGGTTGTGGAGATTGTTGAGTTACTCTTTGAAATCGTGCATCGATCAGTGGCTAGCTCCGTGAGGAATCTTCTCCGAGTTCTAGTGAGAAGCTGTTATCAGCGGAGTTCACTCCTGTCCAGGTGTGAAACAGTGCTCACTAAAGACCTTTAATGAGGTTGTTGAAAGACCGTAAATTGATCGAAGCTAGATACTAACACCGTTAGAAACCGGCTCAATGAACCAGAGGCTAGGCGTTCGCAAGCAAGACCGAAGGTCCTGGGTTCGAATCATGTGAGCTGCAGGAGTAGTAGGTGCGCACTGGCAACGGGTTCCATGCCAGGACGTAACGGCGGTCCATTGCTTTCAGGTTTCTAACGATGGTCCAACAGTGACAGGTTTATAATAACCAAAAAGAACCTGTGATATGACACAGATGAATAGTAGTTTACAAAACATAGAATTTAGCTAGCTTTGGAATCCAGGACACATATTTCGTCCCATTTGAGATTTATCAACTTGATTATGGAAGCGAGTTTAGAGTATTTACACTGATTGTAAACGATGAGAACTTTGATAACTATGGAACGCTACTAACCTCTAAACCTATAATAATATTTTAAAAAATTCATTCACTTATGTCATTATCGAAGATTTGGAAACAATCTTGCTTAATGTCTACAATGATAGATTCTAATTGTTATGCGAACTGCTCAACCAAACAGTATGGATCTCTCGAGATAATTCAAGCTAATAGTTAATTAATTAAATGACTAATGGCATAACTTGACTGGATTACTCCGAGTCTTTTTCCAGTTCACACACGAAGGGGATCGGAAAATGTTTTAATAAACTAAACCACAGTTTTTCATAGTATTCCATCCATTCCTTCATCAAACATTTTTACCACTTCAAGTTATTTGATTCGGCGTATATCTGAATTCTTTTTCAAGTTATCTATCTCATATCTCGATAAAATCATGTTATTTCATTCAATATTTTATCTGATTGCTAATTACATGTTATTTAGCATAGATTAAGCCAGTTTCGTTGATTTGCTGATCATATTTTCAACTTACACGAAAATAAGTTAGAGTACAGATCATACATTAGTTGTTTCATTATCTACAAACAGAGATTTTTATCAACCATAGTAAGTTCTTTCATGCATAACTTGATCAAGCTGGATATCAGCTCAGTGTTCTAGAGTTTAAGCATCAACACGTGAGACGAAAGGTCCTGGTTTCGATTCCTCAAAGCTAGGGTCGGGGATACGTCCCACAGAAGAGTACCATACTAGAACGAAACGGTCATCCAATGCTTCCAGGTTTCTCATGGTTGTCTAATCATAATCGATTCGTGATATCAGTGGGCAAAAAATAGTGAAATCAGTATACAAGGAATTATACATTTTCATTGTCATTATCAAGGGTTTACATAGGCAAATACACATCCTGAAAGTATGTGATGACTGACAGCTAAATCCAAGATAGGCATTCTGTGATCTTACGGAATTCAATTACCCGAAGTACCTGCACTTGCGTTGACACTTACACTAAGAATCAAATTAATACCCAATACCGTTGATGCCGACTTTTTATCCATTAGGCTACTGACTCCTCTCAGATCACTAGCATGTGCAATGAGATTTTGTGATTGGGTGTTTTAAACGAAAGATACTTGATCAAGTTTCAGTGAGCATGAACGCCAATTCAGTTACATTTAAATAATGATCATATTAATATTTGACATATATATAATATTTTTACCTTGAAGCAAAAGTCTTCCAACATTGGAGAAGCTTTTATTAGACGTACAATTCTTAAAACCTGTAAAGAAGATAATTTAGTTTAAAAATAATGTTTTGTTAATGAAAACAAAATGATAAGTCAAGCAGATAAAATGAAGAAAATAACAAATTGTTATAGCAGTAGGGAGTTGTCTTAATATGTTTCTGGAATTATAATGTGAAGTGTTGATCAAATATACCATAAATCTAATAATTGTTACCATTCCCTTCGGATGATAGTCAAGCAATATTTCAAAATCACTGGGATCGGAATTGCAACACTATGGATGTCAGATTACTTACATACGCCAGTTACCGCCAATGGGGGATTGTCAGTCGAGAAGAATTCTCCAACCTAGTCTATCCTGGGCCTGTTTTTCTAGTAATATTCAATCGTTGTTCATTCTTCTCAAGTCTGTCGACATTCCTCTTTTCCTTTGACCTTGAAGGTTTCTGGTAAGGCTCTGTCTTGTGACTCTGTTATTTGCTTTCCTGAATGTGTGCCCTATCCAATTCCAGCGATTCCGCCTGATTTCCTCTTCGGCTGCAATCTGGTTTGTTATTTCCTACACTAGGCTGTTTCTGATTGTCCCGAAGTACTTTGCGTAGACAATTGTTAATAAATACTTGTATATTCTGGATGATGGCTTTGGTAGTTTTCCAAGTTTCCGCCTCATACAGTAGCACTGTCTTGACACCATGGTGTCATTCTGTCAGTGCTGTCGAGTGCTTTCTCGTAGTCCATGAAATAGATGTAAAGTGATGGGTTACATTCAATTGTTTGTTCCACAATGATCCATAGTGTTGGGATTTGATAGGTCAGGACATCAGTCCATTGGATTTATTAGTGAAGTATTTATTGTAAGACCTGAAAATCACGGGTTTGATCTCTAACATTATTTGAGTTTAACACTGGCAAGGAGTCATATAGTAGGGCAAGACTGATGTTCACTTCTCCTTAGGTTTTAATGACACTCTAAATAGGATCAATTCGTGACAAACTCAACCTACAAACTTAACCAATCTCAACAAAAAACTACAAATAATTACTTCTATTAGTTATATTTCATGAACACTGTAGTGTGATAGTATATTTCTTAATAATCAACACAACAATCAGCAGCGACCAGTCAGTTTCACTATCAGGAGAACAAAGTGTTTAAACTAATGTTACATTTCGAATAGTAATCAACGGATTTGCGAATACCTTGGTTTCTAACTGAATGGATCAACTGTAACATCTGACATTGTATAACTGAGTGATCTAAGCTTAACTTTACTAGGGGAATATCCATTCACTCAAGACTGCACGTATAATCTGCCAGCGAATACCAACTCATAGGGAACTCAGTATTAGGTTTTGCCACCTACCTATTTACAAATTACAATACACACGATATCAAGAGACTTAAATCACTCATGAATCAATTAGTGTAGTGAAGGCGATAACTATATGACTACGGTGCTCAAAGCATAAGACCTCGATCAAACAGGACTTATTGTCGATTATCTACAACAGCTTGAACTATGTAATGAAACACAATGTCACATTTAAATAGTATCACAATTCTCCTTGATGAAATTAACTAAACATTTTTTTTAAAAAACTATAACGCAAATAAAGAATAACTTACAGATAAAAATGTAAATTCTGTACGATATAAAATTGGTATACAATGAATGGTTGTACCAATACAAAGAAATAATTCAAATTTAAACAATGATCTATGCCAATAATTTGCCCAGCCTAAACACCAAATTTTAAAGACAGCTTCTAAATTGAAAAGTATTGTGAATAAAATCTGTCAAAGGGGTATAAAGAAAAGAACAATAGAAAGAAATGCATTTATGAACAGCAAGAAAATCTGCTTTATGAGGTTGTGGAGATTGTTGAGTTAGTTTTTCTTATCATGAATAGATCAATTTTAAACCAGGATTAGAAACTTGAAAGCACTGAAAGACGGCCTTTTCGACCCTGTATAGTACTCATCAGTAAGCGCGCATCTATGACTCCCGAAACTCGCAGAATCCGTACCTAGGACCTTCGGTCTTGCGCGCGAACGCCTAACCTCCGAACAACTGAGCCGGTATCTAACGCTCCTAGTGTCTAAGTTCGATCGATTCACGGTTTGGCAAAATCTCATATACTGTTTACAGTAGTTGGTGTCTACACCCGAACAGGTTGAACTTCACCTGTCATGACTTCCCTCTAGAACTCGGAGAAGATCCCTCTCGAAGCTAGTCACTAATGAGCACAAGTAATTGAATTACGGGGTTGTGAAGATTGTTAAGTTACACATTGGAATCATGAATTCGTGAATGTTAGACCACTATTAGAAACCTGGAAGTACTGAAAGGTAGCCGTTTGGTCCCTGAATAAGACTCATCAGTAAGTGCGCATCCATGACTCCTGCAACTCGCAGGATTCAAACCCTGATGAGTCTCATACCCGAACGAAATGGCCGTCTTTCAATGCTTCCATGTTCTTTTAATCGTGGTCTAACAGTGATTCATTCATGATTTCAAAAAGTAACTTTAATACATGAAAATATCAAAACAACCAATGCAGTTTCTGAGTCATTGTAGCATCGTTTAGAGTAATTTAATTCTTACTTATTACTTTTCCTTCTAAGTTTTGATCTCATCTCTTACTTACAGTAAAAGTTAAAAAGCTGTGAGTTAACAACCCAAGTCTTGACATTCGTAAAGAATTTACAACACTCTTAGCTTTTCTATGAAAATAATTCAGTTTGGTAAATGACGTAACTCATTATCATTATTATTATTATGCGGTATGTTTGTTTATTTCTAATTCGTTCCATTTTTCAAAAAAACTACATTTGTCCATTTGAATTTGTGCGCTTATCATCATACATAATACTAATCTATTTGGTGTTGTTGTGATCACTAATTCGAAAAAAAATATTTGCTTCATCGGCTAACTATTTGTAGATGTACAATAAAAATGCACCACTTTATGTTAGAGTAGTGTCTGACAATGTAATCGAAAACACTATTTTTTTTTATGTATATTGTGGGGTGCTAATCAACAACACGCGAGTTTTCAATATTTCAACATCAATCTGTTAGTAAACAGTGTGAAAATTACTGTCAATCTCTTGATATTGAATAATAAATCCATAGTATTAGTTGTACATTGAATTTGATTAGTTACAAATGTATTTGATTTGACGCTGTCAACTCCGATTTTGATTCATGAATCTAACACACCTATTCCTACTAACAGTCACGATCATGAACTGATCTCAGCTAAATCATCAATGAAGATCAGTTAGCACTGGAAGGCCATTTCATACTGACATGGAAATCTACAACAGTGTACATCCACAATCTGGTGACATTCAACAATTAAGAAAGTTATCCACTACAGGCAATAGCTAGAGAGTTGTGCAATGTCACACAGATTGATTTAAGTCAGATATTAACATTGTTGAATGCTAGCTAACTCACTGGTCTGTCTACAAATGAAGTACTGATGTGCTCGAGATCTAAGTTCGATTCCCACATTCGTTGCCTTAGATTTATACAGTTGTGAAGTCTCATTCTAGGATGGGACTTTCAAGTTTCCATTTGTAATCTAGCTAAAAATCGTTGATGGTTTCAAATGCTTAAAATACGATAAACTCCACAAATCTTCTATGAGAATAAATTTATTATTAACTTATTCCAGTATTTTGTTTTTACCGTATTTTTGTATGATTATTAGTTTTCATTCATCAATCAATTCTTTCGGACATTTTGACATAAATTACAATATATATGTATAAATGTCTCGTGAATTCAATGTTCAATTTTGTCCTTGTTTTAATGATACACAAGGATTTGCTTTTTAAAACTCTGTTATCAAATATCAATGTCTAGTCATAATATACTGAAAATGAAAACAATTTATTGATGAGAGATTGTTTTTCAGAAAAAAACAAACTATCTATCTATCCAGTTTAAAATGTCATGTATCAGTTTTTGTCTGTTATCGAATAATTTTGTGTGTGGAAAATACCTGTCTGTGGAAATAGACAAAATCGATCAATAAAATACTTTATTTTTTTGTTTTAAAAAAAAACTTTGGTCTTTAAATGTTTCTTTATAATTAGAGAATACAATTAAATTTTGTACTGTTTAGCTTTTCAAAGGAATTATCACTAACAACTAATATCTACTATTATACATTATGACCTGGAATCCTTCAGGCCATAGGAAAAGAGGTGGATCAATGAATATACTACGTTGAGAATTGGAAGCAGATATGAAAAGAATGAATACCGATTGGGTAGAACTAGAAAGGAAGAACCAAGGAGAGACTATGTTGGAGAAAGTTGGTCTGTGACCTATGATCTATTTGGGGTAACAGTCATATTTAACTAACTAGTTAAGTTCTATTAACTTGAAGTTTGATGAAATCCAATTAGACTGAAGCACAAATAGATTTATGAACAGAATAAACTTTTCCCATATTAATGTGATTTAATTTGTTGATGCAAACAATGTATTTAACTTACCTATTCCCTTGTCATTTACGTTTCAAATAACTCATTTTCTTTAAGTCATGTTAAGAGTAGTGGACTAGTTAAGAAGCCAAGGTAACATGTGTCATCGTATTTGAAATTTGAGAGTTAGATGGCACCTACATTCCAATGCCCGAACGATGATTAGCAGTCACCTACAAAACGTGACTACCCACCTGAACATGCAAATAAATTGAATAACTTCAGGTCTAATGGCGATCCCGTAACAAATAAACCACTGGCATTCTGTAATTAGTGCTTATAATTTTGGTCAAGTTGCATCAGCTGTTGCCTGTCGATAAACTGTATTTATTGGTAGACATGAATGTATTTTGTCGTCAACTGCTTGCTATTAGGATCTCGTATTTCAAATGATATCATTAATGAGCATAAATATGTTAGGATATTCATCAAATATCCTAAAGAAAGTATTTTGTAAATCTAATTCTATTGGTTGATTCCTATTGGCCAATATTTAAGGTCGTCCTAAACTATCAAGTTCACATACTTTTCAATGTTCTTTCCTATTGGTTAGTTAGTATTCACGGTCGACCTAACTGTATAAATCTGCATTGTATGTAAAGTTTTATGCTCCTCTGCTTCTTCTGTACAAAACCTAATATTTCTGGGTGCTTTTAAAATAAATACACTTTGTACGCCATATCAAAACTATTTGATACCGTTAGTGGGGGCCTGGGGCTCTCAGATTACAGTAGCCTATCGTGTCTATGGATCATTCGTCTTAGCTCTCGTTTATCGACTAAGATGAACTCGTATCAATTAACGAGTATAACAAAACGTTAGTATATATTTTACTGTCTGATAAATTATACACTCAACTATTTACATAACAAAGGATCATACATTTCAACTATTGATATTCATGGTGAAATTCAATACTCAATACCAACTTGTTCATGAAGATTGATAATAAATTAACATTATTGGCAAAAGTTCGAATTTTTTACTCATTCACACAACACACATTATAAATTATAATAAAATATTTTAGATTTTAAAAAACTGGTGAGAACATGATAAAATAATTTCATTCAATATTTTTTATTATTTATATTTTAAGTTTTTTTTTCCAATTTCACAAGTTATATTATGTCATAATAAGCTTTCTCTCATGTCCACTTTTACTATTGATTTTCTTTCGTTCAATGTTTAATGTTCTCGACTGTTGGAAAAATTGAAGTAATTGAAGGTTTGTTTAAAATCTGTATTATCAGTCAACAAATTTTATTTATTGATGATGAATATTTGAATAAGGTTGGGTTATGATTATTATATTTACAGATATCCTATTCATTGTATTATTGAAACTTGAACAGTAACCATCTTTTATCGTTGACCTTTAGTTATTTTTAATATATAACAATAATTCTAGGATATAAACCATTCATTATATGTTTCTTAAAATCAAGACACCGTGATTACCCATTAAACAAAGGAATACAAATCAAATGAAGAATTCAACTTATCACCAAGAAAACCTGAATAAACAAAATTACATATTGAAATCATCAACCAGTCATTGTTAGAACACCATCAAATGCCTTGAAGCACTGAAAGACGGCCATTTCATCCTGGTATGGGACTACTCTTCAGTGGCAGTACGAATCCACGACTTTTGCACCTTGCAGGACTCGAACCAAGGACCTTCGGTCTTGCGCACAAAACACTCAACCTCTGGACCACTGGACCGGCACATACAACGCTTTTAATGATAATTTCAATGTGTAAAAAAACACTAATCTTCATAACAGTAATTGAAATACACAAAACTAATAAAAAAAAAGAATTTGTCATTTTACCTCAGCATAATAGAAACCATCCAGCTGATTTTTCATATGATCCGTATCTCTTACACTTTGATGATTAAAATGTAATGCTGCAGCTGTAATTGCATTAGCCAATACTAAGATCATAATTACTATATTGAATCCAGTCGATCGAAGTATAGTCTGGAGAAGATGTAAAAATAAATAACAATTATGTTTATACATACATATCGGAGAGGATAACAAAGAAAGGGAACATTTTCATGCGTACTGTAAAACGTTTTGTAAAACTATGTTACGCGGTTCATTTACAAGAGTTTGAATCTTTCCATGGTTAAAGTTAGAGACTGTATATAGTTGATCAGTCTCTTTTGATATTCCGTCAATGTTATCATAAGTCCAAACTATTCTTAATCAGAATCGAAAAATGGATAGTTTTTGAATCCAGGACGTTTCATCAGTTGTTTAGACTTGTAATCTAGTGATGATGTTGATTCCCTTGAGCTTAAAATGATCAATGCATTACACCCTTGGCTACTTAGAAAACGAAGATGAATTGTGACTCAGTTAACATTGATCATAAGGATTTTTGAGCACATTTAGGTTATGATTAGCAGTAGGTTTGAGTTTCGATGCGAACATCAAAAGTGAGGTGCAACTGCATCCATTTAGCGAGCCTTAAATGAGGTGAAACCCATGTCATGGATTTCACTACTTGCCACTATCCAACTACTTTACATAATGGAAATAGATTTATTTTCATTGACGTTAAGTCATAATAATGATAGTCAATAGATACAAACATATACATCAGATACCATAAAACTGTCATCATCCCGAAGTCATCACTTTCGCAGGTTAAATTTACTCTCGATGAAAAATCAGTTAAATTTCTGTTACGTTCGTCACTAGGTACGCTTGAAGCTCTTACGAGTTCACCTTAGTCCATAAACGCGAAAGAGACTTTTACCAGCGTCTAGGTAGGCTAACTTGAATCCCAACTGAGAAACAGCAGTCTTGATAAGCGTAGAAAGTATATTCTACAAACACCCAGCAATCACAATACAATCAAGCACACAAATCTCGTTTATTTATACATCATAGAAACGTCCTTGAGACAGTTACGAAAATAGCACACTAAAATACACAGCAGCCAATCACAGCCGTAGAATTTGCTGGTGGGAAATGAAATCTGAAGGTCAACTGATCAGCCCATGCTGGCAAACGTGAAATCCGAACTAAGGCATTTATCAAGAGAGTTCTGAGGACCTAACATCCACAACAATTTCAAATTCGTTTTATGATCATTTCAGCCTCACCAATAAACTTTATCCATGCATCGACAAGTATATTCGTAAAATAAGCTCATCCTATTGTATTGATTTCTTATCAGCTGTGTACAGAGTGAACAAATAAAAGGATATCTGATTCGTATCAATCTTTTCCTGATGGGAAGTATTCAGAGCCTACAAATCGAATTTTCAAATGCTTTTTATGATTGGGTTTGGTTCTCTGAGCTGGTTGTTTTGGTTGTAAAGCTTTCATTGTTCTTCTTCTGAACACAACATGATCATCAGCACAAATGTCAAGGAGAAGTGAAGTATTCAAACGAAACTCATCTACAATCATCCACCTGAGCTACAAACTTTCCTCACTATTTCAAATGGTTTTTTATATAAGAGAGATGTTAGGGGGTGTAGGAAATATTTGATTGTGACCGATTCGGTTTCGTGTGCTGTTACAGGTATGAAGTCTGATGTTACTTCCTGGCTGCCCACACTGTGGAAAGGTGTTTCTTGACGAACCTGAAAAGGAAGGTAGATTAGCGTTGATCTTAGAGACCTGAGAGTGTGAAAGCAGTGCCTTGGGTATAACGTCTTGAGGTCGATCACGCACGACCTCTTTATAGAAGGATTGTATATTGCAAGCTCCTCTTTTCAAGCGGTCTTACCACCGGAGACAGAAATCAGTGAGGTAAGGTGAGGTGTGACATATTTGAGGTTGACCTTTTCTAACCTATTCATTCCTTGTGAGAATGCAGCATCGCTGCAGATTCTGGTTGTCCAAGGGAAACACCTTATTGCTGTCACACCCCTTGCAGTCAACAGTACAACTTCGTCCTCAGACTTTGAGTTGTCGCTTTTAGTCTCATTGTTCTCCGGTAAGTCATGTTAAGATCTAAAGGAACATATGTTCCAGCCAATATAGCTCCGTTGGGTCATCACGATGGGCAAGCTTCACCACCACGTCAAGGTAGCAGCTACGGTCGGGAAGCATTCATGCATATTAGCGAGACAAGCCTGATGATAACCTAATTGAAAACAACAATATCGATCGCTTACAAGTAGTGTTCTTAATAACAGAGTAATCAACAGATGTTTTAATCTATAAATCTTAACGAGTCGAATTCTTAACCTGCTACTACCTTTTGTACTACAGACATTTTTTATTGATCGAAGTCAACACATGTGTCTGATCGACGAATCGCTCTCTCACTCACTGTGTACATACACAGATTATATGACTTTTTACAGTGTATACCAGATGTTTTAACACGACAAAATATTTATTGCAAGCAAATCAGACTGTTTTCTTTTTAATTTCATTTCTGCTTTATTTGAAGACAAGAGAAGAAAAAAATAATTTAGGTATTTTGTTTGAAATCTTTTAGTCGAATTCCTTTTTTTTAAAAAAAAATTTTATTGATAAAATATGTATGGACAAAAAATAGTAGTAAGCTATGAAATGTTCACATCGTATAGGGTGTTGAAAGAGAGCGAGAGATCGAGTGAGAGAGCAAGCGAGCAAGTGAGCGTATTGAAACACACATATCATGTACTTTTGTGTGTGTATATATAGAATATGACGACTATAGAGAATAGTAAAGATTTCAATGGAATGTATACTACAATACATTGATATGGGAATGTTAGAAACAAAAAAGTGGATTGTTATGTTTTGTTTGCATAAAGAAGCAGATTTATTTTAGAAAATGAAAATTCCAATGAATTATAATTGGGAATTTTTGTAATGATTAGTTAGTTTGTAGTTAGTTGATATTAGATAATTAATTGATTTGGATTAGTGTAAGATCCATTTTTTTGATGGGTTTGTTTGTGAAAATCCCTCTATGTATACAGTTGTAACAGGTCCTTATTGATTCCTTCATTTGTATATTTTTTTTAGTCTGTTCGATTCTATTTTGAGATGATAATATATACGTATCTGATTATAGTTTCTATTTCTTATGCCTTTACTGAGTTTCTATGTTTCTTTCTGAACTGCATTTATGTCGTTTAAGCTGATACTTTGTCATGGCGACAGCCATATTGATTTGTTCCTCTTTTGATTGGATTGCTTGGTTTGACTGGAATTGTGCAGTTTGATTGTGAATTGAAGCACTCTTCCATAAAAGGAAACACTTGTGTTATAAAGCAACCAAAATATTACCTGTCGAACGAATCTGACCTATCCAGAAGGGATAGGATATCAGTTGATTGTTGCTGTTGATTAATTGAACAATTGTTGGTGCAATAACTGAGTGGTGATATTTATTTAGGTAGTGATGATGTATATTTATATTTATGATGAATATTAGAACCGTTATTTACCCAAATCACTTGTTTTGATTTCAATCTGGAAAGACACGTGTCTGGACAGTTATTCCTTATTCCAAACCTTAGATTGGACCGTACATTAGTATTGAAGATTTGTGACGATTGTAGTATTTTAACACTTGAAATCATGAACTAATCTTAGTTAGATCACTACTGAAAGTTTTGAAACATTGGGCGGTCAGTTCGTCCGAGTATAGGTATGTAAACCCACGATCCTGTACGAGGGAATTAAAACCAGCATCCTGCTGTGGGAATCTATACTGGGATGAAATGACCGTCCAGTGATTTCAGGTTTTCAGTGGTAGTCTATCTCGAAGATCAGTTTGTAATTTCAACTGGGATCTTTATCTAACAAATAATAAAATACACTAGACATCCATCCCATTATAGTGGGCCTTCAAAATTTATTTATACTTCATTAAAGAAAGCCTGCCTTGATTTTGTGTACACTTATGCCAGTATGCATCAACAAATGCAGGAGAAGACGACCAGTGTAGCAGCAGCCTCAACAGCAGCAGGTCTCAACATACATGAAAGGAAAAGCATGCACCAACCAAATCGCTCTTGATGGAGATGCCTTGGAGGACGTAAAAACATTTACATATCTGGGTAGCATCATCGACGAGCAAAGTGGATCTAATGCAGATCTGAAGGCGCGGATAGGTAAAGCAAGGTCTGCATTTCTACAATTAACCAACGTCTAGCACTCAAACAAACTATCAATAAACACCACAGTCACAATTTTCAATATAAATGTCAAGACAGTTCTACTGTATGGGGCGGAAACTTAGAAAACCGCGAAAGCCATCATCCAGAAGATACAAGTATTTATTAATAGTTGTCTACGCAAAATACTTCGGATTCGTTGACCAGACACAATTAGCACCAACGTACTGTGGGAAATAACAAACCAGATTCCAGAGGAGGAGGAAATCAAACAAATGCACTGGAAGTGGATAGGACACACCTTGGGAAAAGCACCCAAGTGTGCCACAAGACAAGCCCTTATTTGGAACTTGCAAGGTCAAAGGAAAAGAGGAAGGCCAAGGAACACATTGCATCGAGAGATGGAGATAGACATGATAAAAACAGACAAAAATTGAACAGAACTAGATAGGGGAGCCCAGGACAGAGTAGGTTGCAGAAAACGAGTCGACGGCCTATACTCCATTCGGGGTAACAGATGCTAGTAAGTAAGTATGGTTTAATGCATGTTGTCTTCATGTGAATCCTTTCCTTATTATCTACTTGGTTGCGAACATGGTCAATCGATAACTTTATCCACATATTCGATAATACTTATGAAGTACACAGACATTCTCCTCACCCATTATTCATCAACTCAACCACTCAGTCTCTGGTGTGCTTGACTCTCATGTGTCCTGTGGATTCCGCTAATCGATAACTATACACATTAACCTTAATAACTGGTGTTTTGGCCTTCTCGCGTAAATTCATAGTAGTACAGGGAGAACAAACGAACCTTCGAAAGTACACTATTGACTAGACGATATATTGGAGTTAAAAACATATATTTTGGTGCTAATCACTTCACCATCTTAATATGGTCACCTGAGCAGTATGCATCTAAACATGTCAACAGTGATCGAACGCGTGTGATAACTCGTAGTTAGAGTTTTAAATTTAAACCTTCAAAAAAACTTAACAATCTTCACAACCCCGTTATGCAAATGATCTGTGCTCACTAGTGACTAGCTTCGTGAGGGATTTTCGAGTTCTAGTGGGGAGACGTGACCTGTGAAGTTCAACCTGTTCGGGTGTAGACAGTAACTACCGAAGACTGTGTATGAGGTTGCGCAACTCCGTGAATTGATCAAGTTAGACATTAGCAGCGTTAGATACCGGTTCAGTGGTCCGATTGTTAGGCGTTCGCCTACAATACCGAAGGTCCTGGGTTCGAATCCTGCGGTGTGCAGGAGTCGTGGATGCACACTGCTGATGAGTCCCATTCCAGGACGAAACGGCCGTCCAATGCTTCCAGGTTTCTAATGGTGATCTAACATTGATCAATTATTATTATTATTATTATTATTATTATTATTATTATTGTTTGATAAATCGTAACGACATCTGAAAGTGGGAAAACTACTTTGTCAATATTGGTCTCTGTCAAATCTCAAATACCTGACTTGTAATAGTTAGACACCCATTTGAAACTAAGAACAATTGAATGTTTGTCTTATCTTGGTATGGAATTTCGCAGGGGTACTAACTCATCAGGGCATAAGTCTACCTAGGGAAGTTCAGATTTCAGGGTGATCGCCCAACTTTTAGGCTACTAGGATGTCACACAGAGTTTCAAACTTATAACTAACTTCATTTGCTTACTAATAAATAGTATTGAGAAGTGATTCCTGTGATCAGTAGATTTATGTTGATATGATATGAGTAACTTGAATAGATTCATGTATGTATCAGGTTTTAATTGACCTGCAACTTACTAAGCTTTTAATCAATACCTTACAAATTTAAAGGTTATTCCATTTACTTTCGTTTATGCGGCCAATCAATATATTAAGTAATCCATTCCCGAATATGAAAAGCTTAAAGACAACTACGTAAACGTATGCAATCGTAAATGAATTAATATTTGAAAGAATACAAGACCTGACACACTGTTTACATCTAAATTCAGAACGGTACTTCTTCATAGTAATCTTACTATAATTGAATATTGAATACTACAACCTAGTAATCATGATAATAATACTTACTTCTTGAAAAAATTTCGGTGCTAATCCACGTGGATTACTTTCATGTACAGGAACTAATTTCCATGTTAAACCATCAAATTGAAATATCTGCAAAACAGGAAAAATTACCAAAGATTGCAGTTAGAAAAATAACCTTTTTATTGATTTTTTTGTTCGTGTGTTTTACAGATAAGAAGTGTTTTCAATACTTGAATTTACGAGCTAATGTCAATTATGTTGATGTCAGTGAATCTCTATTATTATAGACTGGTTTTGATTAAAATTATTTTTTTTTCAAGTGTTTTCAGGTTAAGAAATAAAAGTAATTAAGAATAAATTTAAAATAAACAGTAATTGAACATTGAAAGTGTTTTACTTGAAAATTAGAAAATTTTTTGAAAAAAAATCAAAATTGTAAATTATTAAATTACTGTAGTGTTCAATATACAATCCCTAGAAATACTTATTTTAATCGAAATTCAATTTCTAAAAATGTAAGAATGTTTAGCTCTATTAATACAGTTGTAAAAATAGTTAAATACCATTGAAATGATGAATCGATCATTATTAAGCTACCATTAGATATCTAGACGCACTGGAAGATGACAAAACTCATTAGTAGTGTGCATCCATGACTCCAAAATCGAGAATCGAATTCAGAATCTCTGGTCTCACGCGTAGACGCTTTATCTCTAAACCATGGAGTCAGAGTGCGACGATATTGATGTACAACTTGGGTCAATACACGAAATTGCGTAAAATTCTGGCGTTATTTTCGGTGAGTAAGTGTCTGAAACTGTTACGTTCGTCTCTAGGTATGCTTAAACTATTACGGGTTCACCTTAGTCGAATAACGAGAACAAAACAATGAACCAGCCTATAGGTAGGGTACTGTGATCCCTCGACCAAATTGTACCAGCAAGATTCTTGATATAGTGTAGAAATTGTATTCTACAAACACTCAGCCAGCACACAATGAATCCAAGCACTCAAATTGCGTTTATTCATACTTTATAGAGACGTTATTTGGACATTCACAAAAATAGCACAATAAATGACACAGTAACCAGTCACAGACAAGGATTTTTCTGGTGAGAAATGTGATCTCAAGGTCAACTGATCGGCCCATGAACTAAATCCAAAATAAAGATATTTAACTAACGAGTTCTGGGGGATCTAACATCCCCGACAGAAACCTAACAAGGTTGAGCTATACTGGTCACAGCCTTTTACGAGAGTTATGAGAAATATTTCGCACAGCTAGTCACTAGTAAGCACATTTTCATAATTTTCTTTATACAGTTGCGAAGATTGTTGAGTTTCATTGAAATAATTGGTTATTTACCTAGACATGTAGACAGCCTGACGAGTATTTGAGTTGACACGTTTATTTCCTACCTTTTGTTCAAAAATAAATCGTCGGATTTGATTGCTGACTGATACAGTTGTGGTCAAGCTAATCACTTGTTCCTATTTTTGATTGCGTCTAATAGTATAGTGCTTGTATATTATCTGGTGCTGAGAGAAATTCGAGCGTTCTAACAGTAATAAATGATGATTTGTAAAAAGGAAGTTAAAAGTAAATTCATATATACTGAGAGAAAATGTCTAGTTAAAACGTGTCTAAATAAACTTAACTTGTATAATAAGCATACATCATTAACAGAAAAACAAATAAGTCATGACCAATGGAGTTCAGTTGTTGGCCAGGTAAGAGACAGTTACTCATCTTAGGCATTGGATGAACTTTGCACAACATCATGGATTAACTGGAGTTAGACCATTAACACCACTGGATGCTGACTCCATGATCTAAAGATTAGGCTTTCCCGCGCGAGACCGAAGGTCCTGGTTTCGATTTTATGCTTTCAGGAGTCGAGGATGCATACTATTGATGAGTCCCATACTAGGACAAAATGGTTGTTCAGTACTTCCAGGTTTCTAATCATAATCTAACTTAGATCAGTTCATAATTTTAACTATCAGTACAACACAGTCTACATAAATCACATTAGATTAAATGAATTATTTATTGATCGGTTAATGACTGAAATACAGAAACTTAATGCTTGAAATAGATTGTAGTAATTAGTATTACAGATTTTTTAATTAAAAAAACTATTTATTTCATGTTTTCTTAATTGAAAACATCTGTACATTAGAAAAAACTGATTCATAAATTTCATATTTTACAAAAAATTGATTAGTTACAGTCTATTGGTTTTCTTTCGTCCTGGAAATGGTAGATGGAAACGCATCATAAGGTCAATGAGAAAGAATCAACAACAGGTAGACTCAGTGTCAGTAAACAATACTGGCTTGCCAAGAAATCTGTGGGCGAAAGCTATAGTTAGACAGATCAATTGTGGTACAGATGACCGAATCAGAACGATTTGATTAAAGACAGACATCGTAGAGATCAACCGAGATAAACGGAACCTATGCCTACTGGAAGAGGTCGATTATTCGAGCGCGACGATAACGGGGCCTAGACGCGGTAAACGCTTCGAGGGGAATGTTAGTTATTTTCATAACTAATTGTAGTTATGTCATAACTAACCAATCGAATGGTGGTTTCAGTGCCCACCACGTGATTTGATCTGACATGTCTGTAAACTTTCTATGTTGTAAATGACCTACTAATTGAAGGACATTATTATCTTATTATTATTGATGTGACTCATAGTTTTATTCATTTCTATACGGCACGCTAAATTGTTCGGTACGTTTGCTCGTCTTACTTGATAATTGTAATTTCCTTATTTATTGTACCAGTGCAATTGTTTTTATGTTTAGAAACAGATAGAGTTTAAAGCAAAATCGGTCTTGTTCTGACTTTAGCTTTCACATAGACTCTGTGCTTGCCAATATTGCGTTCACAGTTCTAGAAGTACATCTGTAGGACAAATTAAATCCTACATATAATACCCATCCATACACACACACACTATTAAGACAATTTTTGATGGTCAAAACAGAAATAATTCCTATTTACCAATCATTGGAATGGTGCATAGAATCCTCCAAAGGATCTGAAAGCACTGAAGCGCTTCCATTCAGTCCACAGCTTGGTAGAGTTTCTAGAGTGTCAATGTGCACGGTTTCGTTGTACATTTTTGACATTATACATAGAGTAAAGTTTGCTTCTGTCTCTTGAGATTTTTGTTTTGCAACCTGGAAGCGGTTCAACTTGTCCTACTGTATGCTTAACACTGACGGTTTCGTCTACTGTTAGAATGACGAGCACACAATATAACCATTGGCATCTCTTTATGCCACATCAATATTCTAGAAATTCTGCCCAGTTTTTATTGAATGAAAACTCTTCAGCTTACTAGGAAGCCTGTGAAGAATGCTCAATCAATCAACAACAACACAATAAATTCTAATCCATTGTAATTTATACTTTATAAGAAATAAATATATTTGTGGCAGAGTTTTGGAGGTTTGCGTTTTTACGCATTTGAAATCACCAACCAATCACTGTTAGACCACCATTAGAATCCTGGAAGCACTGAAAGACGGCCGTTTCATCCTGGTATGGGACTCATCAGCAGTGCGCATCCACGACTCCAGTGCTTCCAGGATTCTAATAGTGGTCTAACAATGATTGATTGATGATTTCAAATGTGTAAAAACACAAATCTCCAAAACTCTGCCCCAAAATATCGTAACAGTGCTCACTAGTGACTAGCTTCTTGAAGAAATTCTCTGAGTTCTATTTGAGAAGAAGTGACCGTTGGAGTTCATCCCTGTCGAGTGTAGGCAGTAACTACCAAAGACAAATGTGTGAGGTCGCGCCAAATCCCTAGATCAATCACAGTTAGACATTAACACCTTTGGATACCGGCACAGTGGTCTGATGGTTAGGCGTTCGCGCACAATACCGAAGGTCCCTGGTTCGACTCCTGCAGGGAGCAGGAGTCGTGGATGCGCACTGCTACTGATGAGTCCCATACCGGGGCGAAACGGCCGTCTTTCAGTGCTTCCAGGATTCTAATGGTGGTCTAACAGTGGTTGATTGGTGATTTCAAATGTGTAAATATATTTGTATTTATGTTTACCTTGGAAGAATCTGCATCAGCAGCATGTCTAGGTGTCCACATTTGTTGAAATTGTACTCTAATCTCAGCGAATGTTTCAATTAACACAGCAATAAATACATTCTGACAATAATAAAAAAAAAGATTAGGGAAAAAAACGAGATGAAATGATATATATGTATTTATGCACATTTTTACATACATAACACCTCACTTACAATTAATTTGCATATACGTTTAGTTTGTAGTAAGCTCTTCAATTCACTAATTTACTAGACAATGTTATTTGGTCAGTAATGATTTATGCATATCTTTGTACTATTATTCTTGTTATTATTAATATGTCTGTATGACCTGGTATACCTGATCAATAGTTTATAGCCTACACATACACATATTCCTCCGACTGGCTTTAATGTGAATTGCTGCGATCGCTCCATAACTCATTCGTTCACCGATGTATATTTATTTATGTATGTTTCTCCTGAATTCTCTATTCAATGAATTCAATCGCTTGCATTTTTCAGCCTTTGTAGTTCAGTGTTTGTATACTAATTGGTGTGTGTTTGTAGTTTGTCGATTAACGCTTTGTGATAATCACAACTGTAGTCGATTCATACAACATTAAGAGTTATTTGAATAACAGACGATTACTTAACACAAAGCATAGAAAGCATCTCAGTGCAGCAATGTAAGAATCATATACAAGTGTGATGAATCGATTTTGTAAAATCCAGTTTTTTTAATAAGGTTTAAAGTTATTGTAGCTTCAAATTTTTTTTACAACTAAATCTATGTAACTTGTTTTGCCATTGAAAGTTTTAGTGTTTGAATCAGTAAAGTTAAAGTATTTTAACAAAGGTTCAACTGTAAGTAAGAAAGTGTAACTGTAGTTTTTCATGTACAAAAGAAAACACAATTTGATCGTTTTCTGGAATATATAATAAGAGAATACTATTCAGTATACTTGATATAGACGAGATCACCAGATTCTTACCAACTACTTAGTAGAAATCATAACTTAATCATTGTTAGACTACCATTAGAAATCTGGAAACATCGGACAATCAATTTGCAGTAGTATGAGACTCTTCAGCAGTGTGCATTCATGACCATAGTCGCCACAATCGAACGCAGAACCTTAGATCGATCAAAGTTAGCTATTACAACTCATGGATGCTGATTACGTGGCTTAGAGGTTAAGCGTTCGCGCAGGAGACTGAAGTCTCCGGGTTCGATTCTCGCTAGAGGGGGTCGTAGATATACATTACCATATCCCGTGCTATGAGGAAAAGGCCGTCCAATACGTCCAGGACTCTAACAGTGTTCTAAAACTGGCTAGTTTGTGATTTCACTGTGAAGCAACAATCTTTATAACTCTACAAGGAACTACATAATTCGTAACCAGCAACTTTACAACAAAACAATAGTTTGGACAGTAGTTTGTTTAAAATAAATGCCAGCGGTTTGTCAGTCAGTCAGTCAGTCAGTTGCAACGTAGAACTTCGTACGTAAGTACATCAGTTCATGTCGCCATACCGCATCAACACAGAGATATAATTGTCAATTCAAATCCAATAGTAGAAGAGGTAGTAAGGGTATTAGAAGTAATCGGAGAGGTTAGGATTAGAAGATATTATTCACGAAGTATGATTCAATGAGATAAGTTTAGAAAGTAAAAGCTAGAGGTGTTGAAGAACTCAGAAGATTAGGATTTGAGAGAACACAAAGAATAAATGCACTGGCGCCATTGCGAACGATTTTGAGCCATGTCATTCAAGGTCTCTAACCATCGATTATTGTCATCTCGCGGACCCCAACCAGATAGTCGACAATTACCGACATGGCTAAGTCCACTAGTCAATGACTTCATGGATTTATGCCATGTTTTGGTTTGACCGCCCCTAACTTTCTTCCAACCTATTCCTACACCACAAAACAAAGCTCGACGAGGCAGTCGGTGGTTAGGCATACGCAACACATGTCCCAACCACCTCAACCGATGAAGTTTCACCACTTCATCGATTGATCTGCCATTCTTACCTAGTACCCGTTTCCTAATAACAGCGTTGCTAACTCGGGTGTCCCACGATATACGAGCAATGCTTCGAAGACACCTATGATCGAAAACCAATAACCTACGAATATCTTCTACTCTCATTGGCCATGTTTCACAGCCATAAAGTAAGACAGAGCGAACCACTGCGCAGTACACTCGTCCTTTAGTCAGCAAACGGATATCTCGCCTACGCCATAAGTGACGCAGGTTGGCAAAAGCCAATCGAGCCTTCTGTATCCGTGCCGAGATTTCGTCAGTCACCAGGCCATCAGCACTGATGAGACTCCCAAGATAGGTGAAGCGGTCTACACGTTCGACCACTTCACTCCCTATCACTAGTTCAGGTGCCGATGACACCCAGTCTTGAAGCAACATTTTGCATTTCGAGGGGGAAAACCGCATCCCGAACATGCTTGCATTGTTGCTTAGGGTAGTCAGAAGACTCTGCATTTTTTCAGCGTCTTCACCAAGTAGGACAATGTCATCGGCATATTCTAAGTCAATAAGCGAGCCACCTGGTAAAAGGTCTACTCCTGAAAATTCAGACGAGGAAAAGGTAAGTTCTAGGAGCATGTCTATGATAAAATTGAACAAGAATGGAGAAAGTGGACATCCCTGACGGACACCACTTGATGTAGAGAATTCCGGTGACAGTTCGCCATAAGCCCTCACTCGACCAGTGGTGTTCGAGTATAGGGCTTTTATAAGGTTAATGTACTTCTTTGGTACACCTTTCAATGACAGACACTGCCACAGAACCTCACGATCCACAGAGTAAAATGCCGCCTTAAGGTCCAGGAAAACAACTATTGTAGGACGCCTAAATGTGTGTCTGTGTTCCAGGACCTGTCGTAGTGTGAAGATGTGGTCTATACAGCCACGTCCAGGTCGAAAACCAGCCTGGTTTTCTCGAGTCTGCTCTTCGCGAGCTCTAGTTAGACGGCTAAGTATAATCGAGGCTAACAATTTAGAAACTATATTAGTTAAACTTATTCCCCTGTGATTGTCACAAGAAGACTTCTGTCCTTTCTTATAGATTGGGACAATCAGTGATTGAGACCAGTCGGATGGGATTGCGTCCAGTTCCCAGATTCTACCTAAGATCTCAGTCAACCTAGCTGATAAAACTGGACCTCCATCCTTAAATATCTCAGGGGTAAGTCTATCAGGACCTGCAGCTCGTCCTCGTTTCAGATTTCCTAACGCTTTCTCAACTTCATTAAGACTAGGGGGACTTAGGTCGATTTGCCATTCAGGATGACTGGAGATCGTGGGTAACCGAAGAGTGGCTCGTGGCCAGTTGAACTGATCCCTAAAGTGTTCTGCCCATCGATCCAGTCTCCTGGATTGAGAATGGATAATAAGACCATCCTTTTCCGAGATAGTCTCACTCACATTCGGGTTCTTAATACCAGTTTCTTTAATAAGGCGGAAAAGTTGTCTACTGTTGCCGATCGCCGCTGCCTTTTCCATCGCTTTTGCTTTCGCCACCCACCACTGCTCGCGATCGTTACGTAGGCTTTTCATAAGTCTGCGCCTAAGTTGACTTCGTTCTTCATCATGCTCAGAGCCAGGTGGGATGAGTTTTCGGGCATCCATCAGATCGGTGGATGCTACTGAGATCCACGGTTTTATTCTAGCCTTATGGTCAACCTCACTAGCAGATATCACTGCTGTTTCCACAGCCTTTTTGATATCATTCCATCCTGCTTCCGGATGGGAATCGCTTAAATGGTCGCCTAACTGTCTTTCTAGTTGTTCCTGAAATATATTTTTCGCCTTATTATCATTAAGCAAAACCCTAAGAGGCTTTCTTACGGTGTCTTTCCTACGTCCAGTAAGCTTCAAACAAATACGCGCTCGCACTAGGGCATGATCTGAATCCAAACATGTGCCCCAGAACGAGCGACAGTCCTCTATCGAACCCCTCAATCTGTGGCTGATGGCGATGTGATCTAGTTGAGTCCAACGTTGAGACGACTTTGGAGGTCGCCAGGTCAAAAGGTGCTTTTCCTTATGCCTAAAGTTAGTGTTTGCTAAGAATAGGCGGTTGTCTGAGCATGTTTGCAACAGACGGTCACCATTGTCTGTTCTCTGAGCCGCGACACCATAACATCCACCTAGGTGTCTCTCCTGCTCACTTAGTCTACCTACTTGAGCATTAAAGTCACCAGCCATTATTACTATATCAGAGCGCCTAGCTTTTTGGAGGAGGTCCGAAAGCTTTCTGTAAAACTCATCCTTAACCTCGTCTGAACTGCATTCAGTGGGGGCATAGGCAGATACGACGAAGAGGCAACGGCGATTGTCCCTATCTTTCCGAGTCCTTACTGTCCCGTTTTGTCGAACAGCGCACAATCGACTATCTATTGGGATCCAGTCAAGGAGAGATTGTTCTGCCCTACGACTCAATGCTATGCCTACGCCAGCAAGACCCCGGGAAGCAGCATCAGGGCTACCGGATACACGAAGAGTAAATCGAGCTGCTTCTTTATTTTGACATGGTGTGGTCAAGTGTATGACGTGACTCGGATCCTGTATGCGCGTTTCCGAGACGCAGCATACACCGATGGCACGAGATTCTAAAGTCATAGCTAAGGAAGCCTGTTGCCCTATTTGACACAATGTCCGTACATTAAATGCTCCAACATGTAGTCTAGAGCGAGGTTTAAGGAGACCAGGAACGACCTTTCGCGAACTCGTATCGTCTGCATTAGCTGTGCAATGTGATGAATGAATGTAAGAAGAGTTAGTCGTGGAGATAAGAGAGACATTAGGGGGTGTAGGAAGGATTTGATTTTGACCAATTTGGTCTCGCGTGCTGTTATGGGTATGAGGGCGGTTGTCACTTCCCGGCTGCCCACACCGTGGAAGGTTGTTTCTTGAGGAACCTGAAAAGGAAAATAGATTAGTGTTGGTGCGTGACCGCAGAGTCCAAGGGACAACTGCTTGAGGCCGGTCACGCACGGCCTTTTTATGAAAGGTATTTAGAGGATTAGCTCCGTTCTTAAAGGCCCTTAGTGGGCACCCTTACCCAAGGAGACGGAAATCCGTGAGTTAGGGGAGGTGTGACATTTTTAGGGCCGACCTTTCTAACCCTTCCTTCCTTGTGAGAAGGCAGCATCGCTGCAGATGCTGGTTGTCCAAGGGAAACACCTTACTGCTGTCACACCCCTCTGCAGTCAGCAGTACGACTTCGCCCTCAGACCTTGGGTAGCTGCTTTTATTCTCATCGTTCTCCAATCGACCTGTCTGGCATGGTAGGACCTGCAGGAACATATGTTCCAGCCAGTATAGCTCGGTTGGATCATCACGATAGGCAAGCCCGACCACCACGTCAAGGTAGCAGCCACGGTCGGGCCAGCGGTTTGTACATAGAGTCCATAGTGAAATTGAAATAGAAATTAATAAAAGAGATTGAAAATCACCTAAAATAAATTTTTTTGTTTTAAAAATATATAGAATTGAATAACACGTTAGTCTCACGTTACCAACCTTAACTAACCATGCAACTAAAAAGATCATAGACATGAAATAAATCACTCCTTTCCATGAAGCAAGACAATCCATAGCACGATACATAATGAAAACCCAACCTTCTTGAGAAGCTGCTTGATAGACTGTAAATATGCTGATATCTAAAAAGAAAGTAAACAAGTATTCATTATCGTAAATACTGACGCAATCTTAGATATCTGAGACTACATGAATAAAAACCTTGTATCAGTGAAATTATGAGTTAATCAACATTAGGCCACAATTAAAAATATGAAAGTACTGAAATTTCGTTTCGTTCCAGTATGTGACTACCCATCAGAAGTGTTCATTCACGACCTTGAAACTAGGAATCGAACCCAGGAGATCCGGTCTTGCGTGCAAACGCCAAACCTTTGAAACAATTAAGTCGGCATTTAAAGATGGTAATGTATAACATGAATCATTACGAAATATCGCACAGATTTCCGGTATTGTCTTCGCTGAGTAACTGCCTCACACCTAACACAGGTGAACTCCACTGGTCACGGCTTTTCACTTGAACTACAAGAATACCTTCATGAAGGTAGTCACTGATGATTACATTTTTATTATCATTATAGAATAGTGGATGTTGTTGAGTTTAACTGTTTATGAGCTTCATACTAGGACGAGACCTTTGCCCAGTGCTTCCAATGGTTGTCTAACATTGATCGTTCTATGATATAAGTGAAACTCAACAATCACCATAACCCTTTACTGACAAAATCAACTGTTAGCAAAAAAGCAGATTCTTAGTTTTCAAACTGTATTAATTAATACTATTGGAGTTCTAAAAGATGTTAGAAGTTAAACTGTTCTCATCAGAAAGCATATGTATTTAAACGATATTTCTGTACGTTTCCTCAACCAAAATGTTGATAATCGGTGCTGGTTCTACAATGTTTGCGTACAATTATATGAATGCTGAAGAATACATTGTATGTTGTATATCGTCTCCGATTTTACGATTTTATTGTCTGTGACTACTACATACTAGTGGTAAACAAGGAAAAGGTTATGACTGAAGTGAATGATCTTTTTATTCATAAAAGAACACTTTAGAGTTGCCAGTAATCTGTCCGAAAAAAACGCACACACATCACGTTTATCTTTGTCATTAACAAAACAAGAGTGTTCTAAATTTTTTGACACAAGACGCTTTTCACTCAGACAAAGATAAACCACAATACTGTGGTTTATCCAGTATTTCAACATTGTTCAAATCGAATGAATGTCCATAATTATCGGTGTGTATTGAGATAAGCGAAGCGTTGTCGTGGCGTTTGACTACTGATTGGTGTTCACGTAAACAAAGCTGAAGAGGCCGTCCACTTTGTCCTATGTAGTGTTTTTCACAGTCCGAGCAATTTATTTTGTAGACGATATTTGGTTTTCCTTCCATTGTCATTTTTGTCCTTTGGTCTACATAGGATTGATTGAAGTGATTCTGTTGGTTTGTGTGCTACATCTATTCCAAATTGAATAGGGAACGTAGCACCACCACAATCATCCACCTGAGTTACAAATTCTCTTCAACCATCTCATAAAATACAATCATACTATTTCTTTGAATCGCTTTTAAGCACTACACGAATATAAATTTGTAAAAAGGCAATATTATTAATACAATTACTTACAAAAACTTTCAAAACCAGCATAACCTCCATCATCTTGTATGGAACTAGCAATTCGTATACATTTCATATTACTAGGACATTGATTATCAGGATTTTTAGCTGGATTACAATATGAATCTGGTATGGCTAGATCTTGTTTAGTAATATAGCTGAAAACAAAAAAATATAAGTAGTTAAATAAATATGAGTAACAATTTAAAAAATGGTCAGCTTTGAGAAACGATTTCAGTTCATCTCTATTATGTCCGCTATCAATCTGATATGCTAAGATCGGACTGTGTATTCTTTTTATCTGGCGCTTTCTAAAGCATGCTGGGCGACGTTCACTGATCTGTTGTCTAGCAGAGAGCTAGATATAGCTGTCTCTACAAGAGTACCTGCATTTCTAAATGCACATTGAAGAGGCCACCTCAAGTAACTTAACCTTTGTTTGAGTAGACATCACTTATCGATCGGAGAAACTCAACGCAAGATTGGCTGTAAGGAATGTCTTACTGATAAATTTCACTAATCTATCATGCAGGATATCGCTAGCCACATCCCCATTGAATTACGTTTTTTTTCAAACAGTCGAAGTCTCCGACTTCTTTTTTAATCACTGAAATCATGAATCGATCAATGTTATACCACCATCAGAAAACTGAAAGCACAGGGCGGCCGTTAGACATTAACACCGTTAGATACCGGATTAGTGGTCCAAAGGTTATGCGTTGTCGTGCAAGGCCGAAGGTCCTGGATTCGAATCCTGAGAGGTTCAGGAGTAATGGAGCCACACTGCTGATGAGTCCCATACAAGGATGAAACAGCCGTCTTTTAGTGCTTCCAGGTTTCTAATAGTGGTCTAACACTGATCGATTCATGATTTCAGATTAGTAACTTAACAATCTCCACAACTCCGTAATGTTCGTTTTAACTATTTTGTATATACTTCTCTAAGAACGCTCTGAGGTAACCTATCTCCGTCAGTAAGTTGTTGATCAGTTCCAGCTCCTGACTTAAAGTATCCACTAAACAGATAATTTTTGCACTGTTTGTGAGACATCTAACCAAGTTTCTTTTGTAACTATTGATGTTTTTCATTGAAATCATGAATCCATCATTGTTAGATCATCGTTAGAGCCGTAGAAGCACTAAAAGACGACCGTTATACCCTATTATGGCACCCACCAACAGTGCGCACTTGGTATTCTCTCTCGTGGGAGTCGAGCCCAAGACCATCAATTTCTCCCGCAAACACTTGACTTCCAGACCTGGCACCATCATCAACAAGCTACTGTAGGAGAAAAAATCCAGGTAATAGTTGAGAAAATAACTAGTATAAAGCGTTTGATGTGGAGAAGACACTCATTTCGGAAATCTCCCAACTACTTCACGAGGAAAACTCTCAAGGCCAAAAGGAAAGAGGTAGAACAAGGAACACACCTTGCTGAATATTGGAAACAGACATGAAAATAATGAAAAGTGATTAGTTATGATTGTAACGGAAGTCCTAGGACAAAGTAGGTTGTAGAATGCTGGTCGGTGGCCCATGATCCTTGGTTAGTTATAGGCGTAAGTAAGGAATACAAGCAGTTGTACTTTTTCTTTTATTTAAGGTCATGAATAGCTTCGAAAAAAGAACCATAGTGAAAAAGTGATATATAATCCATTTAAAAGATCACTTCATAACATGTCATCTTTGAATTATTTACTTTAAATAATTATTTGACAATTTAACGAAAATTTTTATTTACTTTTAAACAAAAGTTATAAAATAATTAGCGGACAAATGTTTTTAAATATGTATGCACTTTTTTTTACATTTTAAAAGATGTAAATTATGAGATTTTATCAGTTAGCTAAATGTCATTTCACTGATTTAAAAGCATGTGATTTGTCAATGCTTCATAGTCACAACCCAGAAAAAAATAATCACTTAGCGTTTTGTAGTTTACCCTCAAGGCAAAAGGAAAAGAGGAAGGCCAAAGAATACACTACGCCGAGAAATAGAGATAGATATGAGATGAATGAACAAACATTGGACAGAACTGCAGAGGGAAGCCCAGGACAGAGTTGGTTGGAGAAAACTGGTGGGCGGCCTATGCTCCATTGGAGGGTAACAGGCGTAAATTAGTAAGTAAGTAAGTTTTGTAGTTTACAATGATTAGTATAGAAATGTATTCAAAAATTTAAACTCTGCTTGGAGCCCTTCTGTTAGCGGGACATGATAGGATTTAAGCATGTTCCATATATGATTGCACTGTTGCACGCTGATTGGCTAATTTCGTATCCAGTCAGCGCTAGACGATACTGGAGGAACATTCTAGAATCTTTTTATATAAAAACTATAAATATACTAACGTCTTTTTCCTACTGAACTTCTTACTTCCATGTAACCTTATGAATGGAATACAATATGTTTCCTGTTCAACCGTGTTCTGTTTTGGGAGAACGTCTCTAGTGAATTTGTGTTCGAGAATACTAAGCAATAAGAATAACTGAGTTGTAATTAGAGAGAATTGTAACACCTTTTAAGGCTACTGCCGGTCCGAAGCCTGGATAAAGGAGTAAGGGTTAAGCTTGAGGTAGAAATCCAATTCGCTTAAAATCAACTTTAACCAGAAAAATAATTCGCTGGTGGGGGACCTATGCTCCAGTGGGTGTAATAGGTGTAAGTCATCACAAATTGATAATTATCGAGGTAGATATACGTAAGTTATACTTTAATTTATTAAAAATAATCATATTTAAAAAATCATCATTGCAAAGAATAATACATTTTAAATTGTCAATAAATCTAACTATCACCAACAAAAACAAATCAAAAAACTTACGATTCATTAGCTGTTTTTAAAACACAATGATAATTTAATTCATCACCGAAAAATTGTACACCAAGAAAACCATAAAGTGACATAAAGAATAATAAAAATACTGTCACATTGTACATTTGATGAGTGGATCGTCTAAAGGGGGTAAAAAGTAGTTTTAACAGCATAATATGTAGTTTATAAATAAAAATTTAAACAAATTTATTTTTCAAATGAATTTATCTGAAATGTATGTATGAAATGAATTTATTAGCAAAATCGTATTTAACGTCTTTTTACCACCGTCGCACAAACCAGACTTGCCTACGTATGTGAAGAGGAAGATTTATTTCCTCGCACACTTGATCATTCGTTCAAAGTGGAGTCAAATCACAGGTCACTAAATTGGTGAGCTCTACTACCAATCGTTTAACGTGAAATATGGAATGACTTTTATTTTTGAGGTTATAAAGACCTTCTATCGGTATTTGAACCATAGTAGTAGTTGGTCGAGTGAATATGATTGTTTTATGTGGTAAGAGTTTAAATAATGTTTTTGATTATTATGCATATAATTAGCATAAACAAAATAAATTTATTCGCAAAATTGTATTTGGCTTCTTATTACTACCGTCACACGCGAACGGGGTCCGCCTGAGTATGTGATATACAGAAATGGAAATGTAAAGGAAGATTTATTTCCTCGCATACTTGAGCATTCGTTCGAAGAGGAGTCAAATCACAGGTCAATAAATTGGTGAACCCTACTACTGATCATTTACTGTACAAAATGAAATGACTTTTGAGGTTTTAAGGACCTTCCTTCGGTATTTGAACGTGTATAGTAGTTGGCCGAGTGAATATGATTGTATTATGTGGTAAGAGTTTAAATAATGTTTGATTATTATGCATATAATTAGCATAAACAAAATTGAACTAAATTTATCTGATACTGAGAATTAAAATTTAGAATTAACTAAATAATTACGCTAATAAAGGGTTGTGAATCGATCAAATGTTCGATCATCATCAGAAACTTTGGAATCACTACACTGATGGTTCCGGGTACGATTCTCTCGAGCCGAGGTCGTGGATGTGCACTACTGATGATTATCATATACTCGATTAAAACTGACGTTCATTGCTTCCAGGTTTTCAATGGTAGTCTAATATTTGATTGATTCATGAGTTCAATCAACAGTAATCGTATACAATTAAAATTACTGTTAGTACTCGCATCTTTATGGCTGTGAAACTTGGTCACTATCTTGGGACAGTCAAGTAACCAATGCAGTCAGAATGGCAAATCAATAGATGAAGTAATGAAACTTTATCAGTTGAGGTCGTTAGGATATGTGTTACGAATACCCGACTACTGACTGCTTCGACGAGCGTTGTTTTGTAATGTAGGGGTAGGTTAGAAGAAAGCTAGGGGCGGCTAAACAAAGACATGGCACAAATCCATGTAGTCACCGACAAGTGGATTGAGTCATGTTGGTAGATGTAGGCTACATGGTTGGGGTCTGCGAGATGTTAGTAATCGATGGTCAGAGACCCTAAATGACATGGCTCGAAATCGTTTGCAGTGGGGCAGATGTATCTATTCTTTGCCTTCTCTCAAATTCTAATCTTCTGAATTCTTCATCACCTTTATCTTTATTGTTTTTAAATTTATTTCACTAGATTATACATCTTGTATAATTTATTCGAATCCTAAGCTTCTCTACTACTGTCAATGGAATTTGAATTACGTCTCTGTGCTAATATGATATGGCAACTTGAAGTGATATACGAACGTACAAAGTTCTATGTTACTGCTGACTGATTGAGTGACTGACTGTTAGTCTAGTAAATATTAGAACTACAATTGATACATATTCGTTAATAAATTGAATGTGACATTTATGTATGTAACAAGCGATAACTGTCCTTTGAAAAATAGAATTATGCAAGATTATCCATAGTATTTTATTGACTATTTAAAAAAACTGTGATATCAGATATTCTTTTGGGAAAAAAACCACTTTCCTAACTCCTCAGGTAATCATTCACAACGGTTGGTATTTCCTATCAGAAAAAAAACTATAGATACATTGGTTTTGTCAAGTTTTAATTGGCCATGTTCAAGAAAAAATGAACAATGATATCAGTTTTTAACAAGGAAAAAGTACTTAGCTATGGAATTTTATTGTTCAATCAAATAGAATTGATTTCATTGCAAAAAAGTAATATTTTTAACTTTCTTTTTTCCAAAACATTTAACTGTCAATAATAAATAACTTAGAGCTTGTATACATTTCATTTGATTAAGCTCTTTTGATTGACTTATTTGACGAACGATTATTCGAACAGCAACACAACTTGTCTATACCTTTGTACTTTTATCATTGTTGCGTTTGTATGAGCAGGTATGATTGATCATTGCTTACCGCCTAGGAGCATATTCATTCTACTTGCTTTGATATTAACCTCTTAAATAATTCGATGACCCACTGATTTTTCCTATGTACACATATCTGTACGTTTTATTCTTATTCGTTCGTTTTTTCAATGGCGCACTCAATAGGCACTCACAGGCTTACATGCTCACTCACTAGCTTGCTCTTCAGCGCTTCCATATCATTTTCGCTTTCGCTTTGTGTGTCTATGGCTTTGTGATCGGTGTGATGTGATAATAAAGCCCCCGTCTTTGTCTTCTGATTTAAACACCGTTGGGCGTTATCTATTGACAGTTATCAGAGCGAGTAGTATAGAAAGTTTAGAAATTATATCGAATTCCCAAAAGCTATCATGATTCAATATAAAGATAAAATGTTTTCTATGCATTATAAAATCTACTTACTGAAATATAGCTTTTACACGTGCTTGAGGCAATTGTAATCGTAATACTGCACGAAACACTCGTATCAATATCAGCGGTCTTGGACAACGTATAATACTTAAAAATCCATAATTTCGTCGAAAATTTTCATTACTTGGACATGAATAAAAATCTTTACTGGCATTACTGCTGTAGCCAATATTTTCTCCTCCACCAATAATACTATTATTATTCATTGGACAACGGAATGTCACATAGAATTCAACACATTGTAAAGCTAATGATGCCCATATACAGAATAACATGAATGCATCAAAATAATTCCATGATTTTTGAAAATAAGCACGATTACGTTTTTGATCAATTCCACCAGTTGACTAAAAAGAATTAAGAAGTAGTTACATTGGAAAAAACATAATAGTGAGTATAATGTAATGTGATTAGAGTGATTAGTTATTGTTGAATATTGAACAATGAAACAAAATGAAAGTGACGTCATACTGATTGTAGTATGCACTTGTACCCTCATTTAAAAAGTAAACAAAAGTTATTAATGAAGATCAATCCCACCATACCAGGACGAAATGGCAGTCCACTGCTTCCAGGTTTCTAATGGTGGTATAACATTGATCGATTCATGATTTCAAACATTGAATATGTGTCAATTGATAGTTGTGAAAATATATTTTTATATTTTAGACTGTGATTATGATTCATTCACTGAATCGAGTTCATTCAAAAAGTTTATTTCAAGGCAGTCGACCTAGTAGTACACTTGTGTATGAAGTGGGATTAAAAATCGAGAGACAGAGAGAAAGTGTGTGTGCATGATGGGCAAATGATGTCACATTTTGTGGTTTGGAATACTTATGATTAATTAATAACTGAAGTAGGTAATCTATATAAATGTGTAGGTTCACAGTTATTTATCGTACGTTGGTCGATACGCTTCAGAGTACTGATTAGTAGTATAGGATTGTTTAAAATTATGTATGTATATGCGTTCCGTGGAAATCAACAATGGAATGAAATATATCCCAGATTTAAAGTGTGTTAATTCAGTACAGAGGAATAACAATCGAGTTTAACTGAGAATTAAATGGTTAGACTTTTAGTAAATGTAAAATTTCATAGCCTGTTTTTGAACTATAATAAAGTAATGGAAATTTAGGGGAAAATGCTGAAAAACATTTGAAAAATACATTTGTCATTTCAATGTTCCAATAGAAATTCTATGGTGAAATTTTGTAAAGGTGAATTCTGGATGTAAATTCTGTAGCTTGAACGATAATAATCAGTCAGCTACAAGCACTGGAAGTGAATAGGACAGACATTGAGAAAAGCAACCAACTGCTTCACAAGATAGGCTCTCACTTTTTTGGAATCCTCAAGACCAAAGGAAAAGAGAAAGGTCAAACAACACAATACCCCAAGAAATAAAGACAGACATGAGAAGAATGAACAACAGTTGGATAGAACTAGAAAGGGAGGCTTAGGATAGAGCAGGTTGGAGAACGCTGGTGAGTGGCCCATGATCCATTGGGATGACTAGAGTAAGTAATTAATATTTATCATGACAAACAGTTGAACATGCTACTTACCAGATAATGATTGTATGCATGAGAGCTGCATAAATACTCGTATTATTGTTTGAAATGAAATTGTAATCTCATTGAAAAGGACATGTAAAATTCTCCATTGTGTTCGTCAGATAATTTCCGAAATAAAAGAGAGTTTCGTGACATGTAATCACTTATGAAATCATATTTATTTTTTAATTAAACTCTATCATAAATGAACATATATACACATACATGCACAACGTGTTCCGCTGGGTGTTGTACTACACACACTTTATTCTATCAAATTTTTATTTAACGATTATGCAGGAAAAAAAATCAACATTGTAAACTTTTTTACATTCAAACACACATACATATAGTTCATCATACTAACTAAAAAGGAACGCAAATAAAAAATGAAAAATTGAACAAAATGAAAAATTAAAACAACTGAAAATATTAACACAAACTTAAACAAACTGAACAGAAAAAAACAACTAAACAGCGCTGAACTCAAATTAAATTAAATTCAAGTGTGAAATGAAACAAAGTGTACAACTGTGTGTGTGTGTGTGTGTAGGTGAGTGTGTGTAGATGTGTAATAACTAAAACCAAACAATAGGAAATCAAAATTAAATCCATATCCTGCAAGCATATCTACATAGGTTGTGTGTGATTATTTTAAATAAATTTGATGAGGTGATCGTTATAAATGATTATTTTAAAAATATATAATAGAGTATAGTGAGGATTATACTAGTAGATATATATATTTATATATATATATATACATATGTACATATGTTTATGCATGATAAAATATACGTATATACAAATATAGATCAAAACTTTTTTGATTACCTTTGCAGCAATTTGTGTTCGAATGAGTTGATTCAAATTCTATATATATATATGTATATATATTTATTGATAAATATTTGAATTTTGTATTAATATAGGAAATATACATGTATATATATATATATATATATATATATATATATATATATATATATTATCATTGTTATTAGACAGAAAAGAAAGATTTTCATGATTGTTAGGTTACCATTAGAAACCTAGAAGCACTAGGGAGCCGTTTTGTTATGGTACGGGGCTCATTAGCATTGCACAACTTCGTGAGGAAATCCTCTAGGTTCTAGTAAGAAGACATGACGAAAGGAAATAAACCCTGTCAAGCATAGGCAATAATTATCTAAGACAAATAGGTGAGGTCACGCAACATCCCTAGATTGATCAGAGTCAGACATTATCACAAATGAATGCCGGCCCAGCGGCCAAGAACTTGGGCGTTCGCGCTCAAGACCGAAGGTCATTAGTTCGAATACTGTGAGTAGCAGGAGTCATGGATGCGCACTACTGAAACGGCTTCCCAGTGCTTTTAGTTTTCCAATGGTGGTCTGACATTGATTCATTCAGGATTTCAATATGAGATCTTCATAGTAACATAATATCAGCGCTGAGAACAAAAATATCTCAAATAAACTTATCCTTGCTCAGATATATAACATTACCGCAATCTTATCAATTGGTAAACTATAATTTTCCAGTTATGATTATTGATTTCTTATAACTGAGATGATAAAAATATGAATCGCTTCTCTTTTCGACAAACAGACGGTATTGGGTATGAACAATTAGAAAAGAATTAGTTTTAATATTCACCATTGTTACTGTCAGTTACGCATAATAAATTTTAATAACCGCTTGGGAAAGTAATAATGTATGAATAAAAGTTATGATCAGGAATTTGTAAAAATGTTCTTTTCCTTAATTATTAACTTACTTGTTAGACATATCAGATATAATATATTTTTTTATTGACAGAAAATAAAATTTATCGATTTTAACAAGGATCGATTTTTATGATTTCAATGAAACTCAACAATCTACACAACTTTATAATTAAAATTATAAAAATGTGCTCACTAGTGATTAGCTTCGTTTGGAAATTCTTGGACTTTGAGTGAAACGTCATGATTAGTGGCGTTACGCAGTGAGTGAGGTTGCGTAATGCCTTGAATTAGTCATAGTTAGACAAAAACACCTTTAGATTTTACCTCAATGGTCTAGAGTTTGAGCGTTTACACGTGATATCAAATGCCTTGGGTTCGATTCCCGCGAGTGAAAATTGTGGATGTGCACCGCTGATAAGTCCCATCTTAGGACAAAAGCTTCCCTCCTGTACTTTTAGGTCTCCGATAGTACTCTGACAATAATCGATTTATTATATCAATACAGCTAAATCAATCTACACATTGAACACCATAAAAACATTCGTTACATTATGCAATAAAATAAGATATCCTATTTTTTTGTTACCAAATCACTTGTGTTAAGTGTTGGATAAAATATGAGAATTACACAAATGTAAATAAAAGATTTTTAGAAAAGAAAATCATTTATTAATAATTAAATTCAATTAATGTATTTTGGAATATAAATTAATAGAAATAGGGATATTCTTTTCTTATAATTTGTTGTTGAGATTGGTCAATTTTGGGCAGATATTTCATGTTAGTGTTACGCTTCTCAGAAGTTCAAATTAATGTTTGTACCATTGAGAATGGTCTTGTTTCCCAATGCCTAACCTGTGGATTAGTGAGCCAACATATGAGTGCGTACATTTCTGACTTTAATCAATTCGTAGTCTAATATAACCATCCTACATTTCTGTTGCTGTAGATAACCACCTCAAATTTGACGTGGTTGAACTCCTCTTCTTCTCACTGTCGGTTATAAAGTTGTAATTAGGTGACCGAAAATCTTTATCAGCGTTGTACTCCTGGAATCTTGATTTTTCCAGTGGGGTCCGAAACCATATTATTCTAATAGGGAGTGAATGAGCTATAGCTGCAGTATCCTTTGATCGTTTGACTATTCAGTGTCTTCTAATCATATTCATTCCCGCATCTAACATTATGTACATAAGCTTGCGATTTCGTTAGAAAAAATGAAGCTATTCTTCTAATCCGTGTTCTTATTGTTGATTTGAAATCTTTTGAAGGCATATATCAATAATACCGTTTTGTTTAAAGCCATCAATCGGCTCCATATTTGTATCATTGCATATCATTTATCGATTAATAGTTAAAACAATTAAAAATTCGTTCATCAATTCTTCCAATCCCTATTCACAGCATTCATACGAAAGTAGTAGTAGTAGTAGTAGTAGTAGTAGTAGTAGTAGTAGTAGTAGTAGTAGTAGTAGTAGTAGTAGTAGTAGTAGTAGTTCGTAAACAGTATTGAATTAACTTTATAAAAAAATCCCATTAATTATCATTATCTAAGGCAATAAAATCAGATTTAATTTACTTTTTTAAACATTCACGGCTTATTTCATAATTTTATGTAAATTGGAAATATTTAGTAGAGTTTATTAGTTATTTTTATTTACTGGAAATAATTATTTTTTCCCCTTATTATTAATAATAATAATAAAAATAATTACAATAGTTACAAAAATATATATTAGGTAATAACATGTCAATTAAACTAATCATTTATTAACGAGTACCAAAAAAATAAAACTGTTTATAGTAAGTAATTAATTTAAAACAAAATCTAATCGAGGTCATTTGAAATTGTACATTGAACAATCAAACGTTTGTTTGTTTGTTTGAATTCGACGGATTAATTTATTTTTTCTTTAAAAGTCGAATATCTACAAATATTTAATCGGTGTTATTAAACAAAATAAATTGGTAAGCGAACAAACAAACAAATAATTTTAATCTGAGGTGAATAAAAACAAAGCTAACTATCGACTAATATTCTTTTTTCCCTGAATTTGACCTTTCAACCATAAATTTAATGAAATCTATTAAGGTTTTATTTTTCAGTTATTAATTATATCTCGGTTCAATGAATCAATGGAATTTCTAATCAGTGTTATTTTAATTATTTTTTTCTGAGATAAATAGGGCTAGTTTAGGGAAGATTATTGAATTTTATGGGTAAAAAATGTGTTTCTTGTGAATATACATTGTTCAATACTAGAATGAAATAAATGTTTAATGTTTCTGGATACTTAATAATTGTTTGACTAAGGTCAATGTAATACTAATAATAATATAATCTATATAACTAATAAGTAACTGGACAAATCATTCAATAGTCATGAGCTTTAATTGAAAGTTAAAGATTTTTACAACTTTATATCTGTTGTATCATTCAAATATTGAGGTTCGTCACTGTTTACTGACTTTCAATATTTGGTTTTATTCAGTGTTTATTTTTCGAGCAATATTTCTTACATGTTGCTACAGCTCACTTGTTCTACATCATTTTAATATCCTACTCACTTCTACTAAAAAAATATGCCTTTATATACTGTCAAGAGATGTGTATATCCAAAAAGACCGGTTGAATGATAAAACATGTTTAAAAAGGTATCGCATTTCTAAAACAGAGCCTAAACTATGCTAGCTCAATGCCTTGATGATATGAGTAATGATGAAATTAGTTTGGAAAAATATTGAATTCAAATTTCACTGTGAATAGCAACGCTAGAATATAAGTTCGTTCAGTTAATAGATCGCCAATAAGAAGAAATAAGTATTTTGAATACCATTACTGATGACAATCTTTGTAGTTCAAATTCATTCTACATTTATTTCATACTATTGAGTAAGAATATACTGAATAATAATGTTCTGTTGTTTATATCATTTTATTGTCTACTCAGTCAATCAGTTACAACGTAGAATGTCGTATGTGCATACATCAGTTCAAGTTGCTGTACCATGTAGATAGAACTGGCATTTCAAATCTGATAGCGATAGAGGTAGCAGAAGTGTTAGGAGTATCGGACAGAATAAGGGATCGAAGATATCGTTTGAGAAGTCTATCCTAGTGGAATCAATTTAAAAAAAGATTACAGGTCATGAAGAACTCATAAGGTTAGAATTTGAGAGAATACAAAGGGCGGATGCATCTGCACCATTGCAAACGATTTTCTAACATTTCATTCAAAGCCTTTAACAATCGGTAACCATTGTATCACGGAGCGCGAACAGGTAGTCTATATCTGTCAACATGGCTCCGTTTAGCTGTCAGTGACTTCATGAATTTGTGCTATGTTTCTTCTAGCCTACCTAAACTTCAGACACTATCATTCGTCGAGGCAATCGGCGGTTCAGCATACGTAACACCTGTCTATTGTAAATTTTGTAAATATCACAAAAGGACCAATTCATAGGTTTATAAAATAGATAATTTTTTTTTAAAGTATCAACAACAACCATTCAGTAGAATTTAATATTCCGCTTTATATAAACTCAGAGTTTTCAAGTGTGTGTTTCATTTATATGATAAAGCTCTATAGTATAATTCGAAATTTTTTGAATATATATATATATATATATATATATATATATATATATATATTGAATATTATTCTGTTTGCAGTGTAATTTCCTGTTATGCTGGTCACCAGTTGATATGCTTGAAACTATTACGAGTTCACCTTAGTCGGTAAACGAGAACATAGACAAATGATCCAATGACATGATAGGTCACTCTAATCCAAGCGTCGCAAAGGCCCACTAAGTAGATGAAGACGTCCTGATATTGAGCAAAAAATGTTTTCTACCAGCACCCAGAAAATATGAAGTTTTCAAACACACAAATCGATTTTATTTATACATGATGGAAACGTCCTTAAGAGAGCCACAAAAATAGCGTACTAAGATAATACATCAACCAATAACAGTCAAGAAATTTTCCAAGTGAGAAATGTAATCTCAAGGTCAACTGATCAGCCCTTCCACGAAAACATAAAATCCAAAATTGTGACCTTCATCAAGTGAGTTCTGGGGGGATCTAACGTCCTCAACATTTCTTAAACATCAATTGGAAAATATTCGCCTTTTATTGGATAAACTATTTTATTGATTAAAATAAATTGTTTGATTTTAAATGATCCGCCGAATTAATTTCATTAAATAGAACAAAAAAATATTTAAAAGAAATATTTATTTGAGAAAAAAATAAACACACACATCCAAAAACCCCAAAATATCAACAGAAATTTATGAACCATTCAGATAGAATTCAATTTTTTAAAAAACACATAACTTTTGTGAAAAAAACTTACTTGACTTGATGCTGGAGCGAATAAACCTTCAATATACATTTTACTAAACATTTCAATAGTGAATAATAATGCAATCATTAAATCCAAAATAAACGTAATATACATTAATATTGGAACTTGTTTAAATGTATCCGGTGTATTCATACTAACCGATGCCAAACTAATCATTGCTGCGATTCGAAACATTATTCTAGAAGATAATAATGAAATTCAAAAAAGAAAAGGAAAACTTTAATCATATTCTTGACATATTTTGAAATATATATATAGAACAAAGAAGAAATAAATGAGCAGTTTTATTTATATGCAATGACCGTCTACCTCAGTGTATGATGTTCACTTGTGTACGAATAGGTTGAAAGAAAAGCATTGAGGGTGGCCAAACTGAAATGATTGTATTGGACTATTAAGTCGTTAACTGGTAAAGTGAGTCACATGGGTAAGTTCAATTCATCTGGTTGGTCTTCGCATGATTATAATATCCGATGTTTATGGATTTAGGATGACACATTTCAGAATCGGTCTCATTGGAGTAGATGCATCCACTCTTTGTGTTCTCTTAAATCCTAAACTTATGAATTCCTCATCACCTTAATCTTTTTTTTAAGTTTCTTTCACTAGGTTCAATTTTTTGAATTATATTATTGAACCGTAATCTCCCTGATTACTGCTAATACTTTTACTACTATCGGGTGTGAATCGACAATTGTATCTATGTGCTAATGAGGTATGGCAACCTGAACTGATGTACATACGCACGAAGTTCAATGTTGTTGTTGACTGACTGACTGAGATTCACCTACTGTTTGTGTTTACTGAAATCACTAGTTATAAATCTCTGTTATACTCTTTATCTTCAGGATGGATGAATGTTTTCATGAATCATAACTTCTATTCCGAATGTTTTCTATTACCACTAATATTATAACTATTTGTACTACTCCAGGATTCATCTTTTTATCTGTTATCTTCATATGTTGGGATAAAACATGGATCACTACTCATCTATGCTAAGTTATGTCTAATTTATGACTGATTGACTAAGTAAATAAATCAGAAAAAATAAATATACACGTAAAATATATGAAATAGAACCAGGAAAGTTATCATTCAAAAGGTACAGGTGTTGTACACGCAAGATTCAGTGGATTCGTTAAAGCAGACACCATCACCGACAACAATAGTTAAATAGAGTATAATACGAGTTGTTAATTCATCATAATAAACAATTGTCAATACCCATTAACAACTATCTACTGTGGGAGAGAACAAACCACATTCAAGAAGAGGAATAAATCAGGAAAAAGCGCTGGAGGTGTACAGGAAACAGATTGAGGAAAGCTTCATAAGATAAGTCCTAACTTGGAATCCACAAGGTCAAAGGAAAAGAGTAAGACCAATAAAACACATTACGTCAAGAATTAGAAGAAGACATGAAAGAGCAAACAGTAGTTGGATAGAATTAGAAAGGAAAGCTCAGGATAGAGTAGGTGGGAGAATGCTAGTTAACAACCTATGCTCTGTTTGCTGTAACAGGTGTAGGTAAGTAAGTAATAATCTATAGAGTATCGTAATAAATGCAACAAAACCAGCGTAATCAATTCTCAGACCATGTTAAACAATTTTCCAAATAACCGATCCAAAATTATCCTATGTATCCTAACCTCAAGTAATCAATACTCATTTATAATTAAATTATTCTCTTCATTTAGTTAGCTTTAAAAAGATTTGATTCATATTGTGCTGGATACTACTTACAGTGTAGCGGATAAGTAGCGTGCAGTAGATTGTCAACCAGAAGTTTCTATCAAAGAGGAGTATCTGGAGTCCGAAAAGTAGGGTGTGATAAAAAAAATTACAGAAGACCAAAACTGATGTTAAACATGGTTGTATTACAAATGGATGTCTTAAGATTATTTGTACATATTTTCTCAGTAAACTGTATCTTCTCTAAATATACTTGTGTATAAATTCAACATAACTCCTCCTGGAGCCCTTCTACGGTTACTGACAATCCCAAACCCGGATAATGGTGAAGGGTCGGGCATGGAATTATCGACCTTGTCTCATAGAAATCCAATTCGCTAGAAAAACGCCAACCAGCCTATGCTGGTTCTAATAAAACTTAATTCTCCCAAATATGAATAAATACCTATTAGCTTAAAACTGAATGAATAGTATGTTAACTACTCAACAATAATCAATACTATATTTATGAATATGTATGATAAAATACTTTTAAGTTGAAAAAAATATCCGTACTACAGATTTTACTATAACTTCATAGAAAAAACCACTTAAAAAAATATAGTTTTCTGTCGAAATGAAAACTGATGAAAATTTCTATTCTCCATTAAAATCATTTGATCATTTTTACATGATGAAAAAAGACATTCGTAAAAAAAATTATTTACACTGTGATTTCATTTCTCTTCTCTCTCTCTCTCTCTGTTTTTAAAATATTACTGACGCCTCTTACAAATACACACTGAATAAAAAAAACCATAGAAATATAAATACCAAACAAAGTAATCACTTCAACCATTTCCTTTATAGTAGGAAAAGAGAAATTTTGGCTGGTAGATTTTTTGTTTTTCCCCAATCTCACCTCTACCTGGAACAAACTTATTTAGTTTTTCTCTATACCGATGTTAATTAGATGATCATGTGATGTAAGCCGCTTTTTACTTTCAGGCATGATTCTCTCTTTATCGTCGTAGTATTCATTTTTATTGCTCTAACGTTCAATAAATTATTGATTTTTTTAAACAAATACATTACTGATTATATGTTTCTGATTGTAAAAAGAACAATCGTATCACATAGTAGTAGCGATTTATGTTTTCTGGTTAGTATTTTGCTAGGCAAGTTAGTTTTCTACGGGATGGGGTCGCTAATCCCACACTCAGCCCTCCTACTTTATCTGGACTTAAGACCCGCAATAGCCTTAGAGGTGCTACAAGCTGAGAAATAAAGAAAGATATAAGAAGAATGAAGAAAAATTGGACAGAATTTAGAAAGGGAAGTCCAAGAGAGATTAGGCTGGAGAATACTGATCGGTGGCCTATGCTCCATTGGAGGTAATAGGCATAAGCGAGCAAGTAAGAATACTGTTGAGAGTAATTTAATTGGTATATGAACACCTCATCAAGGATTTTATTAAAACAACTGTGATTTCTCTGCACAAAGAGTTAAATTTTCAATAAAATTATTTTATCTTTCACAATGTACATGAATTAAATTTGGTGAAATATAAACATTAAAAGAAAATCAATATTCTTGTCAATTTATTTATTTTTAATGATGATAATTCATAAAATACTCAATACAATTCAGCATTCAATCAACAAATAAACTCTGATAACTTTTCAATCAAATGAAACTTTAACACTAACCGATAAATCGCATCCTTACTTAAAGTTGTCTATGTATTTGTTAAAGATTTATTGATCGAAATATATATATATATATATATATATATATATATAATAACAACTTTGGACATACTCTCATATCGCTGTTATAATATTGTTGCGCTCGTCTCTAGGCATGCGTAAACTATTACGAGTTCACCTTAGTCGAATAACGAGAACAAAACAATGAACCAGCCTATAGGTAGGCTACTGTGATCCGACCGTCCCAGTTGTACCAGCAAGAAGTTTTGATATAGCGTAGAAAGTGTATTATACAAACACCCAGCCAGCACACAATGAATCCAAGCACTCGAATTCCGTTTACTTATACTCTATAGAGACGTCCCTGGGAAAGTCACAAAAATAGCACACAGTAATCAATCTTAGCCAGTGATTTTTCTGGTCGGAAATGAAATCTCAAGAACAACTGATCGGTCCATGAAATAAATCCAAAATAAAGATATTTATCAAAAGAGTTCTGGGGATCTAACATCCCCAACAAATATTCATAAGGAAGACTTTTAGAACCACCTGATTTCATTCGTTAAATATGGATTATCGTAGTTAAAAATACAGACTGACTATAGTGAGACAACCAGTCTAAACCATGCAGTATGTGCATTCTGGTCTTAGTATCAGAATCCTCAACATAATTCATCCAAAGCCAATGATTTTCTGGCATCCCTATGAACGACCAGCACCTGAAATAATGTGACTTCATCTAATGGCATAAATATATATTACTTTAACCACGAAAATACGGCCAATGAGGTTTCAAAGTCCCATGGACACTTATCTATTGTGGGTAATCGAAAACAGTCATGCAACATTGTAAATTGTTTGAAGTTAAACACTGATACCAATGAATAATGATGACACTTGACTAACAAGACACAATGAAGCATTATGAACATTGAAATAATGACAATTTAAGCTAAATTAAAACATACACGCACACACACTACACATTGAACGCGTCTACATAAACCTTCTATACTACTTATAGGATTAGTTTTCTTCACAAAAATAAGAATAGATTCTCTATTTTTTTAACATTATATAAAATTAAGAATAACTAAAGAAACGTACATTCATGTCAAAACGATTATCTATCAAACATCAATTGTAGTCATCAATCTTAATTGATATTGACCGAAATGTAGTAAAACAATATTAACAACTGAATACCCAAATCATTCATCTGAATGATATTCACAGGCATACGATAGATAATACAGAACAACAGAAACTCTTAACTATAGAAAGATGAATTAAAGAAAAGCTTTTCAGGCATTTCTTGATTTAAAGTGGATAATCTCTTTTCTTTTAATTGATAACAATCCATAATTATAATTGACTTTTATGTTGAATAATGTAAATATTTTTGTCTTAACTAAAAGCTAAATTACTTAACAGTTATTGAATTATCTAATTCGACAATAATAATAATAATCAGTTTATTCTACCCATCATCACCATTAGCAAAAAAAGAATAAACACGGAATTTCTTTCACGTCAAACATTCCTGATAACTTTTGCAAAATCATCACTCAATCATTGTTAGGAGCCTCTATTAGAAACCTGCAAGCACTGGAAGATGGCTGTTTCATTCTGGTATAGGACTTTTCATCAGCAGTGCGCATCCACGACTCCCATAAGTCACAGGATTCGAACCCAGAACCTTTGATCTTGCCCGTGAATGCCTAAGCTTTTCTATCGCATACGCAACAACAAATGCAGCAGCCTCTGCAGCAGTATGTCTCAACATACATAAAGG